AAAATATGGAAACAATTGGGAGGTATTAAAGAGACAGAAATATCACCTCATTACATACAGTATCTTGTGTTAACTGGAGTTCAAGGATATTACTATGAATGACATACAACCTTCAGGCAACAAACACCAATGGATGCCAATTGAATAGTGACAGATTAAAACCTTCAACTTTGAATGATTCCAGAAATATCCATTATCAAAGACTATTTTTTGCCGTGCACAATGCACTCTTTGTCGTTTTCTATGACATGGGTGAAATACAATATAAAGTATAGATCTGTGTGTATATGATCATTATCTACCAGCAGATCCTAGACAGCATGCAGGTAGCATAGCTCTCAGTTAGGCTTATACAGCATCATCAGCTCATCCTGGATGAACATCCAAATAAGAGATCACTAATTACAAATTATGTCCAGTAATTGACTCTGTAGCCTAGTGGTTTGATTAGACTCCTACAACCATTATCTCCTTAGTTATTTATGTAGGTGCAGTTCATGTAGTTAATGGCTCAGGGAGTGATTAAATTCCATCATGCAGTCTTCTAGTATATGATTGATGAATAGGACGAAAATAGCAGGGGACTAACTGGGGGTTAATTAGGTTCTCAGAATTTATATGGCTTCTGTCACTGGAAATATTTGTTTTCAGTCTCATAAGATATCAGCAATATATAGCACTAAATTTGTGGCAGAATTTCAGATGTTTGTACACCTCAGGTACTCGAGATTGATTTTTATCACTTGCTACATACTTAACATTTCTTTATGAAGAACTTTGCATGTTGTTGCAGTGTGTGTGTGTGTATGTGTGTGTACACTATTTGTATTAAGGTCTTAACTTACAATTATTGTCTAAATAAGTAATGAAATTTTACATAAAGAAGTAAATTTGACATTTTATATTTTAAGAGTCCTTCTACATATTGTGAGCACCGCCAGAGAGCATTACAACACACATTTGAACGGTAATAAACTTTTTTTTCTGGGGTTAACTTACTCTAGAATGAAGATATTTTATAGATAGACAGTGTTACTCAGTTCCAAATCTTGAACTACATTAGAGATAAATTTAGCTTAAAATGATGAAGTATTTTGCAATTAGGATGTTAATATTTTGCTAAGATTTACAATGACAGACTAAGATGGCATTCAGAACAAGCTGATCTGCATACTAACAGATCTGCAGACTAAATATGGCCAAACCACTTAAAACTGTGCCAACTGATCTCCTTATGGTTTCTTTGCCTCCACATGTGCCGTCACTGCAGGGGCCAAGCAGTTAAACCTCGGAGTCGAGTTTTAATCTGTTTAATGGCGTGTGTGGAGGCAGGGAAACCATCAAGTAATTAGAAGGCTAGCTTTTTAAGTGGGGTCAGCCATATTTAATCGGCGGATCAGTTAGTTAATTTGTGGATCATCTGTTCTATATGCAACTTAAGTCAGTGTTTTATTCCGATTAAGGACATTGTGTTGTGTATTATTTTGGTACCCTAGTATAGTCTAAATTGTTATTTTAAAGATGATATACTTGTCCCAGAAACCAGTTATACTGCAACATTATCAGTCAATATTTGCAATCCAAACTAAAGAAATAGTTGCAAAATACTCAGCCACATGTATCCAAGATACAGTGCTTATTTCAAAGCTAGGGAACTGAATGATTTGTAAATATTACAGGAAAAAGTTAGATTGTTCTTTTCTTCCAGGATTGAAAATGATGAGTATGAAAAGGTGCCATTCTTCCTGTTTGGAGACTTTAACTTCAGATTAGACACATATTATTTCATGAAGGTAAACTGTGGTCAGTTTTTTTTTTTTTTTTTTTTTTTTTTTTTTTTTTTTTTTTTTTTTTTTGTGCTAATGAAGAACAGTTGGGAAAGTAAATAAAAAAACAAGTTTGTCTTTCTCTGTTGATATGACTAATTCTTCTCTGTCAACTCCAGAGACGACATAACACCAAAGAATATATATAGAAGACTTTAGTTAAATAATAATAAAAGATTTCAATAAACATGTCATCACTACAGGACATCGTCTCCTGGTTAGTGAACTTTGTATGCCACATCGAATTACCAGCACTTCATGTATACTCTTCATTTAAGTCATGTTAATATTTTATGTACTAACAGTGATATATGTATTTGTCTAAGCTTATAACATATTATTCATTCCAGGACCTAACCAAAAACCTTGTGGCAGTAGAAAGCCGGAGTAAGAAGAATAATGAGCTAGTGAAACTAACATATAAAGAGGCAGACAATGACCAGAAAATTGTGTTGGTGGTGGAGAAGAAGGGTTTTGACCACTTGCGGATGAAAGAAATATTCTATGATAATAATGGATTATCAGTAGGTTTTCAGACATGCACATGTATATATTATGAAAGTGACTGATGATAATACTTGGATCAATACTTTTCTGTTAATGAAATGTACCAGTGGGCCCATTCCATGTAAACCACCCAAATTAATTTCCATAGCTGCCAAAATTAAAGTGTGGGATTTTCTCCTTACATTTGTATGTTGCAAAAGAATTCAGCATTAATTTATTTATTTATTTATTTATTTATTTATTTATTTATTTATTTATTTATTTATTTATTTTATATTAAGCACATCTGATGTAGATTTAATGGCATGGAGTCCTGTTTAAAAATGTGTCTTATTTCAAGCTTCTGACCACAATGTGAGACTTACATATTTTTTACCTTCATTGTCTTCACTAGTTACTTCCATATGATAAAGAAATTGAACCATTCAGAGACAGGGTATATGAACATGACATCAACTTCCCACCAAGGTGAGTGATCACTGCACCTGATGAACCTAAAAAATGAAGTATTGTATCCTCCTCAGTTAGGACAGACAAAACTGCCATGTTGGTTAACCAGTACAGCCAACCCTAATTTTGTTGTGATAAATCAGAATTCTTACACATTACACTTATATATTTCTGCAACTAAAAAAAGCATTGGGCATTGGTTTGTTAAGTGGGTATTTTTTACTGGGCTGTTAAATCTATGAAACATGTATGTACTACAAAAATTTAATTTTCTCTACTAATCCGTTTCTCTACTGATCCTTTTTTTTACCAAAAGACACTTTTTGTTAACCAATTTCTCAAATTTGTCTGGTATTAAAGTGATAGTTTTCTTTGGATCTTTCTATTTTGTTGTGAGAGCTTTCTTTGAATCTTTCTGTTTTGTTGTGAGATAGTATGTGCTTTATTTCAAAGGCCTGTTGTCTTTTGAAGTAGTGGAAATAATACTCTTGTCAAAGGAGGATATGAGGAAATTTATTAATAGTGTTTCTTTTCACACACAAGTCCTGCCCACATTCGCTATAAATAGAGTGTTTGATAACTTATCACACATGCATTTTGGTAATTATTTAGAGTGTTTTATGCTGTAATATTTCCCAGAGGATATCTTAATGGTGAAACGTTTATAGTGGAGATGGTAAAATCAATAATGAAGCAAACTAACTTTGTTATCATTTTACACACCTGTTATGAACGCCTGTCAATGAACAACAATATATTTTTGCCACACATTAGATTTCAGATACTTCAGCAAATTAATGTCTAAAATGACTTTTGACATTATCATTTTGTCAATCCTCTTGAGTTTGCACTGAAAGGGGAATGGTTAACTGATGTAGTGATTTTGAAGTTCACCATTCTATCAACAAATGAAGTGAATGTTTCTTGAACATAACATATGTTTGTGCCAGCTGATAGTGCCAGGCCCGTAGCCAGCAATTTCAAAAGGGGGGTTCTTTTTCTGAAAAAGTGGACCTTTTTCTATAAAAACTTCATGTACCTAGATCAAATTTTACCCAGAGTGGACCTTTTCCCAGCAAAAAGGGCGATTCTTTCGAACCCCCAGAACCCCCCCTCCCCCTGGCTACAGGCCTGAGTACATTGTTTGGATCAGATAATTGTGTTATACCATGATTAATTGTAGAACATTATTTGGGAAAACTTAAAGATGAAGTTTCTATCAAAATATTAAACTATTTTTATGATGAATTTGTCTGAAAACTCTCAAATATTGATAGTACTATATCCTTAGCTAATTTATTTGTTTTCAGCTATCCGTTCAGTGAGAGTTTGGATGATGGTGTGAACTACATGAAGACCAGGTGCCCAGGATGGTGTGACAGGATATTTGTCAGCTACAGTGCCAAAAGCATTATAGATGTATGTAGAGAGGCTTTCTGCTTGGTGTTTTGAACCCATAGTTTAAGTTATTGTGAATGTTAAAGCCTGTATATACATCAAGTTTTAGTTTTTTTAAATATATGTAAACGGTATGGTATTAGTTTCTTAATATTACTTTATTGGTAAAATGGAAAATATTCATATTTGATTAATCTGTCTTTTCCTAATATAATATTCTTTATTTTCCCTTTGTTTCTTTAGGATTCTAGTGGTCCACCCCTGTATTTGTGCATAGGCAAGGAAGTATGCATGGGAGACCACAAGGTAAGATGGGGCAAAACATGGCATACATATTAGCACATTATTGTGATATACATAGAATTTTGAACTTTGTGCAGTTTCACTGTAAAGAAGAGTTTAGATAGTGAGCTACATCACTATTTAATCTCCTTAGTTTAAATGAAACTTTTACCTCTGTAGCTCTGTGTGTTTACACCATTAGAAATATTGCAGATAATCATCTGACAACTAGATTACAAAGGTTCAGGGGGATCTCTGTGTGAACCAGTTGTCTGATTATGCGAGTCTGACCAATTTTCAGTAGAAAAAAGTTCTAATATAAACATGACCTATGAGAAAATCAACAGCAGTCAAAGTTGCATAATCATTAAACATAAATACTTGTTCATACTTAAAAACTGTTTCTCTTCTATTTTGCAGCCAATCTACCTGTATTTCAACCTGAAACACAATGCTGGGAAGATGCCAGAGCTGGTACCCGAGCCTCAGCCTAGTCCTCACATCCCCCTACGCAAGATCCTCTCCATCAACGGCGAGGAGGTGGAACCAGAAAAACTGGATGAAATCAACATCCATGACTATGCCACATTTGAAAAAGAACAGACTCTGCACCCCATAACGCGGCAAAGTTTCAAACGTAAGGGAGACAGTGAGGGCATGAACGGGCGATCTTTTCACGACATTGCACGTGATGTGATGAAAGAGGCAGGCGTTCTGTCATATTGGAAAACGCACCCTGGGTATAGCAGCGTGCGACGCAACAGGCACCACAGTTCATCCTCGGAGGACGAGTTAAGTGAAAGTCAGTTAGAGGAGGAGGACAGTTTAACTGAAGTGGAACTGGATCTAGAAGATGACCACAGCGAAGAGAAGACCAGGGATGATGGTGGCGGTGTTGGTCAAAGTCAAATAGCCTCAGGTCAGACACCCTCTTTACCCCCTCCCACTAATGGTCAGTGCACTGTCCAGATCAGTGATGACCAGTCACTTGGGGGGGAGGAAGACCCAAAAAGTGATGTTGTTGTACCCCAGAATGGCACTGATGATTTAGTGCCAATTAAAACACCTGTTACTGTGGATAACGTTGGCAAGCACAATACAGACAACGGTAAAAGTAACATAGGTGCTTCAAATCACAGTGCAGGGCCGGAGCAAGTTGTGGTTGTTGCACAGCAGCAGGCTGAGCATGCACAGCCTGCACGGCGGAAAATCACACGCCACAGACATTTATCGTCTTTGTCTCGGAGCGAGGGTTGCCCTTGTGGTTGTGTACTGCAGTGATGTGCTTTTGATGTTGTCTTTCACTATCTTGGTGTAAGTGCATGCTCTTTTGTTTTTTTATTTAGATTTTGCTGTTGGTCATTACTGTTAAAGTTCTTTGTGTTATTGATATTTATTATTTTGATTTTTTTAATATGAATGTGTTTGAATTGTATGCAGTCAAGTTGAATCTTAAAGGCTACTAGTAGGTTTACATATTGAACTTTTGAAAAGTTTTCTTTTATTAAAATAATATCCATAGACGCATCATTTTTCTTAAATGATTTATCAGGTATATTTGAATAACAATTTTTCTTATGATTTTATTGAATGAAACATGGCTGAAACTAGCATATTGGATTAAGTAGTGACAGATATCTTTGCCTGTTTAAATTGTTAACAATATATATATATATATATTTTTTTTTTTTTAATGTTGTTGCCTTAGGTGTTGCTCGTCATCTTTTAAGCACACGTTGTGTGAATTTTTGCTATATATTTTATGTTTGTGGAAAACTATAAGCATGTGCAGTCCTTGCAAGGGAGAAAAACAGTCCACATCCTTAATTCTGTCTTGCATCTTAGATTTTTGTAAATGCACTATCAACTTTGCAAAATGTACAAGAACATGTGGATCTCTTGCCCAGAATGCAATGCTTTTGTTTGTCCATGTTTTTATTTTTCCCCTTGTTCTGCTATCCCTGTCAATCACAGCTCAGGACGGCCTTACACTGTTTCCAACTTATTTATTGGGGATGCACACTTTAGTGCATACACTATGACACCCACACAAACTGTTCTTACAGAATGACTATTCTGCTATTAAATCGACCTCCTTTGTTCCATTGCATTATGAGTAACTCATCTTTAAAGGTACATACGAACCGAGTATCGGTGGAGCGTGGATTCCCAGTAACACATGTAAACCACTTCTACTAGATTCTTATATGACTCAAATAAATTCGACATGCCAAGGAATAGATCACTCGATCAGCCATAAAAGACCTTTAGACTACTCCTTTCTTTAAATTTTTGGTTGTAAATTTAACCTACTTTCGTGACCTACTTTCCTGCCCCATTGACATACAGCTTAGAATGCCAGCAGAAAAATCCATTCAAACATCATTTTCGGTAAAATTAAACAATGCCTTTTGGTAACTCTCTTAGTTATACTACTTGAAACAATATGCTGGCATTTGGTTGGTTTTTGTGACAAAAAATGACTTTGTATGCATCTCTAAGTTTTATACAAAAAAATATCTGGGCATACTGCAGTAGGAGTAGAAAAAACACCTTATATATACTATTAATCTTGCTTTTCATACATTAAGATAACTATGCAATCTTAATTTCTAGGTGTGGCCGAAGCAGCGTCACATAAAGCAGTGAGGTTGAAGGCCACAGACTGCTATCCACAGATCAAGATAACACAGGTGAACACCACCAAGTATCTCCATATACGCACCAGTAAAGATGCCTCGGTCCAGGTGTTCCGAGAAACCTCAGTATAGCCACGACATCCTCCTGTTGATGCGAAACTAGATCAGGACAACTACAACACCAAACCATTACTTCTCACAATATTTTAATTACTCCCTACATGCCTTTGTGGATGTGTTCTGTTATATTTCCTCTTGAGGTGTGTCGTTTTCACCTATCACCAAAAATCATTTCCATAGTGTATTTAAAATTTCATGGATAAGCTTTTCTTGCTGTCTAATTTTCATGAGTATTCCAGCTTGGAATGCACATCAGACCAAGTAGTTATCAGGGGCCTTATACTTGTTATTTATTTCATACAGTGTAGCAGGTTAGAACAAACTGTAGTTCTCTTCTGCCTCTTGGATGTTTCATTTTATGCTTCTGCTTTTGAAACGTGGAGGACAAATGTAGCTGAATTCATGTGCTGGCCACCCCCTTACCTCAGCTGTAAATACACTGTAGATGCTAGGACATAGAATTTTGTGTAGGCCTAATTCAATGATATTTTCCCTAGCTATAGAGATAGCTATAAAAGTAAGTATTTCTGTATAAAATGTAGTATATGACTCCTTGAAGCGAGACCTTGTAAACATGCAAGGATCACATGTCGGTGATAAAGCTTAAAAGTGTTGATATGAGAAGTGATCCTCTCATTCACTTTGTATAACTGCTGCTTATACATTTTGGTTGTATACAATGTGCAATATTGCAGTGTATTGTTGAACCGAGGAGTTCTGTAATTTGTTAACTGCTTGTATCCATGCACCAACTTATTTAAGGATAATTAGGAGGATGATCACAAGATATCTATACTAAGTCATGTAAATAATATTATTTTTAACACAAACAACTTCATGGAGTCTTTAGATACTATATATTTTATTCATTGTTCCCATCTTTCCTGAAGTATTACTATTTATTTTACTTACCAAAGAGGAAAGCGATATAATGATGGTCAAATAGATTATTCATATTTGTAGATAAGTTTATGACCATGATGATTGAGAAATAGGTAGTGACAAACCTGTCTTCAATCATGCTGTGGACAAATCTAGATTTGATTGTGTTTCGTATCGAATTGAAGCACTTATTTATTATACTTGTTAAGAACATTGTCAATGTGTTGCTGATTCCTTATCTACTCGAAAAGAAAAAATAACAATGATTTAAGAGGGGGGAAGTTAAGAAAGTAACTAGTGTTGTATTTATTCTTTCCTTCATCTTTTTAAATCATGATTGGTAGCATTTCTACATCATACATATCTGTGCACCATCTTTGCCTCTCATAGAGCACAATGTCTTTGGCTCAGTAGCTTTAAACTTTGAAAAAACAAACACTAAAATGCATTAAGAGCAACCAGTGACTCCTTTGTCTACAAATTGGGTCACACCCCATTTTAACAAGTGCTTGAAGCCTTCAGTATTGAGTGTACAAGTGGTCAATGAGATTTGTTTCTTTGCTCTCCTTTTTTTATAATGCTGAAGAGAACTAGTTTGTCAGCTTCCATATGTGTAATTGATGTCTATAAAATTGCTGTTAAATTTCTTAAATTTACAAAACCAATGCATTATTAACACCTTTTGATTTCATAAGTGTAACTAAAATATTATTGTAGAGGCTAGGATTATATGGTTGTATGCCAAATATTATCACTATGATGTTAAATGTGGGTGGCACTATTACCTGTAAAATGTTCATTCAGCATAGAAAAAAGTAGTCCACATCAGATCAGGGTGCATTGTAATTTATAACAATACAGTCTGTGCAAACCCTTGTGTATTTGAATTCTTTCAATATGTAATATAATCATCTTTTTTCTCATACAGCATTCAAGACCAGTGGTAGCCCTAAGCCTCATCTCACTGCATTAAATGCAAGGTACTTTCACAATTATAGTTGAGAATTTCCCCTTTGGTAAGGTTGTCTGTGTAAAAAAAGGGGGAAAAACATGGGCACTGGTGTAATATTTAAATATTTATGAAATTATCTTAAGTTTTCTTGTTCATTTAGACACTAAAAATTTGATACAACTATGCTATTGAACATCCTCAGAGTTTTTTTGTTTATCGTCTTTGAAAGTTACATATTAGATAATGCCAACTTACATTTGTGGTGTGTGTGGTGGAAAATGGTGTTGGTATTAGTTAAAAACAGACCATGTGAGGTGGTTTTGTCATTATAAGATTTGTTAGTATTAAAATCTTGCAAATGTGCTGAATTTTTTTAATGGTTAGGGTTCCATTACCATTCCCACAGCAGTGATAAATCATACAATGTAATTTATTGATTTATTTGGATTCATAGGGCTGATAAGGTTATCTGAGCTCAAATTATTTTCTTTCAGATTTATTTTCTGTGATTAGTAGTATTATTAATAATTTTAGTATGAAAATACATACCTCATTTTGGGAAGCTGGTCTAGCTCACAAATTGAAGCCCACTTCTTTGTAATTTAAAAAATATTAATTTTTGCAGGGGGAAAAGTTAGCATCCCTTACCTGGATATCAGAAAATTGAAAAAAAAAAAATGCTCAGATTTCATCAATTTCAGTGATGCAATATCTACAAGCAACAAATTATGGTCTTGAGATTCTGGGACTAGAACTTTCAGTCCGATTTAGATTACTGTGCAGATATACATTGACAGCTCCCATAAAGCTATTGCTAAAATAATTAAGGCTTACCTCTAACTAGTCAGTTTAATCCTTACAACATGTGTAAAGGTTATTCCTAAGGTTTCTGAAAGGCAAGAAAGTTTGGAGGGTTCTCACCAGGGTGGGTGGGAGGTGGGGTGGGGTCAAAGGTCCCAGTTCCCAAAAAGTTGGGAGTGTAGGGGGGTTTTCTTGTTAAATATGTGTACTATCTGGGTACCTGTCTATAGGCTTGTCAAAGTTGAGGACTCTCTGGGCACTTGTGGGAGGTACCTGGGAAGACCAGTGTAAGGGAAGTGTACATACAGCTTATCTGTCATTGTAACTATAAGGTGTACAGACCACTAACAAGTATGATATTAGTTTTGAAATGCAAGGAATTGCATACACTTTTGTCTTTTTTCCTGTAAAAAAAAATTGGGGTGGGGTTGGGAGGACTAACACGGGTTTGGGTTGTTTGAAACCACATCTTGTCATACTTGTTGAATATATAAATAATAAATGTCTTTTAACTTACTGTTTGGTTTTCATTGTTCATTTCAACTCAACACTTCATTTATGTATTTTGAAAGTTTTACTATTAGTACTAGTTTTACCTTATTTCTTGAACTGTAAAACTGAAAGGAAGATGCCAGTGTACAACAATATATCTTATTTTTATGAAAAGCTGACAAATTTCATTGGAAAATAGTATTTTATTTTTTGTTTGCATCACCACCACAAAATACAGTTTTAACTTGCCATGTGCATGTACAGTACCCTCTGGCAAGTAAACAATTCTCTACAATCTTTTCATTGTTCAAAAACTGTTAATGTTATATAAAGGCTTGTGCATCACATCCATGTGTAGTTTCTTGACAGACAGATACACAACATTTTTAAAAATGGATACTTTCCACTAGCAATTTCATTTGGCATCAATTAGGATTCCCAATACTTCATTTAATCATTTAACATAGTGATTATTACATATGTATTATATATATATATAACCTACACACCCCTCCTTCCTTCACCTGTCCTTGTTTATGTTTTTTAATTTAAAGGAAAACACATATATGCTGGGCAAGTTGCAATGATAATATCTCCCATCCAAAAATGAATGTTTCATATTAGTGTGTGTAACAGTGTGATGTAATAAAATGTAAGTTAGGCCTGTTACACATTAACATAACTAGTATATTGTTCTATATATTTGAGCAAGTTCAGGCTACACTTGACAAACTGTGTATGGATGATGCTCTTTTTGACATCTATGCATTTGAAAGACACCAGACAACATTTCTCTTAACAGACATTAAATTTTTGTTCCTTTAAATATCTCAAAGTTATGTATAATCATTGATATGCATTCTAGATCTAGTCACATTAGTTTAAATCATATATGGAGTCAATCGATTCCTATATAACCCCCATGTTCCATTAACCCATATTTATCACATGTATATAACAAAACATCAGTTGTGTTTGGAAACATTTAAACAAAACTGGCACATACACAATTGAATATAGAATCTGGAATGAGCCTGTAATAACATCCTGTATATGAGTTAAATCATAAAATCATTATGATCTTTCAATGGACTACGACATTAATTTGATTTGTCCTTTGTGCTCAAAGGCCATATTGTCTTACATTCTCAGTAATAAAAATTTAGCTACCAATATAAACCCACCTCCATTTGAAAATGAATGACAGCATAGAAAAACTAAACTGACAAAAAAAAAAAAAAAAAAAAAACTTTCCCCTACTGCTTGGCACATTTTATCATGACTTTGATAGCTCCTCCTGCACCAGTTCTTGATGTCTCAAAGGCCTCTAAGGACTCCTCCAGAGTGAAGTGATGGGTGATCAGAGGCTTTACATCCACTGCACCAGAGGCAATCATCTCTAAAGCTGCTGGGTAGCTGTAAACAAATGTTGCAAGTAAACCTACTTGACTGCTTAAATTTTGATGTGTTTCCATAGATGTGTTTGTATATTAGATTATATGAAATATGTTAGTATTGTATGAAATCAATAAGTCTATTGGAATCACTCAATCACCACTACTGTCTATTTATCTGTACGTGCACACACACACACACACACACACGTCTTAATTTTTTTACCATAAATGTATCAAATAATCACTGCACATTAGATATATGATTTTGTTTCTTTGTGCCAGCTGAAATAAGAATATTAGACAAGGTAATGGATTCTTGACTATATATTAGCACAGACTTATCTTATGAAAATAATAAAATTTACACATAAATATTTACTACTGACATATTATGCCCTTTATTCAAATGCACATTAAGCAGTACAAACTAAATTTTCTTTCACTTATACTATATTCAGTTTATAATTTATACTATAATTTCTTTACCAATTGGCATATCTGAACAGTCCCCTTATGTCCACTTCTCTGCAGGCAGCGTTGACCACAGGAAGTTTGATCTCCGCTGGACCAAGACCCACCAGCATCAAAACTCCACCAGCCTTGGTTGCCTGAAAGTTAAAACACAATCTCATTATTTTCACAGATATACTAAAAACAGGGGTGGATCCAGAGACATTTTCTGTCAGTTTTCTTAATTATCTTTTTTTTTCTTTTTTGATCAATCCTCCATTTTTGATAGTCTTCAGACAGAAAAATTAGATACCTGTCAATGTAAACTTGAAAATCTGATCGTCTTCCAGAAGACCCAGAAGACGGCCTCAATTCACCCATGAAAAAGTGGCTTCACAATACCCTGAGTTCCAATGGGTTGCAAAGCATACCTATTTCCTTCCAAGTCCCCCAATAGCTCATGGGAGAATGCTCATAGACAAGACACTTTAGAACTATATAATCCATTATATATTTCTTGAAAATTTGTGTTCTACATGTAGTAAATTCATAAACAGTCAAAAGGAATGGTTGAAATATTATTTGTAATGCAGTTCTTTATATTCTTTAAAAAAATACATCAAGCAAACATACATATATTCCTGTCTGGATACTTGATTCTGCTCCACTGCATTCAATGGTTATATCTGGCATTTCTCCGAGAGCTGTCTCCACCTGTTTTGCCACAGCTTTGGCATCTTTGGTGTTCACTAGGACTATAGAATCTGCACCCATTGTCTTGGCAACACCTAACCTTCCTTCAGATATGTCTGAAAAACAATGGTACATGATTTTGATAAAATTATATTTAGAAAGAGATTTTACAGTAATGGGCTTACAAAACAATTACAGTCTAGTGTTTGTGGTGGAAAAGTCTTTTTCTGATCAAATATGCCACAATAATAAATAAATAAATAACAAAAAATGAAGTTACACTTATAGGTCAAGAAAAAATATACATCAAAGAAGAGAGTGGCAGGAGTTCCAAGATGGTGGTTCAAAAACATATAAGAGACTAAAATCAAAGACAAGGAGAAATCAAAATAAGTTGACCTGAGTACATTACCTGAAATGCAGACTTTGGAGGCACCCATTGCTTTTGCTGTCAACATGTTCACCAGTCCAATGGGACCTAGATTATAGATCATGATCAAATACATTAGATATTCATCTACTGGGTGATCTAAATTTTTACTTCATATGGCACAGGGGTAGAATTTTTCCTAATCTCACTGCAACTCAATTAAAAGGCATCTGCTGGCTCAAAGGCAGACACAAAACCAATGTTACTTCAAACAAACCAATTATAAGACATGATAATATACTCTTCATGCACTTAATTTGCCATAAATTTTCTCAAACATGCCGCGCAGCAGGATAGTTCCATAATCAATTCAGAAAACAAATCACCTTTGCACATAATACTGGTAAGGTGCCTTTGGAACACCTAGAAGACGGGCTAACCCCCAACCTCACCCTACTCCCATTTAATACAGTATGATCATAAACATACCTGCTCCACAAATGAAGACTTTACTCCCCAGTGATACTCCAGCTCTCCTGCAAGCATGGACTCCCACAGACAAAGGCTCTAGCAAGGCTCCTTCTTCGTAACTCACATTATCTGGCAGTCTGAAGTCAAGAAATCAAGACATAAGATATTACTGAAAATTCTTTTCAAGTCTCTAATTCTTCACATTACAATTTGATCATGTACTTTGTAAGAAATTAAAATATTTTAGCAATATTTTTTAAAATGTAAAAATATGAAGGCAAATTAATGAGAGAATCTCAAAAGCTACACTTGTGGCAATGTGATAAGTACAAAATATGTGCAAAGCCACGTAGATAGAGTACTGTATTCACATTCAGTTATATTTTCCACCTTACATGCCCTTTTATTCAAGGATTTGACTGTAAGCATTGTTCATACACAAATGAAATGATTTTCAAAAGAGGAAGGGGGACTAAAAAAAGAGGGGAAAGGTAAGATTTTCTGAAGGGCTACATTCAACCCTACTTTCAAAGATTTTAAAGAGGAGACTTTGTCCCATATCGCCCAAAAAATGCAATGATCCTTTATTCATAAAGAGAAGAAGTTTTGTATTCTACAACAGTTATTGACTTACTTAAAACAGAAGTCAGCTGGATGTGTGTACAATCTTGTTAGAGTGCCGTGATAAGGAGGTGTGGCACAAAACTGCATTTCACGGCAGAGATTATAGCGACCAGTCTTGCAATAATTACACACACGACACGGGACTCCAGGCTCAATGGCTACTCTGTCACCTATGTTGATGTTAGATACAATAAAACTTTCATCACAACACCAGATAAAATTTAATTATTTCCAATCCAATATTTCAGCGTCTTTCTTGTTAATTTCTTCAGGAAATGAGGCTATACAGATGGCATTGTAACCTCTAGCTAAAATGTGCACACCCTCCCTCTTCTTTACCAGGATATTGGAGTGGAAATAACTATTATTGTAAGTGAGTGTATAACACAACTGATGAAATTCTTGACCTATTGATGTCAAAAGATTTGAATCTCTGCTCTTGTAAAGTTATTCTGTTTTTATAGCAACAGGAATTTTTCATACCATAGTTGCTTTTACCAATTGACTCTGCTGCAGTGAAAACTGTACAAGACCATTTTAGTTTCTGTCGTTAAAAATCATACAGTTCTAGAAGACAAATTATTATTTCTGAAATTATCTTCAGTGCACAGTGCATGTGCTTACCGACTTTTAAACTGGTGACCCCAGACCCAACTTTGCAAACTGTGCCTGAAGATTCATGGCCCAACACCATGGGTGTGGTCAGAACAAAATCCCCAATCCGGCCATGTTTCCAATAGTGGACATCAGAGCCACAGATTCCAGTGGAGTGCATAGAAATCTGGACCTCTGGAGAACAAATTAAATTCAAGAATGAATAAATATACATAGGTCATTTAATGAATCCTAGTCTCTAAAAAAAAAAATAGGTGTTCCACTTAAATCAAGTCAATTCGCTTGATGCAATTAGTGCATGCAGGTCTTTGAACAACTGAAGCATGTGACATATTGGCCATTATCCTTTTAACAAACTGATACATTGTCTCACACTGACAATGGTGTGTGTGTGTATGTGTGTGTGCTGTGTGCACAATTGTAAAAAAAAAAAATAGGGGTTTGTGTGCACAATTGTAAAAAAAAAAATAGGGCTTTTATTACCCTTTACCAAAGCCGCAGATAAATTATGTTCACTTTTCTCCAACAGTAAAGAATTGTGTCATAAATTTGCTAGAGACATTTGTGCATAGCTAGTATATATATGTGCATGCATGCTTGTGTGTGGGTTCTTCATTACCTCCTGGGCCTGGATCCTTCACTGGGAATTCTTCCTAAAATGTGGCAAAAGAAAGGAATAAATATAAGTATGATCATTATATGCAACACTGGGTTCAGGTACTAATGTACAAGTTCATTACTAGAGGAAAAATAGAATCAACAGGACTATAAGCTGCGAGGCCCTGGGCAGAGCAATACCCACGCCTACTCTCTCTCTCTCTCTCTCTCTCTCTCTCTCCCCCCCCCCCCCCCCTACACACATACACACTTCATGATACTTTTTTCATTTTATCTTTGTAAAGTGACAATATTTTTTTATTCATCCAAGGAAGGGTGAGCCTTTTTCTTCAACCAGTCCATCAGAAGTGACTTAGGCCTACTTTCCCTTCAGTCAGTTTCGATAAGTAGGCCTACATGTACATGTACATGTACAAGTAGCACACAGACCACAGTTGGCACAAATATATCTCTATCTTCTAGTTACATAACGTGCCACATGGATATCAGAGACGTGTAGAGATAACTGCAAGTACACAAGCCATGATCCATAGTGCAATGACATAATATCCATATCGCAAGCGTACCTGTATTCGTAGATTCGCCAAGTCGAAACATCTAGGGTTCAGCGTGGATTACCCCTGGTCAAGAGCAAACTCGTCAGTCCTTTAATGTATTTAAAATGCACTCATCACTCTCAACATTTTCAGATACACGATACATTTACCTGAAAGCATGAGCAAACAATGACAGTTTAAGATCTTACCAAACGCATGTCATCTTCTGCATAAAGCACCGCGGACAAGTTTGTGTCTCCCATTTTGCCGACTGCTTGTGGGCGTTCTATACAGGGTAATTAGGTCAAAGAGCCGCGGTATCGCGGTCTCAGAACATCGTTGTGTTCACAGACTCATAAACTCATAATATGTTACAACAGCTGCATTCTGAGATCGTAGCAATTTCAGGCCGATTGTGTGAAGTTTGAAGAGCTTCGGAGACGAGCGTCATCTCAGGGCAGGAATATTTGCACTGATGATCATGTAAAAAGTGCTATTTTTGTAATTTGCAGTTTTCACAAAAAAAAAAAAAAAAAAAGAGTGACATCGTTTTCTCTTCCCTATCCCCCCCCTCCCCCCCCCCAAACAAATGACCCACATGACCCGAGTGTTTTTTCTTTTTTTTTATCAATGTTGTCTTTTAATGAACATTGTTCTATATTTGTTTAATAATGCTAGAATTTTAACTCTCACGTTCACTTTTGAAATATTTTAAAACTCATATCACTATTGTATATATCCAAGTAAGGGATATAAAAAATCTTCTGTTATTTATTTATTTATTTATTTATTTATTTATTTATTAAACAAAATCAATGTTAAATTTACATAATTTTTTCATAGATAGTATGAAACGGCCTAAGCAAAAGCTTAGAATGGACGCCATACATGATTAGATTCTCAGGAAGTAGAACTGTTGCACGTCATATAAAATGAAAACTAAACGGATTGAAGGGGGGAAATAAAATGGATGCCCTAATAGATATAGGCCCTACCGAAAAACTATGGTGTACTGTAATTCTAACAAAAGAGAGTTTAAAACATTAATTGAATTTTATTCAAAGAGTAAGCGAGTTTGCGCATTTTTTAAAATTTATTTATTTATTTATTTTTACTTTGCAACTTAATTAGGTCCTACCAGTATTTATTCCAAAACGTGTTTACCAGACGTTGTGTGATCGTTTAAAGCAATTTACAGAGAGCACGTGCAGAAAAAAAGAACTTTTGTTTAAATAACCAGGCCTATATGTGTAATTAATAAGGCCGCAAAATTGTGAACGGCATTTTTAAAAACTTTTTAGTATCGAGGGTGGCGAATTAGGTGGGAGGAATTGTAGCCTATCTTTAAGAATTATTATTATAATTGACAAAGAGACTAATCATAGAAAATTGACTGATAAATTTAATAATATCCTCTCTTTTAGAAAAAAAAAAAAAAAACGGAAAGTTCTAAATAGACTGCTGAACATTGAGTCCTTTATTTTTTTCCCCGCCCCGTCTTTATGCTGATTTCCACACGTAAAAAATAAATCTAGGAAAGTCGCCTTTTTCTATTTTTATTTATGTTTGTTTCTATTTTTATTGTTTTTGCGTTTAATGCAGAATGAATTGTCTCAATAAATTTAAAGTTCTTCAATAGACAGTTATTAGTGTTGGTGCGGTTTTAGAGGGATTTGAGGAGTGGTGTCTTACACTAGTTTAACTTTAAAGATAACTCGGTCGTATCAAACTAGGCTGTAATGTCATTCTGTGATAAAATAGTCATCTGTAAAGGATGTTTCACAGACAATACTGCTGCAGGGACAATAAGTTTTTATTTAACTGTATTAATTGAGGTTTCTTCGGACAACTTCACGTCGACAAAAACACGGAAAGGTAGCGCATGCGCATTTGTTAATCCATCCAGTCAGTGACGGCAATATGGCGGAAGAAATAGAACAAGAAACTTTAAAATTGAAAGGCCTTTCTTTGTCTGTGCTTGTGGAGGAGGCTTTAGATGATGTCCTAGTGGTTTACCTGGAACATGGAAGCAAAAGATTCCGAGGTGTTTTACTGGATGCAGATAAGAGGTAAGCAAATAAACATTAGATATTTAGACGGGGTGTCAGATTGGGAAATGAATGAGTGAATCATTTTGTGTTTAAGTATTTATTTCGTACGTGTTTATAGATGTAATGAAACTTTATATCCGTATCATTGTAAATATCTGTTTTTGATTTCAGAAATATACCCTACGGTATTTGCATGCCAAGTGTGCCCACAGTAGAGAAAACGTGTCCAGAACAAAACCCCTCCCACACTTTGTCCTTGGACACTGCTGTGTCAGAGAGTGCTGTGAAGCCTGAATCATCTGCAGTAACACTGAGACATACTTTCAATCAACACAATGAAGAAAACACAAGCACTGAGTTGACTGCAGCAACTACAACACCAGTCAAACGTTTATGGGACAAAAATATTCGAAATATGCGCCTGCGACCTCGACAGATTTTGTGTGCCAAGTGCAAAGTGCCATGTAGGGAATACAAAAACAAAGACAGTCCTACAGATCCGACAAAAACTTCAGCTGAAACTGCTAAAAGAAAACTTCCATTAGAACCTCAGGTGCACTGCAAAAGGCTGAAAACTACACACTCACAGGATCAAAAGAAAACTAGTCCCATTATCAAAATTTCTTTCACTAGCCCAGAAGGCCAAGGGACTGTGGTGCAAATTCCTGCAAAGCCACAAAAAGAAGGAAGTGTCTCAGATGGATCCCGTCTGGATTATGCCCACAAAAAAGCCAAGAAAGCTCTGAGAAAAGCCAAAGAAAAAGCCTGCCAGCAGGTATCAGGCTTAACACACCATTCTCATCGGCACAAGATGAAACATAAACACAAACACAAATCAAGAGATATGGATGAAAAGACGGTGAAGGCACTTGTTCAAAGTAATATCCATGTAAAAAGTGCATCTGTACCATTGAAAAGAACAAATGATACTGGTGTGGAAAGTGCAAATATTCCTAATTGCAGTTATGACAATAGCAAGGCTGTGAGTCGCTTTGGGTTAAGGCAGAGAACAAAAACAAAGGTTTTTGAACCCAACATCAAAAGCAGCAAAGCAACAAATTCCTCAGTGAGAAAGAAAAAACAAAATGTACCAGACAATGTCTCAGACTCTACCTCTACAACCTCTGATGCCACAGATTTTGGTGACTTCCCAGGTGAAGAGATTAAACATTTGACTAGATTGGAAACAGTCCGCCCATTGATGATGCGAATACAAACCAGAAATGTTTACAGAAGTGTTAATAAACTAGGCAAAGCCATCTGTGTGGGGGATGTGGTATGGGGAAAAATTCAAGGTTTTCCATGGTGGCCAGGGAGAATATTAAGAATAGCACTCAGTCAACGAGACAATGGAATGGTGATCACAGAAACAGCCCATATATCTTGGTTTGGGTCAAAAACCATGTCCCACATAAAGTGTTTAGATCTGTATCCCTTCTTAGAGGATTTTGGATTGAAATTTGACAAGAAAAAGCGAGGGTCTTACAAAGTGGCTGTCAAGTTGGCTACTATTGCAGCCCAGAAATGTGGCAATGAACAAAACCCTGTTGTAATAGATTAGAGATACAGATGAGTCTCATTTCTTTAATCAAATGAAGTTGGGGGTGAAGGAATCTTAACAAATGACATTTCTGGCATCAAAATATGTATTCTATTTTGTACTATGACAAAAAGTATCGTTTTTGGTGTAGAATGGTCTGTTGCAATTAAAAACTGGTGGTTAAGGCCACTTTCTTATCTCAGATTATAATGGTGCTTATTATAATGGGACATTATGAAAAATGTGCTGCTCACTCTTATTAATTAAAAATATAAAACCAAAAAGGGGTTCAGTTTTTGCAATAAGTGTAATTATGTGACACAGTTAAGTCTGCTGAAATGGCAAAAGAATATCAGTATTCATTTCTTTCATTTTAAATGAGATGTTTGTTATTTGGAATCTAAGGCAACGTGGGGGTATGTAACTAATATCAGATGGCATTCCTACCAGTACTTCACTGAGAATACTTACATTGTGGTATGCCAATCTGCTATTTAAGAATACTCTTGAGGCATGTATTTTCTCTTTTCATAGGACCTCATTGGATGATCATATTGGTTTTCAAGTCTGTTTATTATATGTAATTATTATAGACATAATATTGTAAGTGATGTTAACAATGTTCAGTTCTTGTTTATAATGTATACAGTATTTTGGGGCAGTCAGGCGTGGTACATATATTTTTTTTCTTTTTTTATTTTTTGGTAAAAATACTGAACTACTTATAATGATTTCCTCATTTTATCAGCCTTTTATGTTAAGCGATGAACATCACATAAGGGATGAAGGTATTGGATACAAGTTATGAATCAGGCACTGACTGAACACATTAAAGTACAAAGCAAAATAAATTAAAACTATTTTCATCCATTATTTTTATGTGGCTACCTAGTCGATATGTCAAAAGACTTAGAATGTTTAGTATTACTTTGCTTTTACAAAAGTTATATATTGTTTTCCGGGTACTTATGCATGGTTAATTTGATCAAAATGAACTTAATCTGCATGATCATTGATGACATCAACTTGGAGACGAAGTTTACCATCAAGTCTCTAACTCATGGCTTATAAACTTAAAAGAAATAAAGAGCATGTTTTTACACATGCTTTTATTGACAACTAGTATAGAGAAGATGCTGTTCCTTCACCACTCATTATTTAATTTGTACTTGTCCGTTTAAAAATATTTTGTTATTAAAATTGTACTTAAAAAAAGTCACAGTTTTGCCTTGAATTTCTTAACACTCAGTAACATCTTTTAATTCTAAAATGGGTTGAGTTTAAAAAAAAAAAAAACAGTTACAAGTTTCATTGTTGCTTCAGTTTCCTGTAAATTCATCCAATATAAAATTTCATTCCCCAGGCTTTACTGTTCTGAAGGTTTATTGATGTATTTTGAATAGAAGATTTAAAAAAAACTAACTTGAAACTATGTCCAGAAAATATTTCAAGCTTGTTACGTATTAAAAGGCAAGCTTGTCATTTTCATAAACATTCTGCCCTAGACTTGAGGTGTGTCCCATACTGTTCAACTCTGTGAAGGAGATTATGCGGGGTTATTAAATATCTGCCACAAAACCATGAGTACTGCCTATCATTTTATATATACAATTGTAAAATATACTCTTAAAAGCAAGAAAGCCAAAATTAAGACAATGATTTCTTGATACAAATATAAGCACAACATATTCTGTAATTACAACATCCAGCACTTTTATTTATTATAATCATAATCTATATTTCTATACAGCACAGCAGTATGTAACTGTCAGAGGTACAAATTCCAAATAAAACACCCAAAACCTTTAGCTAGGACCTTGCAATTTGGCAAACAGGTGTGCCTTCACATGGATGATATTGGCAGAGCTATTTACCAGCAATTATGTTCCCTCTCATGCCAGATGATTCATGCTTGTGTACCAAGTGCCAGCCAGTGGTATACTAAATATTTTCATGTGCAACTGTCTGTGTTGCAAGTCAAATTAATAGACAAAGCAGAAGTTTGTTGAAAATGATTAGGACAATAATAGCACTTATTTCATACACAGTTTACAGGAACATAGCACCAATTACAGATACGGAGACGACCAGCTCATACATCTTTATTTAAATATTTCTCTTAAATCAAGATTTTAGGTAATCTAAGACAAGAGCAAATCAATCTGGTCAGTACACTGTAGACTGAAACAAGGACTGTCTCAAAAAGAAATGTATGAGCATGATTATTTTAGTTCTTTTCAGAAATCAAGTAGTGCCAATCTTGTTTTGTTCTCATTTAGCTGCTGCTCTCTCTGCTTGTGTCAGCATCTCATCCCACTTCACAAACTGACGGGATATCAAAGCTACCTGCCCAATTGTTAAGAAAAAAAACTACTTATGATGTTAGAGTTCAAATAAACATCCAAAAGGATTTTGTTAAACCCTAATTTATACGTATCTAATTTTATATAGCAGATACAATATACAGGTTAATGCATGAAATACAGTGCAGCAAAAAGTTAAAAGAAGTTTACTCTAAAATGCAGGTATTGGTTTGCAGTTGATAAAGGATACAATACTGTTGTATGACTGCAAAAGCTTCTTGGTCTCTTCAGATAATTCACAGGTTTTGTCCTGAAACACAAATTTTTCTTCTTAAGAATTCCAGTCAAATTGTGTGAATTGTACTCAAATTTTCACAGCACTGACCATGACTCTCTCCCCTAGCATACACTTTCTATCAATATTATAGCAATTAAGTGATAAGTTAGACATGCTATTCACAGAAAACAATCAACAACAGTTTATGAAACTTTGTAAAAGGTGGCATATTTGGTATGTGCAACATATACACTTGACTGAATGCTCCCATGCCACCAACTTATGTTGAGATCCACAAAGAATGCATACAATATTACATGCTTGCCTTTGGAAGGCTTCACTCAGCTGCTTTTATATTATTAAAGTAAGAAAGCAATTAAAATATTACCTGTTGTTCTATTTGCACTTGGCTTAGTAAATGTAATTTCCCTGCTAAAGATGGAGCAGCTGTAAAAACAGTGCATAAATTCATTATCACAATGTAATGATCAGGCAGGTTCTAAAATGACATATGTATCATAAGCATCATCAAAACTGTAACAGAAATGATTCTAAAAAAAAAGGCATATGTTAACTCAATAATTATAAAGATATTGCTGCTTTTTATTCTTACAGAAAAATTATGGTATAATTCAACTGATTATCAATTCTATCCTTATAACTTAATATTTTCCAGAAAGGGGAAATATGAATGTCTTTTAAACATGCTAAGCAACAACACCATAAAATGCAAGAATTACTACTCACCTTTAATGTGTTCACTTTCAAAAACATCTGTTGATTTGTGTATCTCTTCTAAATCTTTGGCTAATTTTTTAATATTTTCTTCTTCTGGAAACAAAAATGTAAATAAATAAAACAAAGATCATTTGCTTGTTAAATTGATTAATTAACTACAAATATCAATCATATTTCGTTTGTTATAAAACAAACAACATTTCATTTATTTTCAAAAATTCTTATTTGGTCAAAGCAGATAAAAATTTTGGTCAAAAAGTTTGGATCTATTTTTGAACAATTTAATTTGTGAATCGGGTCTCTGTGTGTATTATTTTTTTAGTGGTAACAGACTATACCTACAGAAAAGTGACAGTGCTATTTTTTTTTTTTTTTTTGAAAACTTGCTACATATACGGTACCCATATATGATTGAGTGAAATTCTGAAAAACATACCTGCTAACAATATGTTTGCTTTGGCTTCATCAGTTAATGCAAGCTCATCAGCTGTTTTGGGATCTAGATAGCTTTCAATTTCTGAAACTGAAATGAAATGGGAATTGGACAATAGGAATAACAACTAATGTGCATCCATTATATGAATATAACAAATGTTATAGAATAGTATTATAAAACCTACTTGTGCAAGAAAAAACTTTCACATTGATTTTTGCTCGATATTTACTTTGAACTAATATTCCTGTCTTTGGACTATAGGATAAATATTGCTGTTAATGTATTAAAACTGTAACACTTACGCCTTTTTAACACTTGGGATACTTTTGTCTTACCATCTGTTGCAGATGATAATTTATTGTGATGTTCTGAAAGTGCTTCTACACACTAAAACAAACAAGAAATAAAATGATGTCAGTTCTGGGTTTTAAATATTACCTCTTTTTGCATTCTACGCTACACACTGCTGCATAAGTTCAGAACAAACTACAGTCATCCCAAACCTTCCTACTCTCAGGGGTTTGCCATGAGACTCACAAATGTAACTTAGTTCTCATGGACTGTTCAATATTTATTTTAACTTGTAGTGTGAAGGAAAAATAATAGGTCATCTAGTTAATTCTTATAGCTGAAAAAAAATACATAATAAAGAAGAAAACATAAAAAAAGATAATAAATTATGTCTGGTGGTTCAATATATTTGATTTTTATACTGGAACTAAAATTAAGAATTAACGCCATCTAAAAAGTGGGGCCTCTCTATCCAGAACGTAATGTACGACTTAGCTTACTATACAAAAAACCACACATTTCTCATGGAAAATTGCAAAAGTCTGAGTAAATAACAATATTGCCCATATGAGAAACAAAATATATCAGGCTCCAGCAAGAGGTTTGAGAGCCTTCCACAGAGCCTTTGGTAACACTTATCTGCAAAATTTTCACTAACTGACTTTAGTTAGTTTCATTGTCTTGCATTATTTATGCCTATCTTAATATTGTCTTTTATAACCAAGGAAGATAAAACATGTCTCATTTGACAATAAGAATCCTCCATTGTAATCTCAATGATTTTTACCAAATCTCAAGGATTTTTTTAATGTAAAGATTTTTCCACTTCAGAGGTTTTAATGTCTGTTATCCAAACCAATATTTCACTTTCCATGGACCACAGTGTGCATGCTTCAAGAAAATATGCCAAGAAATATGTACTCTCCAGTAAACTCAGATTTACTATGAAAGAGGTGGAACTTTAAATGAAACTCTGGAAGGTAAATGAATCTTAACACCCAGAGTAGCATGAGCGCAAAAAAAAAACAAAAAAAAAACAAAAACAAAAAAAGGACAAAAAAGGAAAAATCATGATTAAGACCTGATAAAAGCAGAGAAAATGAAAAGAAAACATGTGAAAATTACTCAATCGGGTAGAGACAGCTGTTTCACTGACAATAAGTTCTGCAATTAGTAGTAATATCACAAAGCTTACCACACCAGTTATGGACAGAGTCCACACTATGAACACTCACCAATCTTACCACATGATGATGCAATAATCCTCATGTGGAACGCCAGTATGGAACATGAATATACTAGGAACTAACCAAGATGTACAATATGGTAACGAATTGCAACCTTTCACCTGTTAGATCTGCACTGCAATCACCTGCTATTGTGCAACCTATTACACAACCATTCAGCATGATGAATTATGTGGATTATGGTTCAAAAATTGACAATATGGCCAAAAGTATTAAAATGATGTGTGAGAAACTGGAAAAAAAAAACTAGGTGATATTGAAAAACTAGATGATATTGACAAGGAAGATAGAAAATGTAACTGGCCAAGTAGTTGTTTTGAAAAACATAGTGGATGAAATAGAGAAAAGTATAAAATTTTCAAGTGTCCTGTATGCAAATAAGAAACGAAACAAAGATATAGATGTTACATTTGCTGAAATTAACAAGAATTCAGAGATTGGAGACTGAAAACTATAGACTTTCAGGAGATCTTTCCAAAATGATTTTTATAAATCTGTACATAGAAATCACTTGGAACTGCGGGCCACGTGGGACAACTTGGTTTTGCTATGGATTTGAGGAAACAGAGAATGAAAATTGTGAAACTGTCCTATGCAGTTTTATAAGGGAAAAGCTGAAAGTAGAAGAAAATGTGGAGTTTCATCGGGTACATCAAATGGGACAAAGCATCCAGGGTAGAATCTACAGTTACGAAATTCGTGAAATTTAAGCAGAGAAAAAGGGTCAGGAAATCAGCATTTACTCAAATTGCGGGTAACGAAGAAAACAAAAATTATGGAATAAACGAACAATTTCCAACTGAAATTAACCTAGAAGTAGCTCGTCCTTACTGACCTCCTGTTTTCCACTGCCACACTTAAAATATTGAAGCAAGGCAGCTGAATGACACTGCCCTTCTTCATTGATATCGGCATTGGATTTAGTTATTATCTTATATGTAATTTTTAAAAATATAGCACTGTATAATATTGAGATATTGTAACTATTCTCGTACCTTAGGATATGTAGCGTCTTTATCTGCATTGCCAAATATTAGATTTTCTAACAAATCTAATCTAGATTCCATCAAGTCTAAACTCTTTGCCTCCATGATGAATTTGTGAATTGATAGTGAGGCTCATAAGGCTTATGATATTACGAACAAAATGATTGGTCAGATCTATGTGTTAGAAGACTTGATTGGTCCATCTAAGATGCTATTGATTGTGGATGGAATGTTTGCAGGTGTCTGTCGAGGTTTGCTTGAGTAACAGATTTTTGGAATTTTCACCAAAAATCTGAACTAACTTTGATTATTCAACAGAACATACAACATTAATAATGAGTGGAGAAGACATTAAAATCATCGAACCAACTGACAGCCCTGCAAATGGTGGAGGAGACACGGGTCTCCCGATGTCGGTACCTGTGCTACGCGTGGAAAAGCTGAAGGAAGAGGAGTGCTCAAATTATAACAGTGACAGCGAGTGTGCCAGTGTAGGGTATCCGTCAGATGTAGATGCTGATATTGTCAATGAATCAGTGGGAGAGTTTACCCCTCCGACAGACGAGCTGCGAGATAAAATTATCACCCAAGTGGAGTTTTATTTCTCAGATGCTAATATCCTCAAAGATGCTTTCCTTCTTAAACATGTGAGAAGAAATAAAATGGGATACGTCAGCATCAAGCTCATCACCTCTTTTAAGAAAGTCAAGTCACTTACAAAAGATTTTAGAGTTGTTGCTTACAGCTTGAAACAGTCTGAGAAATTGGAAGTCAATTCAGAAGAAACTAAAGTTCGTCGTATGGAGCCTCTACCAGAATGGGATGAAACAACGCCTTCGAGGACTGTAGTGGCATTTAACTTGCCAATGACAGATCCTTCTATAGAATCAGTTGCTGAATTGTTTTCTAAGCATGGTGAGATAGCCTTAATTCGTATAATTAGGCCTGGCAAGGCCATACCTTCTGATGTAAAGAAGCATCTTAGTAAGCATCCCCAGCTGGAAACCTCAGTCTGTGCTGTTATTGAATTTGAAAACCATGAATCTGCCAAAAATGCTGTTGAAAGTGTAGACAAAGACAACTGGAGATCAGCCATCCATGTTGCACTTTTGGCAGAACCAAAAAAGAAAGAGAAAGGAGAGAAGAAAACTGAAAATAAGAAAGAAGGGAAAAATGATAAGAAAAAGAACAAGAAAAAAGGTACTCGTATAGATGAACTGGCTCGTGATGACTCCTCATGCTACAGCAGTGGCTCAGATGCTGAATATTCACCACTACCAACAAGAAAAAACCAACAACGTAATTCTCTCAGTCCAAACCAGGACATGAATCGTCTCAGCCCCCACTCCTCGCCTAAAAGCAGCCCTCACACAAGTCCCAAATCTAGTCCTAGGCCCCAGAGGAAAAACAAGGGGAAGTCTCCACTCATAGATTCTGGGCATAGTCGCAGCCCAAAGGCTAGTCCACTAACCAGCCCAGAATTGGGACGCAGAAGGTGCTACTCAGCAGGGGCAAGACCAGCAGGAGATGGATCTGACATCAGCCCTTCCTCAAGTCCCTGGGTACAACGAAGATTGAAGGCTGCTCAGGATATAAGTCCCTTGGCCAAGATGCAGGGCAATGGTGGTCCCTTAGTAAACAAGCGTACGGAAGAAAAAGAGAGAATTCTACGCCAACCTCGTGGTCCGGATGGTACAAGAGGATTTGGGAAAGGCCGAGGTCAAATAATTAATAGTTCCTAATTGTTTTGTCATAATGTTTATTATTGTGATGCCTTGTAAAAGAATAGAGAACAGAGAAATATTTTTCATAGGTCTCCATTATTTTTGACGTGTAACATTATAGTTGTGGGCACATGTATATCCTTGTTAACCAAGTGCACCATGGCATTCATGTTAGCAGACTCCAGAGGAGTTGAATAATGCAGGTTTCTGATGTAGTGCTCATTGAAGCCTGCTGTTGAGGTGACCTTGCTCAGAATAATGAGGACACTTTGTTGGAAAGAAAAAGGAATGTTGAAAACCAGAAGTGAAAGGAGATATGAATTTCAAGTTTTAAGATTTGACAGTGTGCCTGGAAAGCAGTTTTTAGCTTTTATAGCCCTAGACTATGATCAAGTAATGTGGTTTAGTTTTAAGTTAATGAAGACGCAGCCAGCCAGTATGACAGACATTTGTTTACAATTCATGACTCGTGCATGATTCAAAAATGATTAATTCAAAGAGGCATTTTAAGAATTGTATTTGCCAACTATTGTGCAGGTCTGTCTATTGTTCAACCTTAGTTTTGATGTATATATATACTGTGGCTGGGAGCTGGCCAGTAATGGCATTTTAGCGTATAACTTGTACATATTATTTCAATCAACACTTTTGCATATGGCAGCTCTGAAATGGGTCACCTTTTGTCTTATGTACTAAGCCACACTAGTCGCATAAAATGAATGGCTGTGGTTCCATAATGAGGTCATTTCTCTGATTAAATGGCAGTAGAACTTAAAGGAATTTTTTAATTGCAATGCTGTTATGGTCATGTATCTTTCATTAAGGAAATGTGTCATTTAGGCAGCTGAGATTTAACATGTAGTCTGCATTTTGAATAAGATGCCATGTCGTTGTATTTTTGTAAATTCAGGACTTTTGCATCAGTAGTAAACACCAGAATATTGTCTTATTAAAGCCAAAGGCAGGAACATTCCCTGGTATTGTACACTTCTACTGATGTCCTCATCATATGGTGCAATATAGGCAGCAGTCATTTCCAAATGATAAGAAACCACTAGCTCTGTCAATTAATGATTTGACTAGTAATTTTTTAAATCCAGAACTTTTGGCTACAAAGTGCATATGATTTTTAGATAAGGGCAGAAGCCATAAGGGGAGGTTACTGAAACTTTCAGGTCATGTTTATAGCCGAATTTCATATGAATTTGAGCCTTGGCTATGGTGGTCATGTACCAAATAATATAACTTAATGTCACATTGATTTTTTTAATTATATGGTATTTATATTCAAACTTAATTTTACAGGGTTGCATTCATTTAAGGTCTTTTCTTTACCTGAATAAGGGGACAATTTATTTTATTTTTATTTCTTAAAAAGCATTTTAAAATTGGATGTTGAAAGTGCCAGTACCAAAATGCTTACTTGCCAGATATGTAGAAGTTTTTCTTGGTTTAGTTCAGCCATCTTTTTATTTAATACATTGAAGTATTTTAAGATTAACCTTGGCGTTTTTACCTAAACACATCTAGTTTGCAGTGATAATGCCTTTTTTTATGTGTTATGTGTAGTCTCATTGCAGTAATACATTAATCTTTCTATAATGGTTGGTCTAGCAGAATTGATAAGGTTAATTTGGTTGTTTTTATATAAGTAAACACATTGGCACTAGAGGATATATTTATTCTTGTACATTTTTTCTTTTGTTACAGAGGTCCATTATTGTACCACCAGCGTTAGCGCTGGCGGTACACATGGTTTCGGTCTCGTCCGGATCGTTCCGCCGGCTCCGCGGGCTCCGCCGGACGGCTACCGTTACCGCTTCTCCTCCTNATCCTAATTGTTTTGTCATAATGTTTATTATTGTGATGCCTTGTAAAAGAATAGAGAACAGAGAAATATTTTTCATAGGTCTCCATTATTTTTGACGTGTAACATTATAGTTGTGGGCACATGTATATCCTTGTTAACCAAGTGCACCATGGCATTCATGTTTGCAGACTCCAGAGGAGTTGAATGATGCAGGTTTCTGATGTAATGCTCATTGAAGACCTGCTGTTGAGGTGACCTTGCTCAGAATAATGAGGACACTTTGTTGGAAAGAAAAAGGAATGTTGAAAACCAGAAGTGAAAGGAGATATGAATTTCAAGTTTTAAGATTTGACAGTGTGTGCTTGGAAAGCAGTTTTTAGCTTTTATAGCCCTAGACTATGATCAAGTAATGTGGTTTAGTTTTAAGTTAATGAAGATGCAGCCAGCCAGTATGACAGACATTTGTTTACAATTCATGACTCGTGCATGATTCAAAAATGATTAATTCAAAGAGGCATTTTAAGAATTGTATTTGCCAACTATTGTGCAGGTCTGTCTATTTTTCAACCTTAGTTTTGATGTATATATATACTGTGGCTGGGAGCTGGCCAGTAATGGCATTTTAGTGTATAACTTGTACATCTTATTTCAATCAACACTTTTGCATATGGCAGCTCTGAAATGGGTCACCTTTTGTCTTATGTACTAAGCCACACTAGTCACATATAATGAATGGCTGTGGTTCCATAATGAGGTCATTTCTCTGATTAAATCCCAGTAGAACTTAAAGGAATTTTTTAATTGCAATGCTGTTATGGTCATGTATCTTTCATTAAGGAAATGTGTCATTTAGGCAGCTGAGATTTAACAGGTAGTTTGCATTTTGAATAAGATGCCACGTTGTTGTATTTTTGTAAATTCAGGACTTTTGCATCAGTAGTAAACACCAGAATATTGTCTTATTAAAGCCAAAGGCAGGAACATTCCCTGGTATTGTACACTTCTACTGATGTCCTCATCATATGGTGCAATATAGGCAGCAGTCATTTCCAAATGATAAGAAACCACTAGCTCTGTCAATTAATGATTTGACTAGTAATTTTTTAAATCCAGAACTTTTGGCTACAAAGTGCATATGATTTTTAGATAAGGGCAGAAGCCATAAGGGGGAGGTTACTGAAACTTTCAGGTCATGTTTATAGCTGAATTTCATATGAATTTGAGCCTTGGCTATGGTGGTCATGTACCAAATAATATAAATTAATGTCACATTGATTTTTTAATTATATGGTATTTATATTCAATCTTAATTTTACAGGGTTGCATTCATTTAAGGTCTTTTCTTTACCTGAATAAGGGGAAAATTTATTTTATTTTTATTTCTTAAAAAGCATTTTAAAATTGGATGTTGAAAGTGCCAGTACCAAAATGCTTACTTGCCAGATATGTAGAAGTTTTTCTTGGTTTAGTTCAGCCATCTTTTTATTTAATACATTGAAGTATTTTAAGATTAACATTGGCGTTTTTACCTAAACACATCCAGTTTGCAGTGATAATGCCTTTTTTTGTGTTATGTGTAGTCTCATTGCTGTAATACATTAATCTTTCTATAATGGTTGGTCTAGCAGAATTGATAAGGTTAATTTGGTTGTTTTTATATAAGTAAACACGTTGGCACTAGAGGATATATTTAGTCTTGTACATTTTTTCTTTTGTTACAGAGGTCCATTAAATTTTTATTATTATTATTATTTATTTTTTTTTTTTTTGAGCGTATTAACATTATCTTCATCAATTTTGTAAAAATTTGGAGGAATTTTCTCACAGTAATTGAATTACAATACATCTTGAAAGATTATAATGTTATTATTTTGTCTTTGCTCTGTTTAAATATCAAGTTGAAGTCAAATGTCAACAAAATTTAGCTTGCAATTCTATAAATGCACTTTTTTAATAACATTGGTCAACAATACAGTTATGTAAGAACAGCTTGAAAATAAGCACCAAACAAAACCGGTCACATTTTTTGGGAAGATAGTTCCACTGCTGATATTTGTATCTGAGTAAGCCAATTTAGTCCATTAAAACAAATAAAAATTAACTTGTTAATGTGATAAATGTACATAGATATATATATATTTCCTGTTTACTTGTTGGAGAAGCTGTAATTACGCTTTCCCTATCTGTGCCGTCTGGAGGGAAGTGTCGGTTCTTATATATCCAAAGAATGTTCAGTCAATTTTGATCAAAGGTAGTTTATTAAACTACTGGTCAAGAGGAGGCATATGCTCCATTTCCTGTTCAGATGCTTTAGTTTATTTTGCATTCCCTTGATTGTTTTGTAACCATGCTATGTCATATCATGGCTATGTACTGTAATGACAACAGGAAAAACAAAACAGTGAAAAATAGTTTAGCTTTATTTGTAATGTAAGATGTGAATCCAAGTAAAAAATGAGCACAACAGTTCAGTTGAAGCCAATAAATATGTGATAAAATATGGGCTTTGGTTTTCTTACAACATACGTGACTGTGCATTAAATTCTGCACTACGGCAAGTCGCTTGACGTAAAAGGAATCTAAATCATTCAGTTAATTTTTTATTCCTTATACGTAGCTGCCATTATGTTTTACAGCGCTGAAAGAGGCAAGCTTCCTATTGTATTATAATGCTGTGTGACAATTTGGAATGTAAACTGGATGACAAGTCAGAGGGAAGTATCTTGGTACAATTGTTTTAACCAATGTGATGCTACCTCCCTCGCAGCTTGCAAGAGAGTTCAATTCTTTCTTCAATTTTGTCTGTGAAAAGTTCCATCAAGGGCTCTGAAAACTGCATCTGGAAAAGAATGTTTATGTAAGTGTCATACAAATGAAATGGCCTCTTTTGATTAAAAGAAAACTTGGCAAACAGTAACATATTATAAATTTTGGTAAGCCTACCCTTGTCTTCAGTAACTTTTCCCATTGTTTGTTCCACTTTTTGTCCTTTCTTCTTTCAGCTTCTGACACAAAATCCTGAAAAACATTTTATTTTCAAAAATAGCTTTTGTCTAGTTGACAATCAAACTTATCTGCTTCAGTTTCTCTCCTTTTGCCTAACACAATCAGCTGAAAAACGTAATAAGTTTATCATTTGTTTAACATAAAAGATTGTCATAAAATACTCTTCCTTACAGTGCTTATGTCCTCTTCCTCACTAAGCATTAAATCTTCCAGCTCTGACTGGCTGATGTTGAGAATGTTTTGAGCAACACGCTGTGCTTTCTTCAATGATTCCCCAGCTTCAGCCACTTTTCCCTCACGCTGTAACTGCTGCTTTAACATAGTACGGGCCTGGTGAATTCCACGCAATAGTTCATGTGCTAAACTCTACAAACAAAGAAAAATGTGACTGTCATTCCAAACTGCTAGTCTAAGAGAGTACTTGAAAATTGATACATGATAAATCTTACAAGTGACTTATGTCCCTTAAGCTGACAACCCATTGCAATAAGCAAAACGGGGATTAAGAGGTGGATTACAATGTGACCAGTATATTCCATGAGAAAATACTACAAATACCTTCACAAATTTCTGATGTTCATTAATCTGCATGTGGGCGTTGTTAAGCTTAGTCTGTGCTGCCTCCATGGCAGCCTCACTTTGACCTGCAAGGCCATGGAGCTGTTGCTTAGCAGCAGTCTCTACAGCAACAACAGTCTTCTGCAACTCACTCAGTTTTGCTTGGTTCTCTGTCAGTTGTTTTGCCTGTAAGAGAGTAAGCATTCTCTGAGTTTTTTTTTTTAAAGTCTACTTTTTAGCTCCTAACAGTGTCAAATTTGAATTCCTACTTAATGATTTCTTAACCACTGATATCCTCTAATAATTCTTGTAAATATCAGAATTTTGAAGACTCTAGTTATACTTTACAAACACTACTAACAAAAGCAAGTTACCTTTTTCTCAAGATCACTTTTTGTTTTCATCAACTGCTCTTCTGATTCATGCTTTTCCTTTGTGATTGCATTTAATCTGCGTCTCAAAGACTCATTCTGCAAGAAAAATAAATACAAAGCATTTATTTTCAATACAGCTAAAATCCATAACTGAATCATGTTACTGTATCAAACATATTACATTAATTAATAAACAATCAAATATTGATATGGTTATCATTTTCCATTTACCTTACCATCTTTAAACAAACAGCTTGTTTTCACATATCAGTGTAGTAAATACATGTAAATAAATCTGACTACATAAAATTGTAGTTTGTGTCTGACAAAGAGCCTTTCTCAAACCAGTAGTACCAAGAATGTAAAAGTAAACCAGATCTACCTCTTTTCTAGTTTTTGAAGAAAAATGTCTCAAAAAAGACAACATGCACTTACATATATTTTTGTTTTGTCCAACACATCTTGGAGTGTTTTAATTTTAATTTCCATTTCCTCCTACAAAAAAAGTTAAAAGTGCTCATTTCCAAGTGTAAAGAATTTCTACATATAACATGAAACATCACAAAGATCAAATTTTTTCAAATGTGGGAATTGAAATTCTACCATCCCCTTATTTTTCCCATATCTTGGCCTTAACAAGACAGCAAGAGAAAAGACAGAATCTAATAAAATTCCTTACCAAAGCTCCGCTATCCGATTTCATATTTTCTTGGGCAATTTTCATTTTTAGTCTCATATCCTCCACCAGAGTGCGCTTCTGTGCATTGTCTCTTTCCAACCTATTTGCTCTGATAGAAAAAAAAACATGGATGTGTTAATAAATAAATAAAATCAGAGCATTAGTTGCAACTGTCATGTTACACTAAATACGTGTGCACTCAATATACACTCTTCAAATTAATCAATGTTTTAAATTATGTAAATACAATGAAGGCCTCTACTTCCCAAATGATTATTTTACTCACTTTTCCTGTAAGGTTTGTATTTGTTCTTCCAACTCTTCTCTTTCTCCCTTCATAGCTTTCAGAAGTGTGGACTGTCTGGACACCTCAGCTGATGATACCTATGCAACAAATTTACACACAAAATGTATATATACAAGGCATATAATCATATATCTTTTGAAATTCCATGAATTTCAACTATAACTTCATTGCTTTAAAGGGGCAAATGGACTATTAGACCTTTGTATAGCAAATATTTATTTTTCCTGGAAATTTCAACATTTTTCATTAAAATTGTCAAGGCACTGCCACACCAAAACCATTCACAGAATTGCAATCTATTAAATCATTTACCAGTTGAAAGTTTCTATCATAAGAGTCACTTTTGCAATGGACACAAATACTGTTGAATTTCACTAATGAAAGTAAAAATTAATCATTTAGAACTTGAAAACAGGTTGAAGAATATTATTTTCTCGATGGTTTTGGATATGGTATAGACTGGTAATAAAAGAAAACCGCAGAAATTTCCAGGAAAATTAATCTATTGCGATATAAATGTCTACTGTGAATTGTACGCCCTTAAAGAGCTTTATCAATAAGCTTAAGCATATAAATCTATGAGCCTTTCCAAGAACTATTTGATACTATTGCAGAACATTACAGAACAGTACCCTGCAGAAAAACCTGACAAATGCTTTGAAGTTTTCTGTCACAAAGAATACCTTGAGTCTGGTTTCTAAATGCTTCCATTCCTGATCTGTGTGTTTTGAATCCAAATCACCTGCCAGATTCCTTTCTTCCAACAGTTTATTTTTATCCTGAAGACTTTCAACATCTAAAGAAAGTTTCTGAAAAAAAAGACGAGAGAATAAATCAGCCAACACAAATCTTTGAAACACTTCACTTTTCATCCTCAATTTAATAACCAGTACAACCTTTTCATAGTAAATTGTAAATACCTGCATAGTTTGTCTCATCATCTTTATTTTCTGATTAGCTGCATTCAAGTCTGCCTGTAGCTGTTGGTAGCTTTCCTTCTGTTCTTCCAAGGATTTCAGTGCAGTGGCCCGCGATGTGCGCAACATCTGAACCTGAAAAATTTCCAGTAGAGACAATTAATTATTTCTCATTCTTAATGCTTCCCTCTGTCTCATGCAGTATGTTTAAAAGTATAAAATTCTTGGTAGTGAGGCTAATGACAAATCAATAATCATGTATTCTTTATCTATACTGATATGTCTCAGTGCAGTGCCCATGAAATAATGTGACAAGTCAGCTTAAGTCTTGCCAGTGCCTAAAATGTGTTAAAACATCACAATAAATCAAGTATTTGTAAAAGAATATACATAAATCAACAAATAATTTGAAGCACCACATCTTCCTACAAAAATTTTTTTTAATTTAAAAAAAAATTATTTTTTAAAAATAAAAATCAATTAAAACCATCACAGGTCCATAAGATGATTTTTGTCCTGCTGATCATATGAGCTATACCTGTCTTTGCAGCCCAGTGACCCTGTTTTTCATAGTTGCCAACTGTCTGCTTCCTGTTGCCACCTTGGAGCTGAAGACCTTGATCTTCGGGGCATCTTTCAAAGGAGAAGTGGCCGAATCCCTCGTGGTGGGAAGATCATCTACAGGAAAAGAAAATCAAGTGCAATATATTTTCACAATTCAGTGTCAATATATGACTTTAAATACTGTTTTGTAACCTCAAGATTGGGACAACAGAATGAAAACAATGGTGATAACCAGAGAGCATGACCCTTACCTGCCACTGCTGTTGTGGAAACCTCACTATCCTCTTCACCTGAATCGGGTTTCTTGCCTCTCCTTGGTGTCTGAATAGTTATAAGCAATACAAAGATAAAATTAAATTAAACTATATACATCTGATTATTTATTCCAGACTGGCAATTTTTGACATAAATTTTGTAGATAAATAAATATTCTTCAAGTTCAATATCTCTCTATCACTATCCTAGATAGATATAATTACTTTTTTACGATCTTGAGCAGTCTGCACAATGGCCTGTCCAAGACTATCCTCGTCTGAACTAGAACTCTCAGAATAATTGCTTCCATTGACAAAACTGAAAAACAAAAAAAAAATAAAGATAATCTTAAATATTTCCCTATAACTTAAGACATCAAACACTTTGACCAAGACCAGGTGACTCCAATAAAAACTGCCTACATTTATATCTTCTAATAACAAAATAACAAAATAACAAAATAAATAAATAAATAAATAAATAAAAACAACAGAGTTCCCCCAATACCTTTCAGTAGACACACTCTCCCAGCCTTCCTGGTTGAAGTCCTTGAATGCATGCTTCATTTTTTCTATGGATTTGTTTAATGCTTTCTGATACTGAAAGAGAGATGCAGCTTAGTTATACACATTTAATATGAGTGTGGAACAAGCAAATAGAAATCATTCTTTTTAAATTATTTGTTTAATAATTGTTTCTTGAATTAATATTAACTGAATGATAAGTAGACTCTACAGATATTCCAAGTCTACGTATGTACCTGCTTGGCAACTGGACTTGATTTTTGACCTTTTCTACCCTTTGTTGACTTCTTGGTTGTTGTTATTAGCTTTTCCACTGTTGTTCTAGAAACTTCAACTTTGTCTGCTTGTGCTCTCAGTTCTAGCTGCAACCTGTAAAGACACGAAAAGTGCAGTGCTATGTGCTATGTCTAATTTTTTCAAAACAAGGTCTGCATATCACACAAACAGCAATAATGGCTCTTTGAAAAGAATGTCACCAATCCTAAAGTGCTTGAAGAAATCAAACATTGCCATTACAACAAAATTACAAATTAATTTTTAACTTAATTTTTATCTTTTAAATCAATGTATTCTGTCTGTCTCTGACAATATTGAGTCATTCACACAGTTTTGCATTAATCATGACCAGTACAGCAGCTATGTTAATGCATTTCACAAACCTGTGAATTGAGGACTGGAGATTAGCAATCTCTATTCTGCGATCAGATTCACCTTGTTTTAACTGGTTAATCTCTGACTTCAAAGACCTTGATAATAAAGCAAATAGGTAAATATTATGAAATAAAGTTAACTTGTAACTTCAAAGACATTGAAAAAAAAAAAATAAAATGATTAGCCAATATCTTGATTTGCTAATTTTTCCTGATAACCATTATGTTTTCCTGTTTTTTTGTCTCTACATTTCTTCAATTTTAGTAGTCATGTTTCTTAGAGAATCCCTCCTGTCAAGCAAAGAAGTGTGAAAATTTGTGCTAAATTGCAAAATCCAAACCTTTTGTCCTCCAGGAGCTGTTCATTTTCATCTTGTAAGTTTGTCAGATCTTTCTCTAGTTGATGAATCTCATTTATTCTTGCACTTAGCTGGAAAAAAAATGTAACTGAAATGCTAAACCTTCCACAGAGAAAATAATTATGTATCATTCTTCGATCCTTTGGTACGAAGAGAAATCACACACACACACACACACACACAAAAAAAAAAAAAAAAGATAAACATACTACCTGCTCTCTGGCCTCCTCTAAGATTTCCTTACTTTCCCTAAGTTCTTCCTTCAAGTCTCGTTTTGGGGTGCTTGACCTTTCCTTCTCTTTAAGTAGGAATTGCAACTCTGAAAAAAATCCACCTTACAGTCAACAAACTCAGGGTCAACAAATCAAAGATGAAATATTTATGATAGCATGTTGAAATTGCTTATACCCCCTTTACACTGGACGGCGTCCTTTCTGCGACCATGAAATTTGGCATCGCTGTGGTCTTAATAAGGAGGCACGAGCATTGATTTGGTATCAGAATGAATGCTCAATGATCGGCCAGTTGTCAGCACGTATAAAGTATTATAATTCTTTAACTCTCAAATGGGGCCGAACTGCTGGACGCAGAAGGGACGCCGTCCAGTGTAAAGGGGGCTTTACTATGTACTTTTACAGAAACATTGTACTTTCCTCACTAACAGCATTACCAAGTCTAAGCCAGACATGATCTGATGTCAGCATGATGTGTCAATATTTTAATATCAAGTGGCTTTTATAATGAATCAATGCATTGCTATTAGTCCTCTATTTAGTACCTTCTTTCTCCTGTTGTAGACATGCTTTTAGTTCATGTATAGTGGCATTGTCCTGACTGGCCTGCACTCTGAGGGTGTCCACTTCTTCTTGAAGATTTATCCTATAATACCGAACAGTAACTTTATAATAATTATAGCGGTGAAACACTTCTATTCATGAAAGGGACCAATAAACATACATTGGTTTTATAAACATAATATTAATTTTTGGGGGGTAAAAATTGATTTACCTTTCCACAAGTAAGTTTTTGTTTTCTTTTCTTAAAACAGCGACTTCGTTCCACACAGCTTCACTATTTTCCCTCTGCAGAGATTTGGGATCTGGACGAGTGATTTTCTTGCGTTTTACACTTCTGAAACATCAAATCAAGATTCTGTTGACAACAGCAGATTAAAAATCGGAAAACACAAGTCTATATACTAAATCATACTTCCTAATCAATTTGAAAATACACACTAGGTGTTTTGAATTATAAAACTGCAAATATTCCAAACATTTTCGAGGTCTTTATTTTAAGGTTAAATTCTACTACCAATATAATAATCATGATAAACAATAACATTATATCTACACACTCTGAGCTCTGTGAACCATTCTTTATTCAGGTAGCTTATGTTGAAAAGAATCATCTCCATATATGTTCTGTAGGACTGAAGTCAAAGCAACTGGACGCTGGGACCAATATAGGCAATGACAGCTACATGCATGAGGTTATAATTAACTGCATAATATCTTCATACTCCAAATTAAAATATGCCCTAAAGAGATGCTTCATATGAGATAGTTATAACTTGAGTTAAACTCAACCTTTTCTGCTCCTCCTCATGTGTCAGCAACTGTTCTTTGACTAGTCTATAGTTCTTCTGTAACATGTGTAGTCTGTCTAATCTCCTGTCATGAGCAGACCTCACAGTTTCCAACTCCCTGATCTGGTTAAATAGAATATAATACACTTACAGGATAAAAAAATCAATTTTGTCAAACTGTCAGCATATTATAAATCAAGCACTGCTAAATATTTACATGAACAAAGAAGTTAACTAGACCACTTACTCAAAATGATTGCTACTCTGATAGATACTAAACAGATCCTATCTGGAATTTTCACCAGGAATCTAAGGCTCTATTCCCATAGATTTTAGATCGATCTATCCCCGCGGGGAGTCTCACTAGATTACTTTCAGATAATCCGACTTAAATGTCCGTCCCGCCTACTACAAGCTGTAAGAGGGTAATTAACTTTCTTGTCCGCCCGGCTGACAGCTATTTAGCGTGAACCCCCAGGGAGTTAGGTCGATCTAAAGTAGGTCGATCTAATCTATGGAAATGGGGTGTAATGTTCCTCGTGAAAAAAAGCAGGGTACTCAAAATTTTGGTTAGACATTTAGACAAAGTCTTCTTGACACTTCTAAAATAGAGAAAATCAACTTCACCTAATTCAGATTTAAAAAGAGCTAACTGGTCAAATACTAAAACAATCCACAATACCTGACATCTTAAAATACTTTTTCACCATTTTAAAAAATCATCAACACAAAAATACTTTAAAGCAAATTAACAATATTAACAAAACATATTTACTTTCATTTCTAATTTTCTTTGTGTTTCCTCCAGTTTCATTTCAGCAATATCCAATTGCTTTTTCAAGTCTTTCATGGTGTTTTTTCTTGGAGACACAGACCTTGACCTTGATGGTGTGGACACCTGGTGGGGACGGCTGCGTATTGGAGAAATGTGAAGATCGTCCAAATCTTTAGGAGCTCTTTCTAACTGTCCAATTATTCTGTAATGAAAATACAATGCCAAAATTAATGATTTAATTCATCTTTATACAAACCTGCATTATGTGGTTCTAATAGCAACAGTTTTTATGAAACCAGTTCATAAAATGAGGTCCACCTGTGTTAACATTCAGTATAAGAGTTACTTTAACACACATATATATAACAAAAGAGGGCCTTTATATCAATTCTGTTTCACATACCTGTTTTTTTCTCTTACTCTTTCCTTTAGTTCTTCAATCTCCTCTTGCTGTCTCTGTAACTCATACTCTGTCTCCGCATCAGGCTCAAATGTTTGGATTTCCTACACAAATACAACATCAGTGATACTCAAACATTTTGTTTAAAATAAAAAATTAAATACATAACCCTTAATAAAATGAAAATCATTTCATTTTTTTTTTCTTAACTTGATCAGAGATAAGGTATAAATACAACAACCAAGTTTTTGGATAAATCCAGAATGCTCTCATTTCTAAATATTCAGAGTTCTATCAATAAATGAGACTGATTTCACCTTGTCTTCCCCAAGCAAACTGGCCTGAGCAGCAAAACTCCTGTTGCTAGGAGCAGAAGCTTGTTCCAAATCTTTCTTGAGGTCTGCAATTTCTTCTTCTTTTTCCAATAGTTGCTAAAACAGCAAAAATCACCATGTAATTAGGGATATAATTAATTTTATGGACAACTCAATTAGAGCATATCATGTGCCTTTCCTACATACGAAAAGATAAACCATGGGAGCACATATAAAATTGGTGAAGGATGTGAAAAATAGAAATGTGTTCTCAAAGTAAAATCATGGTATAATATCAAGGTGTATTGCTTACTTTCTTCAATTCCAGCACCTCCTGCTTGCCCTCTGTCTCTATACCCTGTAGCCTTTTAAAGTCAGCCTCCAGTTCATCATACATCTGGAAACAAAACACAGACAACTGTATATCATCAAAATGTCTATTGGTATTTTGTAAATAATAATAAATACAAAATTGATGAAACTTATGTGTATCAAGTTTTCAACAAACTATTCTTGATATGACTTCACCAAAAAATTATTCTTCTTAAAAAATATTGGTGACTGGAAAGTCAATTTCAAAGATGTGTGCACACTGTACATTGACAATGTATTGTTCTCCTATTACCTTCTTCAAGGTGACAGCCTCCATAGAGTAGGCACTTTCCTGGTTATGAAGCACTGGGAATGAACAATAAGCAGTGGGTGTCACAGTGTGTACTGCATATTCACATTCTTTTAAAATGTTTTAATAACAATATCTTTTAAAGTAAAAGTTAAGCAATTTACAGTATATAAATTTATTCTCCACTGGCGGAAATAAAACATTCAAGACTGATCAGTAGCTATTATATATAATAGTTCTACATTGCATTTACTTCTCTGTGTATCCTGCTGCAGGGTCTGTAGCTGCCTTATAAGTTCTGCTTGCTGTGCTGCATGCTCACCACACTGGTTGTGGCTCTCCCACAGTTCTGACAACTCATGCCTGAATACAAATATATACACAAATATAAAAAAAAGAAATAAAACAAAATTTTACCTATTTACCCTTGTTTTTTAAATGAAACAAAACTCTAATATAATATATCTTCTATGTGTAAGAGGTTATGTTAAGATTTGAGCAACAAAGCATATTTTTTTAAACACCAATTATCACACTGAAATGTGATCTTCCAAATGATTAGGTTTGTTTTATTCAGAAAACTTAATAATGAAATTTATGAATCAGAATCCAACTCAGCGAATTTTAATTTCAATCTGCACTACAGTATGTTGACACAAGATGAAAACAGACAAGTTTTTTCAGGGAAATGGTTCAGGTTGAACCCTAACATTATGATCTGGTATAATATATATGTCCATGAAATCTCAGCTTGTTGAACTGATGAAATTAGGCAGACCATTTAACTGATTTACAGATCATTTGGATTATCATAATGATACTCACTTATAAAAATCTAAAAACTTGACAGAAATATTTCAGACATTAACCACAACCTTGTTTTGTTGGGATTTCAAAAATTTGTGAGTATCAGCATAATGATTCATATGACCTATACATCTTACACATGTAAGTTATCAATTTTAAATGTTTTATGAAAAACAGCCACAGCCATGAGCTGTAATTTAAAACTTAAATTTTCCTTGCAGCTCATGGCCAATGCTAAGTATCTCCCTACCTAACTGCCTCTAGTTCCTTATTTTTCTCTTTCACCACTTTACTGTGGTTAAGTGCCTGACCTTCCAACCTATTCAAAGTAGCTTTTAAATCTGAAACCTTTAAAAAAAGGAACTGTAAAGTAAACCACCACATAAGTCAATACTTAATTAAAAAGTTTATCAAAACTTAAGAAAGATCTTCATCTGCAATTAAAAGGATAGCATAATTTACGGTTCTAGATGCAACTGAAACTTACCCAAGTTGATTATGTAACAAATAATTTTCAATCATGGTATGTGCAATATGTATTCAAGTGTATACCTCTTGCACTTGCTTTTCAGAACTTAAACTTGCATCTTTCAACTGCTTTTCAAGTGCCTGAAATAAATGACAGAGATTGCTTCAGATTTTTTCCTTTACGATTCTTTTCAAGTTTTGACTTAATCTTTAAAAAGTTTTAAATTCCAAATTTTCTTTTTGTCATTTTCAAATATGACATACTGGTGAGTTACCTTAATTTTGTCTTCCTGGTTTACTTTGACAGCAATAGCATCAGCTTTATCTCCTTTCACAGTCAGTAGTTCCATGCGGAGTTTAGACACTTGATCAGCCAGTTCTAGCAATGCAAAAACATATCAAAGATATTACTCATCTACAACTACCATTTCACCCTCTCTCTATCTCCCTTCAAGTACAATGTCAGTGAAATGGCTATACAGCATTTAAAAATATTTCTTATAATGAAATTATGAAATCAAAACCAGAAATATATCTGCTAGTCATCCTTTATTCTGTCCACATAAAAACATACACCATAAGGAATTCACAAGTATGCACGCACACATGCACACACCTTGTTTCTCTTCCTTCAACTGCTGAAGTCTACTCTGATATGAGCTGTCTCTCTCCACATCTCTCTTCTCCTTTGTCTGCAGCTTGTCTTCAAGTAGAGAAGTCCTACTAGTCAGAACAGTTTTGTCCTTCTCCAGATTATCCAGTTCATTTTGTAGCTCAACTTTCCTGAAATAGTAATAAAATAGTAATGAAAACAAATGTATGAAGAATATCATCACATCACTTTCCAAACTTCTGAAAAAATTCCACAGGGATTCCACTTTGAATATTTAAAATAAATCATACTTTATCACACAATAAAAAAATTCCTATCATTACGTACTTCAGTTATATAAGGAGGTGAAAAGACAATTATATTTTATTTTAACATCGATAATGCCCTACTGTCAACTATGAAAAAAAAGTGAAATATTACAATAGAATAAATAACTTCCTTTATCTTATGCTGAAACTTGTGAAGTAAAAAAAAAATGCAAAATTTTGGCAAACGAGGCTGATGTGGCCCACTGATTGTCTCTTCTGTATGCATGACTTAAACCAAGATCAAAGACAGTGTAATTTGCAAGGTGTTAATTCCATCACTGAGCAGACTTTGTAGCACTCCAGTCATGTTCCTGCATGCTTGACTTGACAGACATTTCCACTGAGAGGCCACTTGGACTCGACACAACATTTATCTTTAGAAAAAAAAATTGATAATTATCTTAAAACAACTTTTGGCCAGAGCAGGGGTTCTGACACATCTGGGGTTAGTCTAGCAAAATGCTTGCTGATCTGGAAGATAGTGGAGTAGTAGTAAGTGAATCAGAAGACACCAGTGCCAGAGACCAATACTACGTCAGTGATGACTGCCAAAATGTGTACGAGGAAAAATGTCTTTTCAAAAGATGGTAATTTTGTCCTTGTGTACCCAATTTGTTATTTCATTTACTTCAAAATGAATAAATTATGAAAATGTTTATGCTCATGGTATATTACATTCTAATTTTAAAAGTGGGTCAGCCATATTTGATCTGTTAGTCTGTAGGTCAACTTGTTCTGAATGTGGCCTTTCAGCCTGTGTTTTATTGGATCTGACCCATGACCTGGACAGGTCACTGATCTGGTCCTGATCAGTCCTTCCTATTCACCCAATATTACCTCTGCAACATGGCATTCAACTCCTGTCCCTGGGTGACCACTGTCCCCTCCAGCTGACGAATCTTGGTGTCCTTGACCTGAAGGATCTCTAATACTTTACGGTCTTTAATCTCTGCCTTTTCTTTCTCCCTATAATGAAAACCTATCATATAAAATATATGGCAAAAATTTTCATCGGTTGTGTTATGCATGTAAATTGCAATAATAAACAGTTCAATCAACAGTTATTACCACTCCAATATACAAGTGTTCAATGAGACTCCTTCATCAGGGCAATATCAGGTGACATAGTAGCCTCTACTTAAAAGGTGCAATCAACCCCTCCCCCCCTTCTACCCTACTTCTGTAGAAAGGGCAAATCAAGGCCAGGGAGAGAAACTCCTCCATCATTTAGTTGCATCTTGCTGCAATCAACTCTATTAAACAAAAGGTGGAACACCAAGAAAACTCTAAAACAAAATAGTAAAGAACAACCACACATTTTGTTGTAATGTTGGATGTGCTTTCTATAACCATTAACCACTATTCACTAAAAAAAGATGCATGCAAATCCCTCTCATTGCACTTTCAATGATGATGCATTAATCAATTAATATTAACTGAGTGCATTAATAAATTTATCTGAATGTAATTTTTTCCATTCTTCTATTACATCCATATAGTTATTCATTTTAGTAATTTTTTGTATCCAATGATCATGATCTTTAAGATTTTAAAATGGGACTTTTCTACGAACACACACATATATTTATATATAATATTGACAGTTTTGCTACAATTTATGTGCAATTTGAAGGGCAATAAAAATAAATGGGGTGTTCTCTCAAGCACAACTATCAACTGACTTTGTCACACAATGATATTACATCCATGTGTGTGCAGCAATGTTTTCAATCAAACACCATCAACCCCCTCCCAACCACTTCTGACATATGAGTCATAACTATCTTGAAAGTGTGAAATCCCCAAATGCACATACACACCCTCACCTCTGTCCAATCTCAACTGTAAAAGTACACTTTAAAATACGAGGACAATGCATCAAATGTCACTGGGTACCAAGTAACAAAAATACAATTATGACTCTCCCTAGAAATGTCATGGAAAAAACAACAACATGCAATAAGGACATTTCCCTCCCAGTATGTGTACAAAGGGGTGACTGGAACTGGAAAGGACACATGTCACATGCGATCTCCGTTTTAACTCATAAAATGTGAATTACCAGCAGCATAGGACAATTATGACTTCACCTGTTAAGGTGCAAAAAGAACAGTAATTAATTCATTTCTTGATGGAAAAATCTATTGATCAGTCTTGGGTGAACCCTGTGTCTGTATTCCCGGTGGCTCCAGTGCACTGTGACGGTGTACCCCGGTGACATGCAATGCTGCAATTGGGGAAATCACAACTCAGGAACACTAGACTAGAGGAGATAGTTCAGCAAGGACAATATGACATGTACCACACAAAGAATGAGGTCCATGACTGATCTGGGCGGAAGAACCAACATCTTCTGTGACATTTTTTCCCTTTAATTCAAGTCCTGCAGTTCAGTTTGAACTGGGCGGAAGTTCCTACTTCTTCTGTGACAATTTTTCTTTTAATTAAAGTTGTTCAGTTCAGTGAGGCAGGAAACACAGTGGAAAGAACAGATAAATCAATGTATGACTAGGGATAGTTAAGAGTATTTGACACTTTTTAATACATGTGTAACAAAGACCAAAAAAAAAATGATTAATATAAAATGCTTAATAATTTTATCTAGAAAAGTTAATCCACATACTTCTTATATTACACAGCTTATATTTCCAAACTCAAACAAAAACTATCATATAAGGTGTGGCAGTCCATTTCCTAAATATCAAAAAGAAAAAAAAATGTGAATCACCTTCCAAATTTATTGGAAAAAGATCATACACAAAGGACATGGATAATCATTCAATTTCACTGAATTACTGAATTTTTAAATATATCATCTTTTGTAGAACAACACTGGCAGTGCATTAAGATTAGGCCTTTTACACTTCATGTGGTACAATTTTCAGTGCTGCCCCTGTTTGAGAGCTTGGAAACCTAATATCTAAACGAAGCCCCTGAACTTGACACAGCCAGGTAACTCCATGTGAAAATGACCTTAGTTTAGTACCTATGGTACATCATTCACAAAATCCTGAAAGAGAAGTGACCACCATCAGCCCCCCCCCCCCCCCACCCCCTGCTGTTTTACAGGCACTGAGTTGCATTCAAACAGTCTTAGGCACATTCCACTCTGTAATCTGGCAGTCTGACGAAGTAAAATAGTGTAGGTCTGAATGCAGCTACTAACTCACCTCTGTACAACCATGCTGACAGCCTGAGTGATATCTGGATTGGCAACCTGGAGACGCTTCCACAGGGACCACACAAATTCTTTATCTCCCTGCAATACAATAAGAACCTGGACTTAGGGCTTATTCCCCAAGAAACTATTGGTCCATGTATATCAAACCAACTCTGTGGGGAATCTCGCTGAATGCAATCAGATCAGCAGATTAACACCCCTCCTCCTGGCATTGAGTTCAATTATTATATAATAGTGCCTTACCTGACACTGTGCAAGCTCATCTGCCAGGGCATCATTTTCAGCTCTAAGCCTCACAATCTCAGCATCTGAAATGAAAAGGATGTATAAACATCAGCTGTGCCCAAAATTACAATCATGGTCACTATCATGTCTGTGACTTGAACGTCCTAATCAAAATGATTAAGGTAACTGTCAAATCACATAATCATTTTGAAATTGAAACAACTGGCATATGTATTTAATCTTTTTATCTAGAGGAAACTCTATGACAAGACTGTCACAGGTATGATTGTATGTTAGGTGAGCACAGTTGAAATGCAATATAAGTTTGAGAACTTGAAGATAAGTCAACATCAAAGTCAGTCACTGGAGTCTTGTAGTGTTGAGCTGGGGGAAGATAGGCACCAGTGCAGCTGTGAAAAAAACATTATATTGAATACCTCAGTCTTTTCATTTGAAATTTGAGACTCTCAGACATCAATGTATTGATCAATCCTCAACAAAATACAAGAGTGTACTGTATACCCCAGGGTATGTGACATATAAGAAAGTGTTTATGCAAATACAATTGTAGTCCTAATTGTCTTTAAGTTCAAAATTACCTTTCTCACGCTGAAGTTCCATGATTCTGGATATCTTTCTTTAAATCAATTGGGACACTTGGTTTAACCTGCAATAAATATTATGTTCGAATGTATACATATATTCCCTTAAAAGAAATTATATACATGTGTGTTTATGCAAATCATTAAATTTACACAACATAGTGACTGGCAAGTTGTTCATCTGCACCGTTGACCCACCATATATGTATGATGGGTCCAAGTCTTCACTGAATAAGAGAAAAATGTTGATCACTAGCTAAGCAGCATATAACATTTCAATAAATACCAATGTTCAGAGTAGCCAAAAGATATACTGGCTTTGTTTAGTTCTTATTCATGGATATTAGTCTTGAAGTCAATAGCATGGGACAACAGAAAGTGACAGAAACCTAATCCTTGTTTAAGACGTACTGTACATATGCAGAACTAGTGCTTGCAGTTGATGTAATCTTGGACATAACGTTATTATGTCCAAGATGTAATTTTTCAAAATTATTACAACTTATTTAAATGGTTTTCTACTACCTATTTTCGCTTGGTTACTGTTTATTTGTTTAAGAAACTGCAGACATTCAATTAAGATTATTTGGTTTGGCCTTATATCTAATGTGAAGTATTAACATAATATCTTTTTGTTGGTTTGAAGTTCGATCATTACACCAGTTGTAGGTCAACTTTTTAGTTCTACAGGGATTACTGTCTGAAGAGTGGAAAGAGTGAGATTGTGAAATTTATCTATTAAGCTTAGGTAATAAGAGGGATAAAACATTAATCTACAAGTATAATGCGAAATGTATCAATGCATAATACGACTAAACACTAAAACTCTTACCGCCCATAGCGTGTATGTTTTGAAAGCGTGTTTACACTTCTGTGATTTTCAAATCAGCCTCTTTTAGACATAAAGCGGTACTAGTTGTCGTAAGATCTAACATCAAAATACCAATACAGGTAAGATATGAAAAAAATAGATGTTAAATATGGCTTCTTTGCAGATAACAATTTTTACTTATGTATGTACCTATAAAACTTTATGATTAAATATTTCGTAAAAATCGTACCCATTTACGCCAATAACAAGGATGGCGGCGGTAAGTTGTGAATGTGACAACAGACGACGTGTTTATTTCTACGAAATGTTGTCGATTCAGAACTATATGTATATTTCCAATGTGTGTGAATATATTTGAATAATTCATTATAAGACCACTCAACTGTTATGAAGTTCCCTTTCTCTGGATTACATGAACGCGGGCACAAGATGAGTGTATCCCGTTCGTCTGTATATACACAGAAGAGTTCCCTTATGTACTTTCATTTTCAGGGTGCGGTTTTAGTTTCAAAACAAGAACCCCGAGATCCAATAGAAATTATGAAATGATGGATGTTGTTCTTTTATTTTAATGTGTGTGAGTGATATTATTATTATTATTTCGCTTAAAGTTTATCAACAGAATGAATAAATAGAAAAGAAAACTTAAAACTGAAAGTTGTATGCTTACTATGTATTGTTGAAATGGATTTAAGGTCAATCCAGGGAGACCTCACCACATATCTGTGCCCTTTAAAGAAGATCCCCTTTTTTAATTCCACAGGCATTGTCTTCAACTGAGCATCATTTATACCATTTCAATCCATCATTTCAATTGATTTTTAAATAAATAAATAAATAAATATAAATGAAAGAGAAAGAAAAAACATTAATAAGACATTACGATATTTAGCAATTTTTTTGCTGAGCATCTACAATTGATGTATTTTGCCAATCATTAGACCTTACAAAATTAAACGTTTTTCTGTCAGACATCTGGGTCTCAAGATTTGATTAATGCAAGTGGTGCTCAGTTTGTCAGTTTGAATAAAGATCTGATAAAACTCACAATTTATGGACATTATAATGTTATGGGGCCAAGTATTGACTGAGTACAGATTGAAAATATCTGTTATTTGTACAAAAATATATGACACCTTTGTCTGCATTTGAATATTGTTTTTGTTAATTTCTGAACATAATGTTAAAATTGTATAAGCAAATATTCACCGTGATAAGTTAAACATAAATAAGTATTGTTTCGATATGTAAGTAATTATTGTTTTATCCCCCCTTAGCCTATATGTAACATTTTTTTCTGTAAAACATAAATGTCCCCTTATTTAACTAAAAGAAGGTGAAATATATTCTTTCAAAAATATTTCTGATCTTTATTAATTTTAAAGGAGTTAACTGTCATAAAAGATGTGTTCAGATACAAAATCAGTCGAGTATGTATGCGTGCATATATACAGGCCTGTTTGTATATAAATTCATGGTCTGACAGTCACCACTTTCAGTCATTATGTTATGCAAGATTTATATACATATGCATTTTAGATAGTAAATGATGATTAATGTGTCAAGTATGTTTTATAGAGTAAGAGATGAGTAGACAGACATCTAAATTTTCTTTGTAGTGATGTGCATATGACATCTATAATACAGAAAAAAATGAATTTTTTAGTTCAAGAACATTTCTGCATTCCATAATATTACACAGATTGTAAGGGTTTCCAGTAGATAGATATATCAAACACCAATTAGTACTACATGTAGAAAAAAACTACTAGTATTATTATTATCATTATTATATATACAGTTTCAATGCTATGGCACCTATATATGGGTGGGGGAGCACACAAGTTTGCCTATTGACCAAAGCCAGGTAAATCCATCTCAGCTTATTTTGCAGAATGATCCAACATGGCCATTTATTGGCCATGTAAATGCCAAGAGGTGTCTTGAGTGATTTTATCCTGGGATCTTCTTGGTTCATAATTGTTGTCTTCTAAGATGACCCTTCGTAGCATTTGCACATGTCGTGATCAATAGCATGGGGTTGGTGTATTTACGTCAGGGAGACTTCAAAAGGTTAGCACAGCTGCGGCATATTTTCCCCCGATATTGGGAACCAGGCAAAATAATTGCACATAAATAATCCTTTTGGCTGCTCTTTCACCTAGCCAAAGAAATAATGTCCTGTAGTTAGAATTGTCAGGGGAGACCAGTTATCTGTATTTACTGACACCAGAGGAGTTTAATCACAGCTGTATCCTTATTAGTAATACCATATGGCTTTTGAATGTTCTCTGAACCCATGGCAGCACAGTCCTTCTATTGATTTAACCAGACCTAATTGTGTATGTGAAAATCGCATTTGGTCTCCTGTGTCATTAGAAATTCCTCCCCGGACCTACTGTGTTTTATTTCCAGTAGGACAGTCTTGTATTGGTAACCATATAAGTTCCCGTCCCAGCAGCCAGGAGTGGAAGGAGGAGCAGTGTCTATCATTGGACAGTTGGAACTGATTTGATTGTCTTATTGGCAAACCCAAGTACCTGGAAACCTCGTGTGTCTGTGATACCATCACAACTTCTGTTTCTGTTTCTCCCTGTAGTGATTGGGTTACAAACTTCTAAATATGTCTATAGATACAGACTTGGCCCATCTGTGAGCTGAACACTTATTAAATAACCATAACCAGTTCACAAAATGGGTGTCACAATAATTCACCAGTGAATAAAGGACGGTCATCAAGTGAAAAAATACTTAATCATTTATTTGAAGCAGGTAATTAGTGTATTTTAGATCAGGTACTTGATGAATTTTGCACTTCGGACATGAGCCATGATTTCAAAGAGTTGTCTCCAGAGGGTCTGGCTATGTTCATGTATGAGAGAATTCCCCGGGGAGGCATTTCAGTTTTGGTCAATAATCAAGCTACATTTTCTGCAACTGTAATTTACAGCAAACACTGAACATTGCGGGCTTTGGGGAAAATTCAATTTGAAGCCTGTTATAGTCTCCCAAACACAGATGTGACATGGCAGTGTCTGAAATTGATGCACTGTTCTGGAAAAATGACATGCATTGTTATAGGTACTGACTTGGTGATCTGTGCTTTTTTTTTCCAAGTTTTCCTAGTCAATCTAACGTGTGGAAAATAGACAGGCCTAGATGGAAGTAATACTATTTGTCTTTTTTATCTACTTCTTCAGATTACATTTTCACCTGTTCAGAAAAGTCCCAGTGAGTGACCCATGGTTTTAGCTTTTTTATTTCCTTTCCTTATTTCACTGGAATGTAGATCAGAGGTATATTTGCAGACTTAATAGGTGAGGGAGTTTTTTTTTCTGAGCGGATGCTGTCTTTTGCAATAAATTCTTGGGTCAAAAATGACATGTTTTCAATATACATTAGATATTGAGTGGTGAAAGCTCCAAGGATCATTGCTCATACAGTTCACCTTCTTAAGTAGTGTCTGTTGTATACACATGGCTTTTACGATTAATTGGACTAGAACAAATGGGATTCACAATTTGTCAAATGGTATTAATTACAATAGCAAGGCCTTGTAAGTCAGAGACATTTTGATGAATAGGATTTTTGAAATTAATTTAGTGGCTGTTTAGGAGTCGTGTTGCTCTTAATGATAGAATTAATTGAGTGTTTGATATTCATTATTCTAATAAGATATTCCATGCTGAATTTTGCAAAATGGCTAATTGTCACTGAAATGTGAGGGAAGAAGGGTTGCTAATGTGCTGCACATGAATTGTCAGATTGATTTGGTAGAATATCAAGTATCGTAGGAACATGTATTTATACAGCGTTGGTTTCATTCTAATGGAAAAATATTTCTATGATTACAGTTATGCCTTAGAGATGCCAGGTCTCTTCCATGAAAGGAATGTCAACAGTCTATAAATTTAAGTATATCAAAAGAAACAAGGACAATATCATATATTGGAAATAATGTTGTTTTCAATCAGGTTTGCTCCTGTATTAGTTTGTTTTTTTATGAATTCTACATCATTCAAAGTCTAATCACAGAAGACCCAGGTGATTTCTTTTTTCATGTTGGTTATAAATGAACAATTTGTTTTGTCTTCTGCCATGTTTTCAGTCTTTTAAAGAAATTATTATTGAAAATCTGTGCCAGGACTGTAACCAATGCTAAAAGAAAAACGAGAGAGAGAACCATTTTTTTCAGTTATTTAATATATCATCAGAGATACATTAACAGCACTTTGCATCAAATTAATTAAAAGTATCAACACTTTTTTCAAAAAAATTTGCTTCGGCTATGCAGCTGGGACAAAGATTAATGTCCACTGGCATGTGCTTAGATATTTTTTCTTTCACATATTTGATTTTTAGTCATAAAGGTGAACAAAATAGTCTACATGCTGCATGGTTCTCAAGGTTGCCAGTTTAATATATGTGATTTTTAAGTATGTTATTTTCTGTTTCATTTAATTGCTTAAAATGCATAATTTTGTTTACAATTACTTGAAGGTAAAAAGACAATTTGTGTGCAGGATAGTTTCCAAATTGATCAGCTATCATTCTTTTTTAATTTGATGCTTGAAGCAAACAGTTTTAGAAAAATATATTAAACATAAAAAAATGCGAGAAAAAAGACATGATCTTTAGATTTCAACTACTTTAAAAAGACCAGAACCAAAATTATTTTTTCTTTTTACAAATTTGAAAAGTGGCAAATAAAATAAAATCTGTCTCTCTCTTTATCTCTTCAAATCCTTTAATATTTTTGTGCAGTATTTAGTGAGTATTGTTTCAATAAGACTTTTCTTACACCCCATTTCCATAGATTTTTAGATCGATCTATCCCTGTGGGGAGTCTCACTAGATTACTGGCAGCTTGGCCGGCTTAAGCGTCTGACCCACCTACTAAAAGCTGTAAGGGGGTAATTAACTATGGTGTCTGCTCGGCTGACTGCAATTTAGCCTGAACCCCCAGGGAGTTAGGTCGTTCTAAAACTTAATCTTTAGATCGATCTAAATCTCTGGGAAAGCACCCTAAGACTGTCAAACACCATTCCCATGGCAATCACTAAATTACCTTCACTATTTTGCACCCCCTCCTCTCTCCCCCCCCCCTTTTTCTTCGCTCCATGCACTGTGACACTCCACCAAATATATATTATTCCCTAATGACAAACAATGATTATATGATTGTTTTATTTTTTCTTAAACTATGCCTCTTGGTCTGTGTTTCAGCAGCCTGTCTGCCATAAAGTCATCATCAACCCATTGTGCAGTTCTCTACAGCAACCTGACACCCTTGTCTTTAGCACAAAACCTAGGTCAACTTTGATCTGATGTTTTCTAGGGGTTAGGCCCCAATTTGTCAGTGGTGTCGCAAATGATAATGTCCACATGGTAATGAAAATGCTGCAGCTGTATAAAGGCCTCTTGACAGGTTTATTAGGCTATATACTGAGAAAAATGAGCCATAATATGAGCAAATTCCATCTGGTGCTGAAAGCTGCTTTATCTTTGAGATTAAAATGACAACAGATAAGTCAGCTGTAATTAATAGTAAATTTGTCAAAAACTTCATGAATCCTGTAATGGCATGTCTTTTGGATTCTCTTTAGTTCCTGACATGTGCAAATACAATTTCGCTTGTGGAAATCTGTCACAAGACATTGCTGTCTTGTTATCACAGAGTGTCTGGGACACAACAGCAGTTCCATAATCTTTCTTTGAGATAACACAAACTTTCATTAAAAGCAAAGGACAATGTACAGTCGTTGTTATCTGCTGTCTATGCATGTGGCCTGTGCAAATGCCAGTTTTGTGTGATTTGGCAAGCAATAGTCTGAATTCTAATTGTGACCGTTATGGCTTAGTAGATTTATTGCCAGCCTTGATTGCCACGCAGGGTGACATATTCCCAGGAAAGATCAGAAATAATTCACCAACCATAAATAATCATTGTGTCACAGTCAGGAAATTAAAGCAGGACATAGGAACTGTGTTCATCTATATCCACACTGTGGTGTGTCAGCACTTCAAAGGTATTAGCTTGACATCCAAAAATCCAATTTAATTTTCTTGTCTCAAGTTGCATGCAGCCAGAGCGTCACTGCTCTGCTGGGCTAATGTAAATGACAGGGCAAGGCAATGATTATTTATTGACTGAACTCTGGCAGCAGCGGCTCTGCCACACTGAGACTAGGACAGTCACCAACAAGCCGCAGTGCCAGAACAGCAGACAGGCAACAAGCAAGGAACTCCAGATCATGGTGGGTATATGTACTGCATTCCCAATACAACACACACATGGTTGTCATTGTAAACCAATGTTTGTGAACATACAGAGGTTCTAGATGGGTCAGAGACAGCATATGATTTGTGTGGAGAGTGGGAAAATAATGGGAGTGGAATACCAGCTTGTGACACTGGCCTTGTTCCTGTGCCAGGAAACTAAGCTCTACAGATATGGCCTTGTGGTGTCATGTTCACCATACTTGGTGGATGAAGTGTGACTCAGACTCTTGTGCTGGGTTGTCAAGTAGGGGACAATATGGCATATGCTCTCCGAATGAATTTCAGAACATTTAGAATAAGATGGAGGTCTTTTTGTTTGCTCATTTTTGTCACATATTTATGTCTTAAGCCCCCTTTACACTGGACGGCGTCCTTTCTGCGTCCAGCAGTACGGCCCCATTTGAGAGTTTAAAAATTATAATATTTTACGTGCCGACAACTGGCCGATCATTGAGCATTCATTCTGATACAAAATTAATGCTCGTGCCTCCTTATTAAGACCACAGCGATGCCAAATTTCATGGTCGCAGAAAGGACGCAGAAAGGACGCCGTCCAGTGTAAAGGGGGTATTAACAAGAAACTTCAAAACACTTGTAAAATGTTATGTTTCAAACAATTGGAAAATTTTCCCTGTTAATACTTAACAGTATTTTGATTACGTTGAGGTATTAGATATGTATGAAATCCATAGCTGTCTGTTTTACTTGACAAGTTGACATATTGCAGACCTTTAGATCTTCAGACATTTTTATGTCTATATTTTTGTTGCCTTGTAAAGAAATATCAAAAAGAAGTTGAAGATTTGAAGTCACTTGTAGCTATGATCTAAGTCAGCGTAGACAGTACATGTATTTTGCAAAGGTTGAAAAGAAGACAAAATCTGTAAATGTGAGTGGGCATCTGAGATGAGCATTCCTTTTTTTGTGGGGCTATTGCAGAGAAATAGATGCTAAATGATAATGATTTTGTAAAAAATGCTCTGAGCTTTTTGTTTTAGTGCTTAATCTTAAAAAAAAAACAATTCATTTAATGACATTTACTGTTGGTATGATGTAAATTTTTTTACGTTTCAAATTTGACCTTGAACTAATGTGTACATATGAAGGTCAAAGTGATTTTATCAGGGTTGTCCACTTTGTTACTGGCTATTAATTAAGACCATAAGAAAAGTTGCTCACAATCATTTCCAAATAGATATTCCTTCAAAATGATTTGTGTTATTTGCCTTGACCCTTGTAATGACCCTAAGTTGGCCTTCGCTTAAATTGTTTATTTCCAACATAAGGAGACAAATATTCCTTCCCATCAGTACATGTACTTGAGTATACTACCATTCTCCTTACAATTTTTAGAAAAAAAAAATCATCCCAAACATTTTTCTTGTTCCCTTTTAAAGGAATTCAATTTTTGTATCCATTTTTATTTTAATTCATAAATTTGAATTAATTGATCTTGCTTATTATTTCCTTTAATGTAAATACTGTTGTATGAACTTCTGCTCCATTGAGTTTAAGGTAACTCATATAAAACAAACTCTTCATGCTTTTAAAACTACATGTTGTCATTTCCCCCAAGACCAGGCATTTGTCTTGCACACATTTTGGCTCATTTATTACATTATAACGACTTAATTTTTAAGCATGCATGATGCTGGCATTTACATTTTCAGTTTCGCAACGTCAGTCCAAGTGCATGTAGCACATTATGAAATTGCATCACTCGTCTTTCAAAGGAGGCCCAGGCCTGTAGCCAGCAATTTCAAAAGGGGGTTCTTTTTCTATAAACAGTGGACCTTTTACCATAAAATCTTTGTGTACCTAGATCAAAGTGTACCCCGAGTGGACCTTTTCTAGCAAAAAGGGCGGTTCTTTCGAACCCCCGAACCCCCCCTGGCTACAGGCCTGAGGCCTGTGATATTTTGATTTTTACTCAAGAAATACTGACCACAGTGCCCAATATTGAGAATTTAGTTTAGTTAACAGATAAACTATTTAATGAATTTATAAAATACACTGTGTTAACAGGCAGTGTCATGTCCTGTTTATACAAATATATTACATACATATCTTTTGCACTGCTTCGACAGACAAAGCAACAGAAAATACACAAGGGTCAGAGCAACATCAATATTTGAAACTTTTTTCACTGTCTTCGGGGAGCTGACATCCCCATTCTTCATGTGTTGTCCTACTGCCATCCATCCGCTATGGCTAATTATCTAAACTGCTGGTATTAAGTTTTTGAGTGATGCACACACACACTCCAATAAGTTCAGCCAGGAAACCTATTGATCACCCTGTTTTATTTATTGGTCTGTGATGGCCCTATAGTTCACAGGGATATGCTGTTTGTGAAGCGTGATTGGGGACATGTGGAGGTGGGAGGGCAGTGTGAATGGGAACAAGTCACTTCCTCTGGTTCAAAATGAGTTTTTGCTGCTTGAACTAGATGTGGTACTATTTTAAACTGCCAATATGTGTTGTGTAGCATGAATGGGAACTTTGCATGGATGGTATTATTTGTCCCTCAGGTATGACATATCCATGTTTAAATATCACCCAGGAACCATTTGTAATTCAGTAATGTACTACTGTGATTTCAGTTCCCCATTACAAATTTTATGGTCAACATGTAGTCCAGTCGGATGTTCATGTTCTTGCTGTTTAATGTGTCAGAAAGCATAAGACTTAAAAACACACCGTAGGTGGACAGAGACATTTCTGTCTGGGAACATGAGGGTTCTTGAACCATTATTTGTAGAAGCAATCTTTTGTTTTATTAGGTTATTTTAGCAAAACGGAAACTGTCGAATAGTATCTTGAGACCTTAACATTGAGGGGTAAAAAACATTTTTTGTAACTTAGATATACACCTGTGAATAAAAAGAAAAAATAATTCCAAAATTTTTGAGATATTTTCAATGTTTTATTCATTCATCTGGAAAATGGAAACCATCTTATAGATTTATGCAATTATAGAAAGACAGTTGATATCATAAAGCTGCAAAGTGCAGTTTTGGTGTTATGTTACATGTATCACGGCAAACACTAGATGAGCAGTCTAAATGCTAAAACAGAAATTCAGTCCTGTATTTTTCTTCATAAGCATTAATTCAAATCAAATGGTATATTCATTATTAGAAATGTCTAATGTGTGTACTTTTAAAAGATCGCAGTTTTTATAATTTTTCAATTCCAACAAATATTCACTGTTATTTTGATTCTGTGGAAAGAGAAGGAAGGGGTTTTCATATATAGTAAAAATGTTTTACACACGTGATTTTATTACTTAAACCAGTACTTTTCTTTAATTTATATAATAAATTGTATGATCAACAGTTTGATAATTGAAAATAACAAAAAGAAATTGATAGGCATCTTTGATGCCTTATGTTGGAACAGGTTTAGAGAAAATAATTCACCAAAATTTTTATTTGGTAAGAAATTTTTGGAATTACAAAAAAAGGCAATGCTATGTGATCCCAGTGTCACATTGAAAAGATTACTTTTGTCTAAGTTAACTCATTTATGACCAGGCACTTAAAGATAATTGGCGATCATTAAAGGAAATAAATCTATTCCTGAAAACACAATTGATGAATATTGAATTATCATTCTGATTAGTATCTCTTTTTGTTTAGTCACTAGACCTAAATAGAACAGTCTTAAATACTATTATTAATTGGTGTGTAAGATTGAGCATACAGAGTTTTTATGCACTTCTATTGCAAAAAAAAAAAAAATTAAATTTGCATGTAAGTACCCTAAATTGAAAATTTTGAAAGAGTTTTTTTTTGAAGTGCTTCTATTTTTAAAGATTTCTAGTGTATGTGCAAAAAGCTTTACAGAAATTTTTTTAAAATTGGTAGATATATGAAAAATGTTTTTGGTATCTGGGAAATAGACTCAGTGATTGCTTTTTTATTATTACTGTATTGAAAGATAAGTTCTTTATTTGAATTAGAATTAATATGTATGCAGTTATCTTGTTTTCTACTCTTAAAATTTCACAAGTAGACATAAGACCTAGTCACTTTCTCTCTAAAATATCATAAAATATGAAATTATTTTTAGAAAATATTTGTTCAATTGATGTAAAATGTATACTTTATAAAAATAATTGTAAAAAACTTTAAAGTATATTTATATACATCAAAATGTTTTGTAATTAAACCCGATAATTGTTTTCTTCTGAACCAAAGAAAATAAAAAACAAGTATCTCTTTTGAGTTTTATACAATTTTTAAGCCGAATATTTGAGCAAAGTCAGAAAAAAATTTTTTCACTTGAAATAAACCTAAGATTCATTTGATGTTTACTAATACATTTAACAAAGTACTCAGTTGAAGACAAAATAGAGCAAGAAAGAGGTCTGTCAGCCATGACTTGCCTTGATACATTCATCCATTTATGTAGATTTTACTGGATATTTCTCATCTTTTATTACAGATATGAGCTGGCATGATAGAAGCCGTCTCAGCGATCTCGGCAAGCAGTCCTTATTGATTTTTCTCTGCCCATGTCACATAAAGCTAATCGTGCTGTTGACTGTACACAGGGGTCACATGTTGGTCAATGGTTCCTAGATGATCAGAAGGGATAAGAACAGTGCAGTTACAGTTTATCAGCTAGGCAGTTTTTAAATCAATTTGTTTATATTTAGGATCCCAAAGTCTGTTAATAAATATGAATTTTCATTTATAAAGCTTGCAGAGAAACAGGGGTGTTTCTTGGATTAAAAAGGAATAATTTTGGTTTATTTACATTTCAGGGTGTTATTTAGTTTGTGTTTTTGTAAGGTTCTTAGTCGTTATCAACAGTTTCAGAATAGTTTCACATAATTGTCCTTTACAAGACTGCAACATTTGTGTTAGACATATGTTAGCTAATTTGGCCAAGAGAAAGTGACATTTCCTTGAAGAGAATGTTTAAATAGATCAATGTATTTTATCAAGAGATTAGAAGAGATAATGAAGAGATTATCAAGGCAATATTGTTGTTTGATGATTAAGCTTCAGCTGTGAGCACCCCTGAATTGCCCTTGTGTTACATAAGCCCTGCTGTCAACTACCTCCCACCCTCCATCCTTATCCTGTGACAATTACCAGAAGTACTAAGCATTGGATTGTTAAGATTTAATGTAATCAATACTTAAACGGTACTTAAGCTGGGGGGGATGTCTGATTGCACTGTAAGAAGGATGCCAGAGGGCCTTCAGGCAGCATCAGATTCAAGGAAGGTATTAATATTGCAAACTTGGACTATTTATTTGCCGGCAGTGCTGATAAATGTCATTTGTCCTTGCTTGATTGGACCATTTACAAAAGGCCCATCTAGAACACCCATGAGCTGTGGCTTGGAAAAAGTTTTACATTGTTGAATAATGCCATTTTGGTTGCTTACATATGCTTCTTATTTCTGTGCCTTTGAAAATTAATGTACGTATTTCATACACTCATACAAATCCTTAATTTTTAGAGAGATGCTGTGTTTCTATAAGTTTACTTGTGTATGATATGAAAAAACCATCAGACATTTTGTGCTGTATGGGTGGATGGAGCATGAGAGATATATACATTTTTTACTGGTGTCTGGTGTACTTTTATCGCACATGTTATAAAGTGTTAGAGAAATTAATTTGATGCAGCAGTGTATTTATTTACTGAAATAAGTACTCAGATATGCCTCTTTATGATTATTTTGATGTGGGATAAAATGCATTTTTGAAACTTATGCAGATCCCAGTAATAAAGTATTTGTCCTATCATAAGATTTTATCAGCTCTACAATGGAACCTTTTTTCCCCCCTTTGGAAAGTTTTTCTTTTGATACCAGGTTTTAATGTTCAGTGTGTAGATATCCCACTATGACAGAATTGGATTGCATAATGTTTAGTCTGTAAGAGATATTATTGTGACTGCTACTGTTCAACTGGAAACCTGTCCAGCCTTCAAGTTGTTGCCTTTTCCAACCATTCAACGCCATTGTCCAGGCAACCAGGAATAGTCTAGTAGGAAACGGCTTTGTTCATGTAGTAGTCTGTTTGTCTGTCCAGTCTAGCAAATCTTCAGTGGCTATAGGTACTAAAATGCAGCATACATGTGAGAATCATTAACTGGCTACCTGGCCTAACTCTCACATACATAAATAACAGAAGCAGACAAGACCCCCTCCTCTTCTCCCTCTACTCCCATCCATTGACAAGGTAAGGGTTGATGAGGCAAGCACCTGGTATGCTCTACATCTATCTTGTCAACTCTTATATTTATCCCATCAGCCTATCTTGTTTAAATGTCAGGGCCAGCTCCCGGGTAAGCTATCTCCTGCGCTGCTGGTCTCTGATTGCATCTGTTTGACAGGAGGCTTTCCATACATGGTGAAACACAGGGCAGTGGTATTAGAGGCCACATGTGTTCTCCCTCTGCCGCCTCCTCTCATCACTGTGTATGTGCTACTGTGTATGACCACTGCTGCTGGACTGTCCTGCTATTCCTACCAGGCATTACAGTAGCGGCCACCTCGAGGTGAAACAGCATGGCAGCCACAGAGCGGAACCCTTGGCTTGGTGTAAGTACTCTCTAGCCTTATTCCCATATGTTCTGGGAGGTATTATAGGTTTCTATATCACACAAAGACCAGGTAGCTTTCTATGAATGACTTGTAGAGATAGTTTTAGGCAGACTGATTTTCTTGGTGGAATATAGGGGCCCGAATATAGCATGAACGTGTGTAGTGTGACTAATGGTAAGTTTTTGGCAGTTCTATTACACATAAATTTAGATCTTTCCCAATGACCCCACGCACCTTTACTTTCTCCTGGAAAAAGTGGGATACCTTTATTACCAGTGGTGTTTATGGTTTGCATAGCGTAGGTGTAGTTATTACCCAGTGAAAGTGCAAAATGAGGTGTATTGATGTTTTTGGGACATCACACATAGTGTAGGATGTTTCTGTTTACTTAGCCAAATGTATTTTAATGTTAATAAAAATGTTTTCATTAAATGAACAATACTTGATTACCGTAGTGGAATTGATTTCAGTTAAGACACTTTAAGTGAATGACATATGCACTCATGTATGTGTTGTAGTAGGTATAGCAGTATAAGTGGCGTATGTGCCATAACTCTTAGAGTTGTATTACTTTGGTCATGTACACATGCGTGGAAAGGCATTATTTATGACATAGTTGATCTGCTCCATTTGAGCATTGATCATGGTTTGATACACCTCATCTAAAAAGGAGAGGACAAAAACACACACATGAACCCTTGAGTTAAGGTACTCAGAACCATGGTTACTCGGACATGCAAAATTTTTACCCAAATGCCGAAGTTGATATTTGAAAAAAAAAAGCTGAAATATTTTTAAAACATTTTATTTTGCAAATTTATCCTTTATTAAACTCAAAGATTTTTAATGGTTTAAATATTTCAGTTATCTAACTAAACTCAGATTTATGCTTGAATAAGCCAGCATGATATCTTTTGATATACTATTTAGTGTTGTGAGCTATTGCCTCAGAGAAAGAGCATCTCATATAATTACAAATTTGTTTGTAAATTGCCTTCAGTTTACTGTTTGTGACATTTTTCTTTTACATGATATATAACAATTGAAGTGTTAAGTGTCCCAGCAATGAAATTTGCTGGCCAATATTGCTGAATTATGTTCAGATAACAGTATTAAAAAAAGGTCAAAAAAGCTGTCTTTCTTTCATTCTCTGGAAGATCATTCTCAGTATTAAAATTTATAATAAAGGGTTCTGAACAAGATGTTTTGGAAACAATTCACTGGCCACTTACACTACATTCAAATCAATTTCGATATAAATTTGTTACAAAAGAAAAAAAGCTCATTGCTTTCTTTGTCATTGATTTTTAGCCTAAATTTGTGTGTTGATTGGACACTGAATTTTGAAAATGACCAAATCACTTTTTACAAGCAGATGAAATTTTTACAATTTTTGTGACTTGTAAAATGAAGATTTTTTTCTCTGAAAAGATTGAGTTTAAACAAAAGAAATAAAAGTATATTAATTTTAAAAAATGAAAGTCTTCCTACTTAAATGGTTTGATACTTTTTCATAAGTTTGGAAAACAGTGTGTGTTTTTTTTCTTCCTAAAAGCAATTTTTCTTTTTCAAACATGTTTGTGTTCAATGGTGACTGAGAACAATTGAAAGTGTCAATTACAAAAAATGCTTTCACATCAACAGATGTATTCATACAAATTTAAAAATTGAAAAAAGCAAATCAGTAACTATCAGTGTGACATAATATTGTTTCGTGATATTTTGAGCCCTTTTTCTGCTTATGTTACAGTCATTTTCATTTATTATTTTCTTTTATTTATTTATTTTTTATTTTATTTATTTATTTATTTATTTTTTTTTTTTTTGTCAAAATAGAATTTTTCATAACACTTAAAATAATGGAATTTAATTAGGTAAGATTATTTCACAGGGTGTTTTAAGCCAAAGGGATTCTAAAAAGTTAAATTCATACAAGTCCAGAAATTTTGCAGTGAAAAACAAACATTTCACTATTATTGTATTTCACGAGTACGATATCTTATATTTGTTTGAAGATTTTAGTATTATTTTTATTATCATTATTATTATTTTATGCAAAATTTAAAGTTGTAATTTTGATTTTAAAAACTGCATTTTTGAATCATGGAAATTGTCTCATGCTGAGACAAAAATGACATAATGGAGGTGAATGTACCCTGCATATTATTACCTGTAGAAAAAAATGTGGTGTTACTGATCAGTCATCTATCAGAGAAAATCTCCTGACAAGTTAATTCGATTTAGCAGGTCCTAGCCGTGGAAATCTAAAATATCAGGCATCGAGTGTTAGTGTAGTATGTACAGGTAAAGTGAGCAGAGCAGTAGAGACGTCATTCCCTAGATTCTGCATTCCACACTGAGCACACCTGGCAACTCTCTGGGTGAAATGTGCAGTGTCAGATCATTCATGCAGGTACACTGAGAGCACGGCGAGCAAGAGCACCTTGGGCTTAATGGATGTCACTTGAATCGGGGGCCTGGCCTGGCATAGCATCCCTTTTAAGGCCATGTGCCGTGTGAGCGGAGAGGTGGGCCAGTCTCCAGTTTCAGTGCACACGCTCACAACCTGGCCGCACATAATTTGTGTCATATGACGACAGCATGTTTGCTTTTCCGTGGCCATGTTAATGGGTACTGAAGGCAGATTGGACACACCTGAGTTAGCAGTCAGCGAATGAAATCACCTTGTTCTCTCTCCAAGTCTTCAAGACCATCTGTCTGGCAGTGATTAGCAAGACCACATCTCAGCCTTTAATCATATATGTTTGGAATTTCCATGTAGATTGCCATGCATTTGGCTGCCAGCTTGGGCCCCATGTCATTTCAGTTCACTTTTCCTGGAGTCATTAAGTTGTGGACAGGTGTACAGCATCAGTATACAGCCTTGTATGGGGAGGTGATAAGTTGATAGCCCCCACATTGGAACACTGGATAGGGGAAAGACCAAAGGAAATGCGAAATATGATGGCACAAAAACTCCAGGAGAGAATTATTTCTGATTTGAGAAAGTGGAATTTTTGTTTAAAAGAAGAAATTGTCATGAATACAACTAACTATGGAAAAAGCTTTCTTTTATTTAACCAAAACAAAATTTTCTTGATAATTATACTTAAGTGATGAATATAGTATTTTAACTAGATACCTGATCTTAATCTTTACTGATTTTTTTTGTCACCATATAGGAAAACAGTTTGTTGGAATGAAAATGTGTACCTGTTTTAATTTTTCAGTTGGATTTAAATCAAATATTTATTAATTCTATGGTTTTTACATGTGAAATGAAAGATTATGTGATTATGATGTTTTTATTGAATATATACTTGCTCAACAAGTAAAAAAAAAGTATGAACTTAAAATCACATTTGTCATTTTTGGACATTTGATTTCAACTGTAAAAATAGTTAAAAAGAGAAACTTTATCTCAGCTTACAAAAACAAAAGATTTATTATTATTATTATTATTATTATTATTATTATTATTATTTTGCAACAAACAGGTAATTTGAATACATTGATCCTGGCTATGAATAAGAGAAACTCTAAAAATGAACAAAATATTATGCCATGTGCTATTCTGTCTGTTTTACTGTTGTTAAAATATTTTTTTAAGATGACCTGCTAATGAAAGAGAATTTTTCCAAATAAATTAATCTATAAAAATTTGTCACATTAGCTTTAATGGTTTAATTAAGCATGACATTTTGAATGTTTCCTTCAATCGATAAAGTGGCATCAAAGGAAAATAAGTTTTTTTCTGTTTTTGAATTTACAGCTTTCCAGAACGTGTCTTTTCGTTAAGGTCGATATATATTCTTACACTCTAACCCCTAGTGCACCTTTAAGACAAAGAATCCCAATATCATCTATTTTTATTTTCTCCATTTTTATCTGCCTGATTAGCTTTAATAGGAAGCCATTAAATTTTGCTTAGCCTCTTGTGACACAGCTAATCCCAGATCCATCCCCGGTGTTCCTTGAGAACTTCTGACAACTGGTCTTTACCTGTCTGACTGGTGATGAGTTGCCTTGGTAACTCTTTGATTAACACACTAATACAACCAGGTCTAACCAAATTAGCAATGTTTTATCATTTGTGAAGCAGTGACCTAAGTTAATGAAAAGAGAGATGCTTATAATCAGTTTTGAGTGTGCTGAAAAAATGAATATGGAATTAGGGTGTTTAGGCTTATTTTGCTTATTGCTGTCACTCAGGACTCATGCCTCATGTTTATACAAGGATTAACACTAAGACAAGCTAATGTGATGATTGACTTATAAAGATGGCCTGCTCTCTCTTTCTATTCTTTCATAAATGTTTACCTAAACCAATAAAACTGTCTCTGTCTCCTATCTAAACATCAGCATTTGGTACCATCCTTCAGAGGCAGTATCAAATTTCCTGGCGGTAGTATGTCCAAGCAAATCCTCTTTGTCCACTGGGAACGACTTGACCATTGCTGGACACCCAGCTGCCCTTCCTGGCTGCCCACTTGTCTCTGCTTATCTTTAAGTGATAGTGACAGCAGCAGGACTGCTGGGACGGTGCAGGAAGGGAGATGAAGATAATGCTGAATTAGTCTGGACTAGTGCTTCTCTTCTGATATGACAGTTTTGGCTGTCATGAGACAGAGATAAACATACTTATATTCAACAGGATTTCTGTGGCATTTCCAGCGATATTGTCCAGTTGAAAGCGTAGAACAGAAGCGCTTGGCAGTTCATATAGAAGGCGATGTAGATAGGACTGGAGTTTGTGTGAAGAGAAGATTTGTCAGTGTTGTCTGTCACAAGACTGAGCTAGTGTTGGCTACTGTTTCTGTGCTTGGTTCACAACATATTTACTTTGGTCAGCTGCAAGCAGAGTGTTGTCTGCCCACAGTGAAAGCAGGCTTTGTCTCCAGACAGGACACTGAGTACAGAGGAAAAGGATATTGGAGACATCTGGACAGTAATTTTGTGTCAACAGTCTATTACACAGGGCCTTTTATTTGCCTGGTACCCACCCATTGGGGAAACACATTGACAGACCGGCTAGGTCAAGGCACTTCTGCACAGGAATGTCCTCAATTTTCAAGATCATGGTAAATTTTATTGTATTAATTTATCTTTTTTTTTTTTTTTTTTTTTTTTTCAGGTTTATTTATTTTTGTTCAATTTTAGAAAGCATAAAATAAGAATGTCACTTGCTTAGACTTTATTCTAGACTGGATGCTTATTTGACTTGCTAAAGCGGAGGCAATTGTCTTTGTAAGGCATTAAGAATAATTTCAGTTAGTTGATTGAATTTATTGAATTGTTTTTGTGTGATAAGAAAACCATGAATGACAAAATGGACTTCCAAGTGCTTCCATCTTTTTATTTCTGTCGCTGTATATTATTTACAGCATGTGCTGTCTATTTGCTAGAACACAATCTGGTCACCCACGTGATTATTTATGACCCTCTGTTCTGTGTGCTTTCTACAGTGTCATGTTTTATCCAACGTCTCTAATGATGCATTTGAAAAATGGTCATTTGTTTGAAGTCATTTTCAAGAACCATAAATCCAGATGACCACATTTGCCTGCCATTAGTTTGGGGCCCAAATGGTCATTCATTGATTTCCTGTTTTGCTGAGGATATTTCCACTGTAAGGACATTGTCTATGGGAGAATCAGCCAAGTTACAGTCCCTTTAGATGATGGCTGATTTTGTTAAAGATTTGGAGATCGATTAGAGAATGCCAGCAGCCACAAGCGCACCTACCCGCACACAGCCAAGTTGGCCAACAAGTCTCCAATGACCCAATAAAATCCTGTTGATCACAGCCAGCCCAAGACACCTTGGTCCCCCGAAGCAGCAAGACAGGGGACGCAGTGCTGTGAGCCCTGTGAGGCCAGGCTAGGCCAGGATCAATAGCTTGGTTCAATACTGACAGCTGCAGGTTTCCAGTGTTCCCAGCATTGCCGCTGATTGGAGTGTGGCCAGCAGCTCACAGCCATCACCAGCGGGGCCAGGATGACAGATAGGAGCCTGTGTAGAATTACACCCCGCAAAACTGTTTGGAAAACACTGCTATTATCTGACTCACTTGGCCTCTGTTCAGATGTGCTCTACTACAACAAACAGGGAGGCTCCTGGCAGAAGATAACGAGCACTGTGGGACAGGAGACGAGATAGATACTAAAATCAAAACTGACCGGCCAACATATGGTGGACATTGAATGGACACAGCTATGACATCTCCAGTACAGTTTTCTATGAACCAGGTGGATTTTTCAGAATTTTATATTTCTTATGTCGCTCAACTCTCGCCATCTTGTGTGTGTTTTGTCTGGGAATTGTCTGGTTCTGCTCCAGACTCTACTTCATACAGATATGTGATATTTTATTGACCAATGTATTTTTAGATCAGTATGTTTGGTTCTGTCATACGCTTGTAATGTCGTGTTAATGCTGACCTTGTAGAGAAGAGGCCAAGTTTAATTATGTTGTCTATTGATTGCCCAGATGATAATATGTAGATTGTGTCTACTTTCTCTGCAGATAGCCAGATTTAAAGAATTTTGTCAGATTTAAAATGCCATTCAACTCCTATTTCCTGCAGTTTTGGGAGGTCTTTGACATTAAATCCGCCATACACATTCTCTTTCATTTCTTCTGGAACATGTGGTATTATTTTTTCATCATCAGTGAATACATCCTTAGGATGTCTCACTTCTGAGGAAAAGGGAGTGAGGGTTTCACCGTGAGTCCTCTGACCTCATCCATTTGATGGACAAGGAAGATCCAGGTGTCATAATTATTTATAGCAACTAGGATCAAAAAGATGGACATGGATGTACCTCATTAAATGTCTTAGTTATAGATTGGGGTCATGTTTGAGTATCAAACATTTTTATAAGCAAGAAAAATAAGAAACAATTCAGTTGTCAGGTAACCCTGAAAAAAATTCCTAAGACTTCAATATGTGCATGTCTCATTTAAGACCTCACTGTATATACATGAATTAATCCTCTCTTTATTTAGATTCCCTCAAGGTAACACTAATTGGTATCTGAGTGTCTTGTGATGTAAAAGTTGTTACTTGGAGTTACTTTTACCTGAGGTAGCAGTAATTGATAGTCAGTTTGTGTCTTGTGATGTAAACCCGAGTTTCTTGGACTTCTCTCAAATCCCGGCATTATAAGCAACTCACATGGGAAATTCAAATGGCACTAATGCTGGCCAGTGCTGATTTTCACCCCAGGGTGAGATTGACATGTGCCCACATCTAACATGTGTTAAGCAATGTTATGTAAACATTCATCTTCCTGTCCTTGCATCACTAATTACCCCAACGTCCTGACAGAGCGTATCAGGTGGCAGAGGCATACTCAGGTACCTGGACTTTTAAGGCAGCGGCACATTTCAATCATGTCTCAGCCAATGGGATGGTGGCATTTGCGTGAACCTGGCAACTTGATACCCATGCCATGTCATCATGTCTCTGCGCTGATGATGAACTCCATTTCCATCTACCTGGGTGCACAATTTGTGTAGGCCCCACACCTTTAAAGAACCATACTGCATGTCATGAAAAATATTGCCAAAATAATTTGCGTCTTAGAAAAACAGATTTGGGCACATTTTTCTATTAGCCCAGTTTCTCCTCCAAGTGATGTGAACTTGAAAAAATTGGTTTTTTTCTACTGCGTTGACTTGTAGGTTGATATTTATTGTGTCAAAGTGTTTCTCTTGGTTTTTATTTAGGAGGAATGTAAAGATATTTTTTGATTAAAAAAAAGCATTTTGATCAGAGATGTCTCATTAGTTCTATTTTCATTGATTTGTTAATCTAAGGTCAAATATTAAAGAAAATATTTGTGATATTAATAATGTATAACCCAAAGAAAGTATATAGAAAACTGATAAAGATATTTATTACATTTTCATCTTAAATTTCAGAGAACCCATTGATTTTCCTAATTCACAAAAAATTAACCCACCTTTTTCACAGTTTATTTTTTTCAAAAATCCATTTCTTTACTGTCTTTTTAGACCACTGATGAAATATAGAAATTGAGTTTAGCATTACTTTAATTTGGTGACATCTTTTGTATTTATTTCTTCTTTTAGGCCACCATCCGCTGCACAGTCCCAAGTTGTGCCTGTGAATGCTTCTCTCCAGGGAAAAATCAACTACGGGTCTGTGATACCTGCAAGCATGGATGGGTCGCACATGGTAATATATATTTTAACACCTTAATATTACCAACATTTTTTTTTCAAATTAGCTTTGATTGTGCCATAGTAGTTAATTTCTTTAATTTTGTAATGATGAACACTTTTTCTATGGGTTTTTAACTTAAATTTGACATTTAAATAATAAAGACATAAACAACAAAATGCAGTTGTAAGTTATTTCCGAGATACTGCATTTAATAAAAAAAATGACTTCAACTTCACAGATTTTGTGTTTCTAACTGCCAAGGAATGGAACATTTATATGTCTGTTCTCCACCTTTAATGCAATTTTGCAAGAAAAAATAATATTGGAAGTTATTAAATAAAGTTTTTATGTTGAATATTTCACTTTATGTGAAAATGATCAAATCAACATTTCCTCTAAGATTTGAATGCTTTAAAATAACATCCAAAGACATTTTACCCGTGACTTAAATATCTAAGATTTCATTCAATATAAGAATATAAATCATATCTATGATTTTAATAGATATGTGCTTAAATTTGTATTCTCATGATATATGTCACTGTGCTTTATTGGACAGAATGGGCTTCAGTAGACAAGTAGTGGTTCAATGAAATTGATCACCCAGTGTAGAGAATTGGATATTTGGGAGCTGTATATTAATTATGTATTCGATGGAAAATTGTGCATCTGGAAAACTGTCAGTGCATGGTAGTGTCTCTATGGGGGGAAATAAGAGGTAATTAGCTGTCTGTGTTTTGTGGCATGTCCAATGAAGTGAAAAGAAAACATGGGACAGGGTTAATTTGGTGTAAAGTTCTCACTTAGGTCAAAAGGGAGAAGAAAACAAATAGAAAGTCTGATCAAGGCTGGTGTCGGGACTCTTCCCTCATCTGTTTTTGCCTGTCATGACATTATGCAGTTATTTTCCATATGACAGGACAGAAAAAAAGACAACCAATTAGTGGGAGAATCTCATTCTCTGAAAAAATAAAAAATAAAGCAAGATGGGACTTCTTAAAAAACATGTGGCTTACCCTGTCTGCTTATTTTTACCCATCCCAAATTTGACATGACATTCTGCATTGAAATTTAGCAGCTATTGTACTGGTATTCAGGTGTTTTCTGTCTTTGTAGAAGATGCAATTTATACAGCTGTCTCCTGCCCTTGTTTTTATTTTTGTTGGGGGGGTGATGCTGCCCTTGTAGTTTAAGGATTCAGGACAATGAACTTTGGCAGACCAACTGTCACTGATGACTTTTGATTATTGATCTCAAGAGAAAATTCATAATATTTAAGAACATCTGCAGTCTTTTAGAAAATTAAACTTGAAACAAACATTTTACGCAGTTCACTGGCTCCTTGCTCATTGGCTGTAACAAGGCAAAGGGTTCAATTGATTTAATATGTGTGATCTTTGAAGCATCTCTATTTTCACCCAACTATATAGATCTAGATTCACCCATGACTCCTGTGGACATTCTGGCTGCTATCTGTTCTGTTCTATATGTCCATCTGGCATCAGTTTTTGAGGACACTTCTTAAAATTATAAAAAGCGAAGCAGTTTTTTAATGTTATTTGTTGTTTATTTCATTCTGTCCTTTTAGAGTGAAGTATCATTGTTTAATGTTCTATTTGTTTTTAAAGCTGTAGAAGTGCTCTCACAAGAAGAGAACCACATTGGCAGTTTCAAGAATAAAATCAGCCTAGTGAGTTTTGACAGTGTCTGTACAATAAACCAATCATTTCAGCACAATGTGATAAAATTCCTCCTTAAGTAATGAAGCTTGTTGTCCTCCTTGTAGTGAATTATCAAAATTTTTGTACCCTGGGAAAAATGTTAGCAGCCTGAAAAATAAGCGATGTTCCTGAAAAATGAGTGATTAAGTAAGATGATGATCTGCACTTTGGCACTTGTTGGATGTCAAAAAGGACTAAAGTGCTTTTTTCTTTTTTTCACAAAAGGGTACACACTTGTCCCATCAAAGTGATTTAAGATAAACATTATGCCCATAAATAAAGTTGTGTTTTTAGAGACAATGTAGACAATCATATCATGTTGAATGCCCCCCCCCCCATAAAAAAGTAGAAAAAAAAGAAAAAAAAAGATCACAGTACATCCAAGTCCCTTGCAGCAAGTCCTAGAGACATGATACCATCCTTAGAAAAATCTGTTTATCAGTCGACATCAAGCAGTAAGGCAGTATGGTGAAACTGTTAGGACTGTTGTCCTTATCATGGCCCAGCAGGACTCTTTGCCAGTGTGGCTGTGAGATCTGCAATGGCATTTCTTAAAAGACGCATGGAGATAATGACAGTATTGGATTTTTCCCAACACAGTAGACAAACAAAAAGATCACAAAAGGGTTTCTCTCCTGGAATGCACAGAAGGCTGGATGCTGTTGATTTGATATCAATTCCCCGGTGAGTGGGGAGCTTTAATTAAAGCGATTTGTACCAAGGTTGTCTGTCACACAATCAGTGCACTTATCAGACTGTTGCATTAAATAAGCGACATTTCTGTTTATTTTTCTTGCACACAAAGGACAGATACAGTGGTATTGTTTCAGATGTGACAGCTTTTACTGCACGGAAAGAAAGGCGTGACTGGGCACGTAATGAACACAACATGGCATATGAAATGTAATCTGGTGAAAATGTCAAAGCATGTAGGGCAGATATTAGTCACATCTGAAAAAGTAATAACATTATTGGTCACAAGACTGATAGAGGTACTGAGTAGTAGTTAAAGTGCATTTCAGCTGTATTTACCATCAAGTGATTGTCTTGGGGTTAGATTGATTTTTCAGGAAGTTAATGTCGCGTGCACACCCAGGGACAGGATCTTGATGACAATTGGTTCCCATGACAATATGGGGGCTGTTTGAGCATTGCACGACAGCTGCGTTCATGTATCTGGAGAAACCATTCTTTATGTGCCATTCTGTTGCCTGAACAGAGCCCCTCTCTGAGGGAGGGAAAATATGACATGATTATAGGGAGGAATAATATGCAGTTAATTAATTTGTACATGTATGACTAATATAATGACTTAACCTGAGTGAAACACCACTATTTATCATTTAGCAAATTATGTTGTCACATTTTATCTTCACTTTATTCCTTTCTAATAATATTTCCAATTCTACTCACGTATTTCTTTTGTAATGAAGAATAAACAAGTGCACTGTCATCACATAATTTCTCTCATTATCTGTGTCCCTAGATACAACAGAATGTATAAGGTACTTAATAGAGGGACGTTCATGCACTGAAAAGGAGCAATTTGTGATCAGATCCTCCCACCATTGTTAAAAGAGCACATGGACTTGTTCAGTTGATTGTCCCATTCACACTAGGTGGAGCTGGATCAATGCTCTAACATGACATGCTGTGAGATATGACCCTCAGTTGACAAAAGCACTGTAAGAGGCTATAAGCTTGAAAAACACAGATCTGTCCAACTTGAATGCTGGCTTTATACTGATAGAGGTGAAGCAGATATCAGCGACACTGGCTGTTGACTATCAACTTAATCTTCAATAAAAAAGACCTAAAGCAATATTTTGGCAAGCTAACATTGTGAAATTGTCATATTTGAGAGCAGCAGTGATAAAACTTATGTCTGAGTATAATTTTTTTTTTGTAAGGATATAAATTGTCTTGGGTTTTAGAAAAACTTATTTCAAATTTGAACATGAGTCATTTCTATCTGAAAATATGGGTATCCACATGATAATTAGATAAAGAAAAAACCTAGACCTTTCTTATAATATTGAAGGCCCACACAGGGGCTGGATAAATATCCAAAGGCCCCATAGTGTAACTGTTGACAAGATAAACATCTACTCTGTATCAGCCAGTTGATCATATCCCCTCCTTTGTTTTCTAGTGATATTTATGTCCAAAAATATTCCTTACATCATCTGCTTGCAAAATGTATGCAGTATCAAAAGAAACAGATGGGAACATCTTCAGTTTTGTTACTTGTATTATGATCATGATATTTTCACATGGGATACATTGGGTTAGGGTGTTAAAGAAAACACGATTGTTTGTTTTAATGATGGTGTGACACAGGTATTGTAAGTACAAGATGAAACTTTAACATTCAGTTGACAAATGTATTGCATTTGATTTCGGGCACAGTGTGCTGACGAGTGTATAACTGTGCTCCACATATGTGTTGTGTTTTGAAGCTGTTGATGTTCCAGCCAGAGTAGCATTCTCAAGCTGACAAGAAACACACAGAGCCAGTTGTCTCTGCCTGATTCCAATCTGACTTGTCATTTGAACCACATGTCAAGTGGGATTGTTCTCTGCTGTGTTGGGTGCACTTGCTGCCACCAAGAGAAAAAAGCCCAAAGGGAAAGGTTGAAGTATAGAATATACTGTTCTGTGCTGGATTTTGATACAAAAACCACAGGAAAGTGATTTTGTAAATGTTTTTTTTTTTTTTACTCCTGACAGAATTTTATAGAATATTTATTTTCTGTTTTGAGTGGTGAGAGGAAAAAGTTATACATTAGTCTATCCCCAACAATCAATATAGGGCAATGAAGAATATATATATATATTATATATAATTATTTGATATAAGATCCAAACATTAGGTGACAACATATTATTTTTTGTATACCTGAAAAAGAAAAAAGTAAAGTACGCATTGTTTTAAGACATCAGAAGATATTGACAGAGGTTTGAGAACTGGTAAAAGCTCAAGCTAAGAAAGTGTTAATCTTGATAACATTAATTAAACACTTTGATGGATGCAACATTGTGCCCTGCCTTCTCCCCCCCCCCTCCCCCCTCCCCCCAAGAAAAAAAATAATAATAATTTCTGAATTTAGTGGTCAAGATAAGACAAGTGTAAGGAGGGTGTATACGGAGGAGTTAAATAGTTTAATAACTACATCTATTTCTGGAAATTAAAACTTGAGTGTCATTTATTTACCTTTAATTTTCAATTTTATTTATTTATTTGTTTATTAGTTTATTAGTTTTAGAAAAAAAAAACTGAACATGGTAGGAGACATTGTTCCCAGGCAGATCTGATTTTTTTGTGTCAACACTACTGGTGTCTCCTGCTACTTGAAATAGCAATATAATACCAGCAGTCCTTGCTAAGTTAATGTACTATAGCAAATAGATGTGCATTTTGTTTCACAAGATGTGAAGCACAATGACGCTTTTTTGTGGTGTTTGTGCCACTTGGACTGCAGCAAGGGTTTGACAATTACTTGTAATAGGTTGGCTGCATTCTTGTAGCAAAGCCTGCGGCTAATGCACTTGAGAGTTTCACAGCTGTTGCACACATATGAAATATTGTCTTTGTTTGAGTTGTTCGCTGGAATGCCTTTGTACTACACAAATGACACTGCGACTGAGGAACTGGACTGGCTTGAATTTCTTAGATTACCCTCCCAGACAAGTGTTTTTCAGTATCAGCCTACAGAGCAAAATCAAAAGCAAAGGGCACTGTAATTTTTGAGTCACGACTCTAACGTTTGATATCTTGTGGTGTACGTATTCTGTGACTGTTTCAAGAGGAAAAAAAGCATTAGCAGTGCATAAAGATGTCATGATTTAGATAAAGCTACTTAAAGAAATAAACATTTCTCTGTGGTATTGTTAAAAAGAAATATCACATTAAGGAGAACATAAATCAATTGTAGTAAAGGGTGATTCTTCTTTAACATTAAGGATATGCGATCATCAATATTTTACATTAGGATTTTTATTTTTTAAATGTAAATGTTTTTTATTATAGTTGAAGTTAAACTGGCAGATAATTTTTTTATTATTGTTATTTATTTATTAATTTGTTTTGTTGTTTGGCTTTTTTGTATCAGAAACAATTCCCTTTTGTGGAAGATGTATTTTTATTCTACTTGTTTTCATTCACTAAATGAATGCTAATGAAGCTTGGCAATTTTATCATTTGAAATGCTTATAATGACACATCTCGAAAAAAATGAAAAAAGAAATAAGTGCACTTTTTCAATGTGTAATTAAATTGTAACAATATTGTATCATTTTAGCCCTGGACAAACTTGGCTACCGCCACGCCTATCATCTTGGTATGCAGGTGGAGATGGTTCAGCCTAATATAGTATTTGACATAGCTAGCCTCCTGCTGTATGGGGCTCAGGCCACACCCATAAGACTCAAGATACTACTGGATAGGCTCTTCAGTGTACTGCAACATGAGGAGGTACTGCAGGTGCTACATGGGTTCGGCTGGTCTTATGAAGACTATGCGCGAGGATACATTTTACAGGTGGGCAAGCACTTATTACTTTTAGTCTGATTTGGAGCTGTATTTTGAATTCCTAAAAAATCTCCATTGTAAGTTCATTGGCTATGAAAATTTTAATTGCCTATGCTTGCATTCTTGTTATTAAGGCCAGCTTACTTATCATTTGCCGTAGGAAGGAAGGGGGTCTGATTATACCCTAAGAGAAATATTTTTAAAAATATGGCGCCTTATATTTTTAACAAATAATTTTGCAATCTGTTTTGTATTTCTTTATGCATGCTTGTCACATACTTTATACCTTTTGTAATATTTATTTATTCCCCACCTCTTTGGTAGTGTGATGTTATTTTCTTTTCAAGTGTGTTGTAGAATGTGATTTGTGACTATGAGAAGTAAAATCCCCACCTGAGTGTCATAGATAAAACATAGATGTAATTGCACAGTAATATATATATCCTGGTCCAGTGCTCACTTCTTCCTCTAACTCAAATTTCTCTTTAAATTGTAAATGTTTTTTTTTCTTCGATTTCCCTTGACCAGGGATAGGAATGTTGATATTTGTGTTTTTATCAATTCAGCCAATTCAACCTAGTACAGATGCAGGGCTCAGTCAGATACCCATAGTGAGTATAGCTTTTATGTTTTGATATACCTGCCACAACTGGACATGCACTTGACCAGGAAATATAATATGTATCAATGGATGCTAATCATATATTTTATTAGTTGATTTAAGTTGAATGTTTGCTATTTGGTGTATTTTGTCAGTGGGGTACCATCAAGGGCCTGCTAACCAATTCTGCTTAATCCGTGTGATTTTTTTTACATGGCAGGCCTTCTTGCATGGTCTATTTGTTGCAGTTTGGTTTGATACAATACCTGTATTTATTATACTGAATCAAGGCAATGAACGATTCTAATAAACAAAAGACAATTTTGACTTTAACAAATTATTTGTCATTACTTAATAAATTGAGTGAACAGTAGGACCTAAGATGTGCAGGTAGAATTTTTTAAAAATTTCTCTTTCTTATTATTTTCAGGATCCAAATGGCCATGTTCTTGACAAGTGGACCATCTCTACCAGAGAGGAGGAGCAAGTGATACTTCAACAGTTTTTACGGTTTGGGGAAACCCGTGCTATTGCTCAGGAAATCATCCTACAGGACAGTAAAGACCGAGGGGACTTTTATGCGCTTCCACCAAAGACTGAGTCTGAAATCAAAAAGTTCATAGAAAGAACGGGCAGTGCTGTGGTGCAGAGTTATATGCGGACTTTGGATGCACAAAGAAGGCACCTGTGGGGCACTATGGGATACTCGATGCCTGCATTTCCTCCAACACGTATGATGAGCCCACAAACCTTACAGCAGAGTCACTCACCCAATAGTAGTGTAGGGGGATTCAGTCGCCCCAGCAGCATCCCTCCTCAAGCCACAAGCCCCGAGTCTAGTTCTCCACTGGGCCGGCTGCAGACCATGCAGCCCTATGACTACCGCAAAGAACGCCACCCTCCATCATCAGCAGTCACAGCCTCTACCTCAGAAACACCAGAGAAGGCGGAGAGGCGACCTGCTAGTCTGCCAGAACGTCACCCCAGCCCACCTGCTGAGCCTCTAGCTCTGACAACTAGCCCAGTGAAACCTCCCCCACCTCAGCAGCTGACTCCACCCCAGCTTACACCTATCCAACAGATGATCCAGGGTAGTATGCTGGTCACCTCCACACCTCTACAGGTGCCCCTGGCTGTTCAGGCTGCCTTCCAGCCTAAACAGGAGGTGGAGGCAGAGAGTGCAATCAATTACTCCATGAAGTCTAGAGACAGCAGTCCCAACACATCTTCTTCTGTGTATTCAGATCGCAAAGTCCGACACCTGCGCAAATCTGCTAACCCCATGAAACGTAACTGGGCACCCACACAAGGTTATGGTGGCACGCTGATCTCCCCAAGTGGCAAGAAGCGTGTCCTGTGCACAGCGTGCAATAAGACTTTCTGTGATAAAGGTGCTCTGAAGATTCACTACAGTGCAGTGCATCTGAAGGAAATGCACAAGTGCACTGTGGACGGGTGCAATATGATGTTCAGTTCACGTCGCAGTCGCAATCGTCACAGTGCAAACCCCAACCCAAAACTCCACATGCCACAGAAGCCTCGCAAGATGCCAGAGGGTGCTGTTGTCCTGGATGAAGTCTCCAGCGGGGGCATGATGGATTCACCACAGTCACTACCTCTCAATCCCCCTCCTCTCCTCTATGGTTCTGATTACACACCTTCAACACCTGACGGGTCAAAAAACTCTGATGGCATTCCCCAGGACCTGAGTTCTGGGGACCAGGCCTACTATGTGGATGCTAACAATCGACTTTCTTTACTGCCACCCCAATCAAAGAAACCTCGTTTGAAAGAAGAAGAAGAGGAGGAGGATGAGGTATCTTCTAATGAGGGAGCTGTGTTCCCCTCTCCTGTTGTGACAAGTACCACAAGAATCAACAGACGCAAAAGTAATGTGCCAACACGCTGTGCTCAGCCCACAGAGGACACTTTTGTCATGAGTGATGATAATGATAACTCTAATGATGAAATGAATGAGGAAGAGGAAGAGGAGAGAAATCACCGCATGGGTGATGATAATCAGGCCCATGGTTCTTTTTCTAAGAGGAAAACAATTGCTGGAAATGAAAAAAACTCTGATGAATCTCAAGACATTGCAGACCCTTCCAGCCCTTTAGGCACAATCCAAGTAAAGCAGGAACCCAGGAATGATGCCTATGAAGACCACAGGGGTTCCAACAACAATAGTTTTCAGCAGGAAAAGGGTCAAGATGAGGGAATTACTGCTGGGCGTAATGTGCAAACTTCAGATGAAAAATCAGATGAAAAATCAACTAGTGAATATGATAAGCAATCCACAACTGCCTCTACTACCTCGGAAACTGGTGATACTGTCCATTTTTTAGATGACAGTGTGAATGATGAGGAAGAGGAGGAGGGAGGAGAGGATCCGGGGAATGTATCAGAACAGGAGTCAGACCTGTCATTCACCTCCAATGACCCCCACAGTCCCATGGACGGACACATCAGTGCTGATGACAACATGAACCTGGAGGACATCATTGACAAAGATAATCCTCGTAAATGTGCTGCCTGTGGAAAGATCTTCCAGAATCATTTCTCAGTCAAGACCCACTACCAGAATGTGCATCTCAAGCTGATGCATACCTGTACTGTAGAGGGCTGTAATGCTGCGTTTCCTTCTAAGAGGAGCCGAGATCGACATAGTGCCAACCTGAATCTGCATCGTAAACTGCTGTCTACATCTGCTGAAGTGGAGCTGGATAATGATGAAAATGCTTTAAGTTTGAGGGAAGAATTTCTTAATCATATTTATGAAAACCATACCAATACCCAGAAAAATGGAGAACTTAAAGATGACATCACTGCTGAAAATGGTGGCAGTGCATACATGTTGCGTGACCACTTGAAGGGAAATAATGCTGATATGAATGGGAAACAATCGGATCACTCTTACTCTTCCAATGATGGCAAGTCGCCCAACCATGTCATGAGTCCACCATCACCAGATCCTGATGGTAGCGTACGTTGTCACATTTGTAAGGAGCGCTTCCGCGATAATCTCATCCTAAAAGAACATTATGAGAAGGTCCACCCACGAGAGATGTTCAAGTGTACAATTGGAGGCTGCGATAAAATTTTTTCTACGAGGAAAAGTCGTAATCGCCACAGCCAAAATGAGAATCTTCACCGCCATTTATCGCCCACCAAAACAAATGGCCATTAAGCTTCTTCCAGCCTAGAACATTGTGTACATATTTTATGCAGTTTATTTTGTTTGCAGACATGCTGTATAGGATTATTTTGAATCTTATTTATAGATCACTTTTATCTTTTAAGAGTTTATTATTATTTCTATTATTTAGATCATTAATATTTATGTGAAAAGTGAAGTAATGGTGCCAAGATAATCTGCAATTTAAAGTTGTTTTTTTGCACAATCATTTTAATCTGATAAAAGAATGATGTATTGTTATTATTTATGATAGATTAATTATGAATTTACACAGTGTACAAACTTACTCTTGTGACAATCTGTGAATCTCTAGTCAGTAGGGTTATCACTATATCTGTGAATTAACATGTAGCTGTTTTCTCATATCATTTGTAGCATAGATCATTTTGATATATCTTAATAGTTTTCCTGCTGAAGCTGCTGTGTTGTATATGCTGTCAACTGGTAGTGTGAAATCCATTGCACAAACTGAGTTTAAAACTATTAGGACTGAAAACATATTAGATTTGGTGAACACAAAATATCAGATTGCTTGAGCAGTATTAATAAAACAACAAATGTGAGATGTCTGCCTGGAGATATAGGATAGAAAACGGGAAATATAAATAGATAAGTGACACATTGATTTCCCAATAACTCTCCCCCCCCCCCCCCCCCCCCCCCCAAACTTGATCTCATTTGTGATTAAAATGGATTTCACATAAAGTTACCATGGTGCTAAATTTGTTAGTTACAGTAGAGGATATAGGATATATTTGAAACAGTAGAGAAGTCCTAGACTAAATAATGTCACTGTCAGCTGATGTGAGATGCCATATCACATTTTGCTGCTAACAACCCTAGTATTGCCCTGTGTATATTATGTCACATGTGCCAAAGTCCCCAACTTTTGTTGATCTGTCTCATTGAGTGCTACTATTTTTTGCTCTGTTTTACATGTTTATATTCAATAGATAAAGGAACTTGTTAGAAATATTGTTTTAAGTCAATGAAGCAAGTATTTATGATTTTTTATCATCATCAATGTCTTCATGATTTTAATGCATATCTACTGGTGCTGTGTTTACTTAAGACGGGAAACCCCGTACATGTTAGTCAAGTTGTTAATAGATTATGTAAATGACTCAAGACGTGACATGGAATCCAAATTTGTGTTGTGATTTTCTAGCTTGTCACCCATGCATGCCTGGATTGATACTCCAAGGTAAAGAAGTGCATGCTTCATTATGTGTGAAGTGCTAAGAAAATTGTGATGTCAACCGAATGGATGGGAAATTAGTTTAATGTGATTTTTCTGCTGTGTTTGTTTCACATACTGGAGGACTTCAGTCCATTTGTTTGGGGGGATTTGACTGAGGGACAAAGCTTTCTAGTAGGGCATAGCTATCTAGTCAGCTGTGGGCCTCAGTGACAGCATGAGTGGAATAGAGTCAATGGAGATTAATGCTTTTTGTATGTGCGTTAAAAATGAATATTTTAAAATGCGGACACAAAATGCTGTACCAGTACACGTTGTCATTGAATTCAGTGTGAAGTGTAATAATAATGCTAGAGAGATTTGTTTGATATTGTCAGGTCTTGTTATACTTATTAGGATTTGAGACAAAGGAGCTGATGAAGGGAAAAGTGATGGGAGGTTTTTAATTAAGTGCAGTGATTGATTTTTGCCTTTGTTTTATGTGGTCAACCATGCAGGTGATAATTTATGGTTGGCACACATAGGAAGATCTCAGAATTACTGAACCTCCACATTTGTATTTTGATTTCTTGATATGTGTTGTAAATTGTAAAGAAAAAATGTTATAACATTGGTTCACTTTGAAAAAAAAAAAACAGATGACTGAAGTGGAAGGTTGCTGTCATAAAAATATCTGCCAAATATTGTTCTTTTGCAACAAACACACCAAAGAAACTGCTGCTATACCAAAGATGTTATTAGGAATATACTCATATGTGTCCATTTTCAGATATGAACATAAGGTGCGAGAATTTATTGACAACCATGGTTAATATTGTGTTGGAGATATTGCATTCTTGATTTTCAAATAGTTAAAGAACTGTATGATCAAATGTGTAGTAAGAAAGTGACAGTATTCTTGTGGAGACAGCCTTAATAAGTACAACCAAATTTATAGGTTGTGTATCTTGTTCAGTATATCCTGGTAACATTCATATTAACTACATGTAGTAAAAAAATAATGTTTATATGTATAATGACCATTACAGAGTTTTGACTCCTATAGATTGTGTAAATTTAGGTTGAAAATAGAGCAAATTTTTGTGATAAATTCACTTCAAACCAAAGATAAATAAATCAGGGCCTGAAGGCATTTTTCTACCAAGTTCTTTATTGTAGCAACCATTGAATGTGTGAATGTTCTGTTTGACTACCTCTTTGGACTAATAAGTTAATATTTTAAAGAGCAGTTCTATCACTGCCCGCCACGAGTGTTTGTCATAAACTGAAGATTATTAAGTGCTGTTTGCTGCATAAACATAGGTTATGCGAAGTTTAAAAAATGTTTTGTCTCAGCTATCCTTAGAAGTAATTATGATTACTTGCAAAGAGTATAATCAAAAATTGTTTTAAGCACTGTAGTATCACTGCTGAAAAGTCAAATAATATAGTGATATTTTTTTTTCTTAATATAAGGTGTAAATAGCTAAGATAATGGATAATTTATGGTTTGTTCTAGACGGCTAAAGCCATATTCATTTGAAATTATACTTATATATATGTTTATAAATATATTAAGATATAGTTCAGGTCTGTCATTTCAATCCATTTTAGATTATAACGTCTAGTTACCGTGCCATATCTGATACATTTTGTAACCAAAGATTGAGAATAAATCTCTGGGAATTGAATGAAAAAATGGGTGTCCTGTGCCATTTTTATTTTGTTTATTATTTAGAGTATGACAAACAGAAAGTTCTCTTATTCAAAAATTCAAAGAGAATTGTATTATATATTATACCAGAAAGTATCCACAGAGAGCACTCGCAACATCAATTTGTCAAAAACCCTTAAAATTGAAGTCTGGTTTATGAGTTCTTATTCCATCATACTGACCTCAAAGTGCCAAGATGAGGTCGCAAACATGTAGAAATCAATTGTCTGCAATTCCAGCTGGAAAAATATTTTCCTACAACTTTTTTTCATCGTTTAAAACAATGCAAGTGCTTTTCTGCTACCATGTGTTCTGGTCAGAAAAATAAACGTGTGATTCTGCCCTAAAAATTTCTAAGTGATAGGAGTTTCAAATAAACAGCTAGCGCTAACTGGTTTTAAATACTTCAAAATAACAAAAATGTTATTGCGAGTGATTGACACAAATTTATGTTATACAAGTTGGCTGTAAATTCGGTTGAACGTCATCAATAAACCTTAGAAAAAAATGAAATTATGAAAATAATGTAGACTTTTAACCCCGTAATGAAATGACGATCCGATTATTAATTTATGCTAGATCATTTTGAAGAATTCGTTTTTCGTGATAAGCTATCTCAATAGTCGGCGCACGTTGTTTCGTATACAATGTGAAATAAGTCTTAGCAGAGAGTATTGTGTCGAAGATTGAATTGCATGTGCATGGGCAGAAATATCACGCTTTTGGAGCAGATGTACCCAGTCAATGGTCGGACAAGGAGCAATCGACTTCCTTGGGTCGGACTCCTTATATGCCTGATGACAAACAGCTGAAAGACGTCCAGACCAAACACAATGTTAAGCCCTTATAAAAAAAGTGTGTGTGTGTGTGTGCGTGTGCGTCCTGAAGACGATTATCAACTACTGTTCCATTAACTTACATGTTTTAAAGCTGTTCCACAAATGTAAAAAATATAAAATTTTGACTTTAAAAGTTCATTATTTTTATTCCAAATGGACAAAAATAAATATTTTCTTTTTAGATAGTTCAGAAGGCATGCATGGTATCAGCTTGAATATTGTTGGATCAGTACAACATCAAGAAAAATAACAAAAGGACTTCGTGTGATTAAGACATTTTGCATAATATACGGAAAAGGATTTTAAAGCAATTTGAAATGTAAAATGTTATTTCCGATTTTCTCAGAACATTCCTTATGTGCACAAATAAATTTCAGTTTCTGTCACAGATAAAGAAGTCAAAGAAGAAAATTATACATTTGAGATTACACTTCGTCGTTTAACAAACACAATTCAATTCAACGAGTATGGAGTAACTATGAAAACAAGTAAATTCTAATGCCAAGTCTGTTGAAATATACTTCCATCTTTAAAGGCGAAGCACATTTATTGAACAAAGACAAGTGACCTCAGCTTTAAGAAGCAGGAAAATGTCTGGCTCCATTGAGGGAGAAGTGTCATCCATTTCTTTTCTCTAATCTAGAAAGCCTAATGATGTAGAAGAACATCTAGAACAAGAGGAGCCATCCGGCAGGTCAAGCCGTAAATTACTCAAAAGAAATTGACAATCTTCTCCGATCCTCAGGACGTGCATTCTGTCTGTTTATTGACATAACATTCTTCAAACAAGACATTTGTTTTGTTGGTAAATGAGCACGCGGGGAACGCGGCCGGACGCAGTGCGACACATACTCGCCTGACCTTTTTAGACAATCCCCAAGGCCGACTAATTCTTCACTCCGGCTTCAGATGATTTCCTTGTGGATCAATGCTACTGGCTGGGTACATTATTTAATGTGTTTAGCAATGACAGAGAGATGATTACTTAGAAAGGGACAACTCTCTCTAGGATTTAATACCAGTCATTTTTCCCACTCTGAGGTCCCAGTACTTTCTGAGAAAATCCAGCAGCGGGCCCCGTGCTTTTCCTGGAGGAGAGTTTTGGCACGGCAGTGTCTATTGACAAACTGCTGAAGCGGACACAAGAGGGATAGGACCAACTTTTACTGGCTGCCAGAAGAATTCCTCTGGCTCGTTTGTCTAATGTTCCGTGGATGGTGCTCCATCTTGTTTATAACATGGTTAGAATGAAGAAAAACTAAATACATCTTAATCTTTCACTGTACGGAGCGATATTTTGGTTCCCTAATTGATTCTCTCTCAAGTGTAATTTTTGTTCCCAAGATAAACAGTTTAAGCAAAAGCAATAAAATCCATTATACTGCGTTAACTTCTAAGATTAGTAAAGAAATTTTCTTCAATGCAAAACTAAGCTGGTGATTATTATGCAAAGGCTTTTTTTTTATAAAAACTCGGATGTTCATCTCTATCTACAGTTTCACTGAAAACACAATGCCGACGAGAACAACTCAACAAACACAATTGCATTTATGGACCTACCAATGTGTCACAATCACTGCAATTTTTACTACCAGTACAAGATGTTCGTAACATTTAAAGTTTTTTTCACTTCTTGGTGGTGCAATGCAAACGTAAGACGGTGAGCATTTCCTGCAAGTAGATGAAAGTGCTCTTTCAAGTCTTCCTAAGCCTTGATTACATTTACGCGGGCCCGTGCAATGAAATTGTCCGTACGATTTTTTTGAAATCGTAAGGAGTTACGGTCTACGCCGAGTATGTCTGTACATTACACGGCCTCAAATTCGTACGATTCCGGGTGATTTCGCACGGTCACCGTCTACCTTCGCTCTGACACCATTCAAAAAACCAAGGGACCGAATTTGATTTGAGGATCAGAAGAGAGTACGGGCATCACATTTCAAATGTAATCTAGGCTTTAGGTTTTAAGCATCGCGATTCATCAAGTAATTTTAAAAATCAATCTCATGGCAGCTTAAGTAATGAAGGATAAAATCGCAATAAGAAAAAAAAACTGGAAAAATATCAGTTTATGATATTTTATTATGTGTCAAATTTTGCAAGTTTGTACAACTGTTCATCATTACAAACTGCACAGTTCTCTGTTGTAATTTATCTCAGCACAAACTTTCAGTTATGAGAAAAATCTTAAGAGTTCTGATCAGGTTTCTTTGTAAAACAATTGACAAACATGGGCAAAACCCACTTTTCAAAGGGATTCTCATCCATTTTTGCAGCATACAAATGTTTAATTTCAATGAAGAGGTATTGCTTAAACATTATTCAAGTACAAAGAATCTTGAAGCTAGTTTTTGTGTCATGGAATGGAATCCATTCTCTCAAGCAGTCAAAAGAAATTATCCACAAATCATTATAACAAAAATTATATCTCTACTGCATAAATGCAAGGGGCCCCCAAGTAACAATCTTTTGACTTACAAAGGTATGATAATAAATAAATAAATAAATAAATAAATAAATAAATAAAAATTACACGTAGTACTTATGTGGACCCGCAGTTTAGTATACCCCTCAATTTGAAACAGGCCAAAGATACGAACGTGTGGAAATCTAAAATTTGGTGCGCAGTGGTCCACTGCTTAATTAATCATTAAACGGACAAGCTTTACTTCATGTACTGTGCTGTATTCTATGTGAAAACTTAAAAAAATTAAAGTTACTTATATATGATACACTACTGTACATACTGTGGCATATATACTCCTGTTGGACTTTACAAAGTCACTTATAAACAACAGCTTAACTGATCTAGTCCTTAAGTCTGGGTCAATCTTTATACTACATTCTAATCTAAAGCCTTATCTATTCTACCACACACATATTTTCAATATCATTCTCTACACTAAAGAATTGTCCATTCTAATCCTTTGCACTAGACATAACCCGTTTGCCTAGCTTTTCCCTGGGAGCACCTCGTCTATTATCATAATATCATCCTCTTCCTTGGGAACTGCCACAGTATTGCTGGGGAGATCTACATCCATAGGTTGGACCTCATCTTGTTGAACGGTAGAACTTCCCACGTGTGTAGCAGCAGCTTGATTATTAGCACTTTCAATATTGCCTTTGTTCCTCTCGAAGAGTACAGAAGGGGAAACGGCTTTCATGAAATCTGTAATGGATCGATGTGGGGTCGTCTTCATCCTCGGCTCTGAAGACTTATTGGCTGGGGTAGAAATACTTGTGTTATTTGGCGTCAAATCTGCTCTTTTCTCCTGAGTGGCAGTCTTGGCTATTCCACATTGACCGACAGGTGTAGAAGCTGTGTTAGCAAACCTAGAATTGCCATGTGTTCTTTCTGGAGTAGACAACGAGTTGGCAGGGACCAAAACATCATTGGTATTTAACCCTCCTTTCAGGCATTGAGATGTGGCTTCAGAGGAAAGGAGAGGAGATACAGGTGACAATTTTGCCAATGGTAGCGAGTCCATGCCAGGGGTGCAAGGAGAGCCTCTAGGGTTTGTTGCTGTGTGAAGCGCCTCACCTGGTGATACAGCAACAGTGAACTGGGCTATACCTCCTGGAGTCATGACCTGTCCAGGCTCCTTCTCCTCTGCTGCCTCTTTCTTATTCAGTTTGATAAGATACTCCCATTCACATGGTACTGGCAAGCTCATCAGTTTGTACTTTTCTAGGAGAGCTTGATTGACGTACCAGCATTTTTTCTTGAAACCTTCCCGTTTTTTGTAATCTGCAATTTCCCTGATCTTGATATCCAACTGACGCTTTGAAATAAAGCCATTCTTTGCATTTGGACTTTCCTCAGTTTTCTTTGGCTGCTCAACCTCCATGTCCTCAGTATTATCTTTATCTGTTTCCCCCTCCTTTGCCTTGACATTCTCTTCTGATTGGGACTGCTGACACTTCACCTGCCAAAACTGCTTGAATTCACGTATGAGTTTCTGAATGCTGTGCACATTCCCGTGAACTAGCCTAATCAGATCTGGCATGGCTGAAATGATGGTAAAAATTTTACAACACTCATACATTTCATACGAAATTCAAGGTATCTTGGAGTGCTTACACACTTGCATCAACAACCAAAACAGTTAAATACGAGTTTGTGAATTTAATATAAAATGTTACGCAAACTTGAATGACAAACATTTCTTATACTTAAGTCAGATGGCATGCACTGAAAAGTATTCAAAAATAAAATTTTATATTACCTTCTTCAGGCACTGGTCTTTTAAGAACATGATTGTTCTTGTTTTTGGAAGCAGAACTGCTTTTCTTCTCTGTACCAGGAGTGTGGCTTTCTTCAGGCTTCTTGCTGAAGGTAGTGTGGATTGGAGAGCTCACCAGCACTGCCACCTGCAGACATTATCAACTTGTATTAGGACAAAAACTTTCCAATTCTATTCAAACCCTTATTTTGCACTTTGAACTCATTACGGTGTTTAATGTTCCACAATTACATGTAAACTGTGATCCAAAAACAAGTGCTGCTCAAATGATAAACACCAAAATTATTTTTGAATTCTAGGAGTTTTGTATTTCTACCTGATACTTCAGCAGTGTTTTCAGCAATTCTTCACTGTTATTTTCTCCACTCCAGACACAGCCTATGCACACTGGCTTCAAAACTTTACATTTCTCCTTCATCTGAGACTCCCACTGCTCTGCCTTGGCTAACTGACGAGCCTTCATCTTTTCAGGAGTTAGCTGAAAGTTTCAAATAAATGTGACCTGAATATAAGTAAGTGCAGAAAAAGTTCAATTGCCAGGAATACTTATCACATATCCCCATAAGTCTCTTGGGACATTCATGAACAATGCACAGTTAATATTAAGTGCATACTGAAGCAACAATAGTACTGCATGACACTGGCTGACATGCTTAAAGAAAAAGTAATATTAAAATGACCTTGATTTTGAAACACTGAATGAAATAAGAAACATGTATGTATCAAATAAACAATAGTTTTGTACTATTACCTTCATCCAACTCCAAATACACCATGCTAGATCAATTTTACAATTTTAAAAGGTATCTAAGTATGACAGATACCAAATGTTTGAAACAGCTTAAATGTTGTAAACATGATATACTAAAAATCATAAAGATTATCATATTCAAACTGTCTATTCTGTTTACATTACAATCATAAAAGCATAGCATGCTCACCTCCTCATCTTCCTCACAACCCTCATCCTCGGAGAGATAGCCATGGGGTACAAAAAATCCATCCTCTTCCTCCTCATCACCACCATTTGCATCCCCATCCTCATCTTCTCCCTGCATCACAAGAATATATCAAAAAGTTAATAAGGTCTCTATGAAAAAAATTCAATAATTAATCATTTATATAGAAATGTTACTTTGCAACAGTTTGCCCCATGATTTAGCATTGTAACCACACAGCATAAACTACAAGTTGGCTGGAACACAGGAGAATTTTGTTATGCTGAAAAATGAAAGCTTGACAGCTTTTTACATGAATCTTTCCTAGATGATATGTAATGGTACTTGTAATTCACCTCAGAGTGAGAGAGACTCTCTCCTGGCTCCTCTTCCTCCCATTCTTCATCACTGTCAATTTCATAATCAAACAGGTCCTGGAAAATATAAACGATGTCACTTACATCATTCCCATAGTAATAAGGATAAAGACCATTGCTACTGAATATTATAGTGTACACATGGCATATTAGTTCCGGCACAATGAAATAAAAGATAATGAAAGTTTCGCATTAAAGTATAATTGATGTCTGAGCTCAAAATTAGAACATTTCAATACATAACAGCTATTTACCTTTGCCCAGCAAAGTAATTTTAATTGGTGTTGGTTGGTCTGTGTGTAATGGAAAGTGCCCCAAAAAGTGCATAAATTCAGTATCAGGACGGAAAGAATTAAGTACAATTTCAATTGACATGGGTTCTCCCAATATTTTAAAACTAATTTTATGCCTTTCTATGTGGCAAATGTCTCCCCTTTTGGAGTTGCTAGCCTCCAAAATATTGAAATATTAGAAAGAAATTTTCATGCAGCAATAGCACTCACCTCATCAGTTTTAAAAGGATTTTTAGCTGACAGTTTGGTGCTTTTCTTTCTCCAGGTACCATAAAAAGCTGGACGTGTATTCTCAGCAAACTTCAAGAACTTTGCCTTCATAAATCTTTTCTTGATGACCTCTCCCCCGCCCTCTGCCTCTATTACCTCAACTGCATCTTCTTCCTTGTTTTCTCTGGTAAATAAATAAATAAATAAATAAATAAATAAATAAATGACATTCCAAGATGCCACACATTAAATACATGTATAGTGCTTCATAATTTTTCAAAATCTGAATTTGGTTTTAAAACAACCAATCACTTGAGAATGTTCTACCTACAAAATTTCGCCCTCACTCTAATCATTCAAATCATTATTTAACATTATAAGCCTTACATGGGCCAAGTTTGCTCAGAAGTGAATTTAGTTTTTCCTTCTCTCAGTTCAATCAGGTAAAGTTTCTCGCAATTCTGGAACAAAAATTGAAATATCCAAGTAATTCAATATTCAAGGCAATAATACCAAGTGCATTTTAAAACAAAATTAAAATTGTCAAATTACTAAAACATGTGCGCATGTGCTGGACTTCTTAAGACAAATAAATAAATAAATAAATAAATAAATAAATTAATAAAATAAAATAAAATAAATCACCTGTTTTGTCATAAGGTCATCAACAAAACTTATATCTATTGGTTCCCTCCTTATGGTTGGTGCTAGTCGCATTTCCTTCTTCACTTCAAACTGCATAAAAGGACCTGCATTCACATTCTCTGGCTGGAAAAGAAAACCATGCACTGGGAGACATCAGTTTGCTTAACTAAGACAAGGTCTATTGGTACTAAACAAACCATATGAAGGCAGGTAAAGACAAAACGTGTGATGCATTACTTATTGCAGTTAAACATTTCTTATCAGCACGTTCTGTACAATGAAAAATGACTGACAAGTATCTTACCTTTTCTACTTGAGCAGTTTTAGTCGATTTGATGAAGAAACTTTGTAGAAAATTTTGTTCCTTCTGTTTTTTTCTTTTCTGCAAGTATTAAAAGCATTTGAATAAAAAATAAGTTCAACAAGTCTATGGTTAATGAGGTTAAGCAAGAAAAAAACTTTCAATTTTACAATTTTAAATAAACATGGTGTGAAAAATACCTTTTAAAATATATCACCACCAGAATTAATCTTAGATTACTAAATAATTGTAAAGATTAGTTTTATCACCTTTTCTTCTTCTTCCTTTAGCTTATCTTCCTCTTTTTTCCTTTTTTCCTCTTCCTTCAGTCTTTTCTCTTCATTTTTTGCACTGTCAAAATACATTATGAAAATAAAGTTCACTAAAATTTTAATGGCCTAGCATCCAACACAAAACAACATTAAATTTAACTGCAAAATCAATAATCAACCTTTCTAAAACATACTCAATTATTTCTTGCTTCCTCTTTTTTTCTTCTTCTTTTTGCTTGAGTTTTTCCATTTTTTCTTTTTCTTGTTGCTCTTTCTTTTCCATTTTTTCTTTTTCTTTCTTTAATCTAGCTTCTTCCTTTTCAGCTTCTTTCTTTTCCTAAAAAATAAAGGTTTATCACATACAATATACACTGCAAATCTATTTTTTATTAACGAAACAGGAGCCTTTTTTTTTCAATCTCTGAACATTTTAAGGCCAGGCACTTAATCTTAACAAATCTCAGGACCCATCAATAATGAATTTAAAACATGAGATTCTGTGGTTCCATAGAAAATGCTCAAGAGTAGTTAATAACCCAATCTGGAAAATAAAAACAGACTTACATTGAACTTTCACCATGAACCAACTGTCTTTTCAAATTACCTTTTCTTCCTTCTTTATTCTTTCCTTCTCTGCTTTTTCCTCTTCTTTCTGCTTCAGTTTCTGCTGACGCTCCAGTTCCTAGATCAAATAAACCAATATTGTTCAATGAATAGTTTTGTATAACATATCAGTGCAGAGCCACACATCTTTATCACATACAGTCAAGCTTTAGGACTTTCACAATTTAAATGATGTCCTTTTTAAAAGAATATGTCATAATATTGTTATTTCTAAAGTTTTAGGATCAGTATGGTGCAAGTTACCCTTTCTTCTTGCTTTCTTTTCCTTTCAGCTTCTCTTTCTGCTTTTTTGGTAGATGATACCTACGAAAGAGAAATCCAATGCTCAAATTGTTTTCAACCAGTTAGTGTCAAAACACTTGCATTTAAACATATTTCATAATGCAATGTTCATTAAATACATGTTTTCCTTATCTAAAGCATATGGAAATGACGGCAATTTAAAAAAGTATGGTAAGATATGCAAAGAAGCAATGGAAAAAAATTAATATTCCATACATTTCTTTTAGGTGGAGCAGATCCTGGTGTACTAGCAGTAAAAGAGTGGTCCAATGCCCCACTGCTGTCTGGACTGGTCAGGGCTGGACTGGTTATACCAGGTGTGACCTTCTTACTGGACACAGGGGTTACTGAACCCAGTGGAGTGGCTGGATTGACTGGAGATTCCTACTGGACACTGGTGTTACTGGACTGGACATTACAGAGGTGCTGGCAGTGGCTGGCTTGCTAAGACTGTTCTCAGGGGACTCTACAGCTCCTTCAGTTGCAAGGGTTTTAGATTCCTCCTGTGAATCCAACTTCTTCATTGCACTCTTGGAATTAAGAGTTGTTAAAACACCCGTTTCATTTATCTCATTGGTGTCTTGGAATTCTGCTGCACTTTTTACTGCATTCTCATTGACATTTTCTTTCTCTTCAGGATTCTTAAGTTGTGTAGCTAAGTCATCATGCGTACCAGCCTTGTAGTTGACATTACACGCTTTTCTTCAGGCCCTGACAAATCCACTACATCACTGGTAGAGTGCACAATGTCATTTTTTGTCTGGCATTTATTGAAAAAGGTCTCAATCAAACCAGACTTATTATTTTTACTTAATTTGATTTCAGAGTGTTCTGCCTCGTAGTGTTTTTCGGTCTCAGAACTTGAACTGACTTCATTTTCTTCTGTTGCAATGTGGCTGGTTTCTTTGTTTTTTGACTTCTTTTCATCAGTTTTTACTGACTTAGGGAGCTTTGACAATGGGACTTCTTGATCAGAGAGTTTTCTTTTCTTTCCTATGCTGGCTGTGGGAGGGTTGAGAGTTGTCTTAGAGACCAGCATCTTAAATGGCAGGCGAGCTTTTTAAGTGGAAAAAATAATAAAAATTAAAATCAATCAAGTCTTGTCATTTTCAGCTTTTACTCAAGCCTGGTAGACAATAAGACAAGAAACTTTTTTGTTTAGACTACAAACCAAAGAGATACATGTGCCAATAATGAAATATAATGAAATCAAAAATTATCATTATCAATATATATATATATAGTTTAGACAATCTCCCAAGTATTCAAATTATAAAACAAGAAATAAGTTGAATTTGATTTCTATACCTTGTTTGAGTTTCTTTGATGGGGGACACTGCAGAGTAGTTTTACCTGCTGAAATAAAAAAGTATATGTAGAATTTTCTTAAGTGACAGCTTTTTAGAACCAAATACACGAATGTTCAGTGCCCTGAAACTTGGATCTGAGCAAGTGTAAATTTTCATTTATAGATATGGCCTTAAAATATGAATACACATGCATTAATATGAGCAGCTTTGTGTATAAAATTGTCTCACGTCACATCCACTTAAGGATTTTACCTCAAAACTGTATTTTTTCATTTTCAATTTCACTCTCAATCTTCATTCCCAATACAGCTAGAATAACTAGCATTGCGGATAGCACTAAGTCATGTTAAAATACACTTGCCTCCAGCCTACACATTTTTAAAAAAATATTATTATTATTATTATTATTATTATTATTATTATTATGCCTTAAGGCATCTAATGTCGCACATGAAACATACATTTGACTTGTCTGATTTTCTACCAGAGTCATCAACTTATCAAGGCGACGTAAACTATTTTCACTATCTCCACCACGATTAAATAGCTTGTTTGAGCGCCAAACCAAAACGTCGGTGTCAATACTTGCCTTCAAATTCGTAAGTAATTAAATATTTTACTTGCCATTTTCTGTGGGAGCATCCATGTCTGGTACTTCAATACACTCTGCGATCATTGAATAAGATTCTAAGAATAATTCCAACGACGATGTTCTGTATATTTTTTTCAGCTGACAATTTTACCTGCTAGTCAATATTTCCCGCCGACTCACCACGAAAAATCTCGCGCGATGACAAGCCCACAGTTTAATCTCCCTATGTATGTCTCGTTTTCAATATCGCTAAGCGCCATCGTGGCTTGCATGAAAACTTAACTGATATTCATAGCGAGGCACATCATCATGCTTGACGATTTTTTTATCTGAATTTCCACATTTTCTACAAAAAGGCGACAAAATCTAAACCATAAAAATACGCTGCAAGATAAACACGCCACTTGCATAAAATAGCACATAATACGAATACCAATCACAATATTACCCAATTGCTTGCTGCGGGATAACTACATCAGGTCAGCGTAAGGAAGAGGAGAGTTTGACAACAAAGCACGCTAATGACAGGATTGTGAAATAACAGTTCCAGCGTCCCTAATTTTTGAAATATTTTCTAAACAAGAGAGACTCCAACTTTCAAGATGTCTCTAGCGGGCTTAAGAAAGCAGTTCAACAAGGCTAACCAGGTTGGTTACATTTACAATCTATTTGAAATGAGAGTAAAGTTTTATATTAAAAGGGGTTATTTTGTTTAAAAATAAAGGGGCGTGATTTACCTCATTATCTTTAGGAAAGACACTTCAAACGAATGTAACCCTCTTTTTGGTTTGATATGACATTTTGGTGGAGTAAAGTAGCCTTATGAAGGTTAAGTTTATTTTAATCTTTGGAATTGTAGTAAGGGTGAAAGAGAAATTTGCAGGTTAATCCCAATGAATCATTACACTAATATTATCGAATGACTACATCGTTTTTAGAAGGACGTCAAGTGTTTCTTTTTGAAAACCACAATGTGTCTTTAAGACCAATGTTATAAGTAGTTGTGAAGACCTTTTCCTTTCTTAACTTTTAGTGTTACAATAATTTGAAGGGATAGAAGTTCAGATTTACATCAAAAACTCTTTGATTTTTTTTATGTTGTTATGATGAAACCAACTTAAAGTATTATAACAGCAAAGAAAATTTTAAACTGAAAAGTATGTCAGCATAGCTCTACATAAAGTCTTAAAGTCCTATTTTTAGTCACTTTATTATTACAATTTCTTAAAACTCAATTTTATAAGTTATTATTAGTTTCATTATGAAATATTAAGTATGACAGTATTAGATTTCATACAAGGTTTTAACTTTTTTTTTCTTGACCATATTTCGCTTGGCTGGTAGATTTTATTTCTTTTTAGATAAATCAGGTACAACTAATTGAATAAACTACAATTCTGACATTTAACTGGTTTGTGAATCATTTAAAAACACTGGACACTTCAACAATTATTTGCAATTAGGGAATATCCTTTGGAAGTCTCTAAATTTGAATTTATCTTTCAATAAATATGTTGTTAACTAGAATAGCTGTCATATAGTATTACTTAAGGTTACAACATGCTGAAGATCTTTCTTATCAGGAGGTCAGACCTAGAATTAACTTTGGTTTAGACCTTGCTATCTTTTCACTCTGGATTAATGATTTATTTTAGTTCGATTCTTTATCATTATTCATATATATGAGCTTTATTAGAATTGCCTGAGGTTCAAGATACTTCATGAACTTCTGATGTTCACAGAGGTAGAGATTTACATTCCCCTTTTCCACTGTTATTGCGTAGTATATTTAAAGCAGTTGTATAATTTCTTTTTGATATATTGAGAAATTTACATATTTTCATTGAAAAATTGAAGTGTTACAGATATAAGTGGACAAACAATATTACACAAACCCTCTTCTTCTGCCCTTTTCTCCTACATATAATGATATATTGTCTCTGGGATTCTTAGCTTGCATTTTGTCTTGCTTTTGTGAATCTCTCTAGAGGTAGAGGGAAGCATTTACATGATGTGTTTTTTTTTCTTTTTTTTTTATTTTCAGAAGTGAAAAGGTTGTCAAAATGAAATGTTCTTTTGTTATTTTTAGTTTATGAGTGAAAAAATTGGTGGTGCCAAAGGAACAGAACTTGATGAGGAATTCCTGGAAATGGAGAGGGTAAGTCTTCGCAGATCTGGAGCCAACTGATGTATAGATATTAAGATCAATATTTGTGTCTTTATGCTAAGGCTTATGTAACTGCAAGACTGAAATTCAACCAACTGAGAGAATTCTAATAGGTATTGGATCTCAAATTAAAAAAAAAAATGTAAATCTGTATGTATGTTAGTGAAGATATGAAAAAGATTGGTAAGACTTTTTATCAACATGTAACTACATAAGGCAATACTACGAACTGGTTCTGCAACCATTTAAATTACTCACAAGAAAGCTATAAATCAGAGAGCTGAAATCTAGTAAGATTCATCAAACACAAAAATCAGTTTAGTTTGTCAACAAATAAAACTAAATTAGTACACACATATATAAAAGTAACTGAATAATTTGAATTACCTAAATTCCAATTGACCAACAGTTATAGCAGGCAAAAATAAATATTAAGCTAAGAACTTCTGCGTTTTTTATCTAGACCACCAGCTCCCAGTGGAAAGCCCTCAGCAACCAGAGCTCAATTCAACATGTTATATCAATTTCAGCCCCCATTGCCCCCTTTATCTGTTTTTATTTATTTATTTATTTATTTATTTATTTATTTATTTATTTTTAAGTTGGAAAAGTGAGATTTTACACACACTTGTTTGAATCCATGCTTGAAATTGATATCGAATAAGTTCTCTGTTGTAACCAACAATGAGTTCAGATAACACAGTCATTTTCTTCTTACTTTGATGATTATTTATTTGTTATTAATGTTTTTGCTTATTATTGAAAGTGTGTGATCTAAGTGGAATCCCAGTAAAAAAGAGACCATCAATATACTGTATAGATCATACCAAAATGGCAAAAATGGTGAGCACATTCCAAATATCCTAGTGTGAATGTTCCCCTGCTCTTGGGTAAAGCTTAGAACTACTTAAGCCGTCCTTGCTTTGAGCAGCAATATCTCTTGGTATTTTCCTCCCTCAAATTTGCAAAAAATAAAAAGAAGTTTTCTTCCTTTTTTGAAACTGGAACTGTTTTTCCAGTGGCCTAATGTAAAGATGAATATGGTTTATTTAAAACTGAATCAGTATGAAAATAATTTGAAATTTAACTTGGTTGAAGTACTATAATTAGGTTTATGAAAAATAATGATATTGGTTTTAAAAACCTATATTTTCGCATAAACATTGTGTCAAAATCAAAAATGTGTAAGAGAGCAACCAAAATCTTTAGTTATACACTAACTAGATTAAACGTAACGATAAAGAATAGTGTTTAGATTTAAGTAACAGTGTAAGGAGTATCATTGTTCACAATTCATTTTAGTGAGTGTCTGGAAATGGAGTATTTACTTTTTGTATATGTGTTCTTCACTTGCTCTGCTCTGCTAAGTGTCTACATGTAACAACAATCATTTTTCCTACATACTATTAATTGACTACATGTTAAATGCTTTCTTATGCCCCATATTAATTGCAACTTTCAGAAAAAAACATCACAGAACTAATGTTACTAGCATGTGTGTGCAAGGTGTAGTTTTTCAAATTCCTCATGCTACTGCTATGGCTATAAGCAAGATATTCTAGATTGAGCTGTACAGGGTACCAGTCATTTTTTATGGCAATTCATGCCTCTTTGATCAAAGTAAGTAGGCAGCAATGGAAATAATTGTCATTATTAAGACAAACAGGTAATATATGGAAGACAAGAAGAATACTTATGGTAATAAAAAAATAATTTAAAAATTGCCTTGAAGACATAATTGGCATTGTTCCTGGATGTTTGAGTTTTCCTTGAGGTTGTGTTTGTTTTCTTTTCATAATTTACTAGGTTTTGCCAACCACATACTAGTAAGGCATTTTCTTTGCAAGTGAAGGGAGTGAAAAGTTGTGGATATGTCAGCGTGAACAAGTGTCAATTGATTTCAATAGCTCTGTAGAATTGCTAATGAAAATGCTAAACAGAACTTCGTTATTATAATACTAAAGCATTTCCTTTGTTGCATTCAGCATATTGTCAGTGAAATCTATATATACATTTTTTCTTCACTGCTCATAATGTTCTTTCCTGGTAATCGCTTCGGCAATCACTGGATGCACTTAAGCAGAATCAAATTGAGTTGGTCTGTCTTAATCTATAACTGTTGGAAAAGCTGTAGAATTGATTTTATTATTGTGTGGGGGGTGCTGCTGTGCACTGCTTTGCCTGTGTTCTCAGCATCATCTTCATGTGGATATCTTTTTAAGTAAACTGAATTTTGATGATTTTTTTTATCATGTGAAGGAAAATGCAGATGTATTTTTTCAAAATATTGTAATATTTCAAAAGCAGTGACTGATTCTTGCAAAGTTTCAGTTATTATTTTGTTCATTTGTGATTTGCTTTATAGTGATATTAGGGAGATTCCAATATGCCATGTATCTTTGGGGAGTTGCAGAAGGTATTGATTGGATCTCTGTCCATGTGAATAAGTCTACCAATCCAAGTGTGTGCATTGATTTTGAGTGGGGCTTTCCGCGAGATGTTGCATAAAGTGGAATCTGGATTTAAGACTGTATTTCTCTGAGCATCATGTTCTAAGCAGTCATTTGTGTAAGGCAAATAACTTGACTTCTGGTATCAAAACTATGGATACCGCTTCAAATTCTTTTTCAAGAAAAGAAAAAAGTTTATCTCAGCACTGAGAGTATGTCTGTGTGCATTTGAAGGAATTCTGATACCTGTATCATCAGTATATCAAAGTAGATCTTCTTCTTCCTTTCACAGTGTTATCAACCAGGTTATTCTTTGTAAGGTTCAAGGCATGCCTAAGTCAGTGTTTTATGCCCCTTTTCCTTCCACCAGAGGCGATGCTAAAGTGTTTTTTTCATTGTGACCTAGTTTATAAAGAGAATATATCAGAAATTTGTCTTGTGTAAATCTGAATGCGGGCTACTGAATTTCATAAGAACAGTATGCAAATGCTATTCACTAACAAATATCCCTTTAAAACTGTTCTCTTTATTCATTTATAATGATATAAAGGTTTTCTTTAAACTGTACAGATTACGTTTCCTTACAACGTACATGTTAGTTGGTTAGCATATTTTTTTAAAATGTTGTACAGGTATAATTGAATAAGAGGGGAGTTCACTTTATTGAAATATTAAGAATATAGATTCTGGTATTTTATTATGCACCTAGATCTGTCTTTACGAAATGGCATAATGACAAATATCATATAATTTTCTATCCAAACTGAACTGCTTGCAATATTTGTGCAACACTTGACAGAATAGTAATTCCTAGTAGATCCCTGTGTCTTTGGGTGTATTCCCAGAGATTTAGATCGATCCAGAGATTAAGATTTAGATCACCTAACTCCCTGGGGGTTCACGCTAAATTGCAGTCAGCCGAGCAGACACCATAGTTAATTACCCCCTTACAGCTTTCAGTAGGCGGGACAGACGCTTAAGCAGGCTAAGCTGACAATAATCAAGTGAGACTCCCCACAGGGATAGATCGATCTAAAATCTATGGAAATGGGGTCTTTAATGATCCTCTGGAGTAAATCTCTCAATGCCCAATAGCTCAGACAATGCAAAGCAAAATTGTATGGGGAAACACACATTTCTGCTACAACATGAATATGAGTCTAACATTAGCTGCCCCCTTTAATAACATGGGGGGGGGGGGGGGTAATTGACATATGGTGAAATCAAGTGTCCCTGTGTTGAGCTTGGACCCATCATACATGGCAAAAGGTTTAAAAGGAATTTGATGTTTTTTGTCCAAGTAAATTGGGAAGGCAGCAATCAGACATTCTTAGTTATTGTTTATTTATTTATTTATTTATTTATTTATTTATTTATTAAATATTTATTTATTTCAGAAAATAGATGTGACTGGAAAGCTGGTGGAAGATGTGATGGCTCGTACACAGGAGTATTTACAGCCTAATCCAGGTAAAGTATTGCACATGGCAGGTAGAAATAGATGAATGCTGCATGTCATTTACATTCTTGTATGTGGGTCAGGTGATGCTTGGATTGGCTGACCTTGTCAAGTTTAAAACATTTTTAGATGGGAAATAATCATTTAATGTTCCTTACTGAAATTTAAAGACCATTTCTCCTTGCTAATCTGCAATTAATTCCCTGTTTTCCTCTAAGATGAAATAAGAAGCCCATTTCTTGAATCTGTTTTGCTGATGAGCTCACAGCACCTGAAATGTAAGCATGTAGACTGGAAAGTCAGCATGTATGTTAGCTCTGTCAAAAAGTAGAGACAGAAGGTAGGAAAGGTTAGGATGTACAAAATTAGCCCCTTTCCATAGCATAACAGATGAGAGGCAAATTATAGTTTTTATCATGACCACTGAAACATCAGGGTTTTCAGTTTGCTGAAATAAATATATTTGTATTACAATTCAACAGACAAGTCATCAGAAGCCACTTGACATTGATGTGTGTGATTACATGTATTGGGACTATAAAATATAGTCTTTAGAAGTGACCTGATTTTGATTGTCAGGGGTTATAAGATAATGTTTGATGGTAGCAGGTAGGTTAATGGTAAGGTCTGTACCTATCACTATGTAGGCAACTGATTGTAATGACTTGAGGTTAAAGTTCATTCTCATTTTGCCTTTAAAAGACATGTACTTTCAGTATATGTCTTATTCAAAAATATTGAACCCTTTAAGCTTTTTAACTTCAGAAATTATGTAAAATACACAAGTTTTGGTATTATCACATAAAGATGAAATTATCCCATGATATTATAACCATGAGGTCATGAAGGGAATCTCTTTGTACACTATTATCGGCTGGACAGTAAAATTTCAGAGGGGTTAAAGTTGATAATGATGCTAGTTCTATGTCCTTTACACTGTATCCTCCTGCACACCCCTATAACCTTTAAAAATAAAGAAAAGCAATCCATTTTTAACATTGATTAAAAAAAAAGAGACAAGTTCAGTGCCTTATTTAATTTTTGATAACATTTCAAAAACTTTAACTTCTAAAAGTAATTAACATTGATTGAATTCTACTCTAAACCAGTTTCACATTTCTTTTTATCCTCCAGCAACAATGAGTGAGTAGAGATATGTCAAGAAAATAACATTCTTTAAGTTGTGCAACTCTTAAAAAGTCTCCTGTTATACTGCACCTTTGATGAATTTTTTTGTTCAATATTATTTTGACTCTTTAGAGTAGTTGTGTTATATTCCAAGTTTGTGTGGACACTTGTTGCAAGCAAAGCAAAGAGCTGTGTGGCATTTCCTGGTAACATTATATGTTCAAGTGAAGGGATGTGTAGTTTTTGCCAAGATTACACATAAATCATGAGGAAGGTTTCCCAGACTGGGAAGTGGTTTAATACACATGCTGAAAATTTCTGGGACCTACCAGATTTTTTTCTTGTGTGGATTTCATAATGCATAATGTTTTTCAATTTTTTTAGAGAAATAGATGTATCAAATTGCTTTACTTTTTCTGAGCTCACCACATACCAGAGCAATGAGAAATTGGTTTCTTCATAGTTTGGATTAGCAGTTAGGCATATCAGAATAACATAACCTGTGTACAAAAGAATTCCCTCATCTGTTTGCTGGTACATAAATAATTATGCCCCAGTTCTCTGCTTTGCTAACCATTAACTTATATGCTATACACTGGTTGTTTATATATAGCAACTCATATGTGATTGAGTGTATTTTGATTTAGATTAAAAAGTCATGTCTTTTTATTATTGAATTGATATTGTTGACATAGATTTTATTTTTCTGCAGCAATACTGTGTGATATTTCTCTGCAGTTTAGTTGAATAATAATTGTTGTATTCATTTTTGCGTTCTGCAAATGAGCAATGGCATTTGTTTAATGCCTGAGGATTTATTATGAGACAATTTCTTCACTAATTGTCTGGCAACGTATAACTTGCATTAGTTTCTTCCATAACTAATTATTGACATCAATGTTTAATGTTAACTTGTTTTGTTTTTCAAATAAAGTTACTACATTGCAAAATAACAAATGCAATTTAATGCGGCACTGGTGCAGCAGTAACAAGTATTACCCTGGTGACAAAGATCTAAGAACAGAGTTATGTGTGGGTTGGGCAGTGTCCAGGATAACATAATTTCAAATCAGCATTGTCATGATGCCTTAATTTTTCACTGTTGTATGTCATATTTGATTATGAAAAGTATGATTAAGGGAAAGTTGTATTAAAAAAATATATAAGTATACGCCGATGGACATATCTATGATCTAAATATGAAAGGGCAAAAATGATTGAAGTATAAAAATAAATGCTAACATAATTACTGATTTATGTTACAGTTCATGGCACTGATGTTTGTATTTATTGGGCACTGACACACATAAATAGATACTTGCCTTATTATTGATCCTATTTACACATTTAAGATGGATTCTACTTTCTGTGTGATGCAAATTTGACATTGTCTTTCATATTGCTGATGAAATATGGTTTTATATCCTTATGTTATTATAATTAAAAGCTGAGGTCAAGTCATAATGGCATGAAGTTACTTTTCACATGGGATTACTTTAGTTACTTGGCATGTGCCATATGGGTACTTATTTTCCATCACTTGTATCCCTTGAAGTGGTTTCAACCACCAGCTGCTATACTGAAATTATTGAAACTTTGTGTATTGACCACTGCACAGGGCAGTTTAACTCATAACCCTTGTGTTTTAAAATTTGTCTTCCATTTTATTATTATTATTATTTATTTAAATAAATTTTTTTCTTTTTTTGACAGCCTCCCGGGCTAAGCTGATGACAGTGAACACTATATCCAAGCTGAGAGGACAGGTCAAACAGACAGCATACCCACAGCCAGAGGGTATTTTGGGGGAGACAATGATAAAGCATGGCAAAGACTTGGGAGACGACTCCAGTTTTGGTAATAATATGATCTGGTTTTGGCATGAATGTGCTTATGATCTGTTAGTCTTATAAAGGGATGGGCAACTGATGTAGATGAAATGTTTTGTAGTTGTTGTTGACAATAAGGTTGTCCCTCAGTCTTTATTAAACACAAGTGCATGCTGATAAATTAAGCATGGTTGATATATATATATATATATATATATATATATATATATATATATGTCAATGAATATGGTTAATACCAACTTTATAATAAGAATATTTAAGTTAGCTGTAGTCAGATGGCCTTTTCACATTTTAATGAAAATAAATAAAAGCATTAGTAATACAGCTGAACTAGTATCTTTGTGGAGGTTCTACCATTAATTACACTATAGGGGAATACTCTCTCCTTCACAATTTTTTCAGTTTTAAAATTTATAGATATGTATATTTGTTTTATAGGCCATAATTGTTTATATTTCTTTATGTTCCAGGTCAGTGTTTGGTTGAGGCAGGAGAGTCCTTCAAGCAATTAGCAGATGTAAAATATGCCTTGGAAGACAGTGTAAAACAGAACTTCCTGGAACCACTTCAACACCTGCAGAACAAGGACCTCAAAGAAGTCAATGTAAATATTGCATAAACTGATAGGTCAGATCTTTCAAAATTGATTACAATTGTTCATATGTATTGATTTTATTTTTCTCAATCTGCAGAGCAGGTTCACCAGTGTGAATGGTCTTGGTCTTTATCATAAAAAAGTTAATTTGTTAAATATGTCTCCTTAAAATGTCAACTCTTTTTTTTTTTTTTCAGAAAAATAATGCTTTTACTTGTTAATAACAAAGGATTGTTTGTTGTATGGTTAGTTTCCAGTGTTAAGAACAGAAAGCAGATAAAAGAGTGATCAATGTTGTCTTGCAAAGTAAACATGAGATGGCAACCTAAAGGAATTGTTCCAAGTACAATAGGTAATCAGTTCATTGGCCAGCTCAAGTAAACCATTTACATATTGTAACTTCATCTCCTTTTACATCCTTCTATGTTCCCATAGAAGTGTGTCTATGTGTATGTGCTTGTTTTACTTTTCAGCACCACAGAAAGAAACTAGGAGGCAGGCGTCTTGATTATGACTGCAAGAAGAGGAAAAAGGACAAAGGTAAGCATTGGAAATTTTTTGACGCCATTGGTTTATTGAGTGGCTCACCCTTCTAATGCTTGTGATACCAAATGTTTGTTTGTCTCACTGTTTCTGATCTTGTTTTTTTTTTCTCCCCAATTTTGAGAACTCTACCCTGTTTTAGCATATTGGTCATATTTCCATAGATGTGTCACCTCTTGTGGTGAACTGCATGTTATTTGCCCCTAATTTTAAAGAACTAACATACAAAACTGGTGTGAATAAGACTTCATAAGAATTTTTTTTTTTTTTTTGCAATATAGTGATCACTGATGTTGACTTAACAATGATTTTCTGTTTCTTTTCTATCTTTAGGAGGTAAAATATTTTTTACTCCAAATGGCTAAGTATCCCTGCTTTCTTTATTGCTGGCTTAAGTAGACATAGTAACTGTCATAGATATAACCAGAATATATTGCCACTAAACCTTAGTAAATTTTATTAGATAATGCTGTTTAACTCCATTTTGTTTGAAAGGAATATTGGTGAAATGATAAACATTAGGATTTAATGCCATATGATCTGGTTATATGTTACTGGCACCCAGTGCATACGCTTCTCACATTTTCACTGGCTGCTGATGATAATTGTATAACATGCACTGTTAACATGAAGATGTAGTAAGAGATGCAAAGCAGGAGGCAGTTCAATTGACTGGAGATGACCCATGGCAACCATTGTGTCTTGTCGTATCACAAGGTTGCCTGAAGTCACGTCAAACCTGTCACCAATGTCAGGCATGTCACTAATATTGTCTGTGTCACTAAATGTGTCATGTGGTTAGTATATATTGCTAGTATATCTTAAATGTGATGCTGAAAGCCTTTTTATATTTTTTTATTTTTAGTATTGTGATACGTCTCTATGCCAATGTAAAGCCTTATTCTGACTACAATTTTGCTGGTATACCAAAAGAGAGCTCAGCTCTAGTTACAGCTGCATCAGCATTTCAGGTTCAGATTTAACATGCAATGCTGGTAGCTTGACAAGGCTGATCTGTCCATGTCATTCCATTTAGTTATTAGTTCTGCCTCCTGCTCAAAGCTCACTGAAAACCCATATATATGTGTGTATCTACAGGCACCTGCTGTGACCTCTGCCTAGCTTGATGCAAAAGCTACGACAGTAATATATTGTTACATTGGCTATTTAACCAAAAATTTCAACATTTAATTCTAATTTGTTCAGCGCTATATATTTATATTGAATTGACTGTAAGTCAACTATTTTGTCCTTTTTGAGTCTTAATCATGTTGAATATAGCTTGCAATCCCAGCTGTATTTGAATGAATATATTTGATGACAAGTTCTATTTTTTCTGTTCCCATTCAGCACCAGCATCAGGTTGAGTCTGTTCCACTTTTTGCATGTGTTTGGTTAAGTGGGATTAAAATATGGTAGCACGTTGGAATGTTCAGAACGGGATTTCATTTGGTTCAGTTTTCTTTTATTTATTTAATTATTTATTTATTTATTTTTTACAAACTGCAAAATATGTTGTAAACTTTTGAGGGTTAATCCTTCATTGGTTTCTAAATAGACAGTGCCATTTTCGGGTTGAGAGGAGGATTTTTTACCAAGTTGGCCTAAGATGACATATGCACTCAAAATTTTGGATTGAAAAGAGATAAGATTTAGATATCATTTGCTGACACTCCTTTATAAAGTATGAAAAGAAATATGAAACTCTGACACAAGCATGCCATAGGCTCACCTCCCTGACAATCTTAATTATGTGGGATGCATTTTTAAATTTATGTAGTCAATTTCCAACAATTAAGTTGCTACAGTAAATGTCAGCAGTCTAGGGTTCGGCCTGTAAAAGCTGTAGTATAGGTGCTATGTATATAGATAAGATTACCTTGAATTTCTCACCTGAGCCCTAGATAACCTATGGCTCGTCAGGTGAGATTTCCAGGCCTAGAAGATGTGTGCAGCACCTGCATCTAAAATCTTTGTTCAGCATATTTGTTTTATAGAGCCCAATTGTGTGCAAGCTGATACACCTAGGATTTTCTGATGTCTTCAAATAATTTTTTGTAACCTCTAAATTCTTCTTCTTCTGGAAAAAAACACTCAATAAAAAAGAAATGACTCTGAAGAATTGTGAGCTTGCAAGAAATTATTTGAAGACAGAAATTCCTGTATATATATCAATGCACAGGGCTTTATACCAGGCCTTCATTTCACAGACACAAGATATGGGCCATACATATGCACATAGGAAAGAAAACACATACATTATGCAATAAATGATGCTACAACTTGAACAACATATAATGACACAGCTGTGCTCTGAAACATGGAGTGATTAGAAATATTAGATTTTTATTTTGATGATGCATAGATAAAACAGGTAAAAAATCCTTTTTTTACCAAGATAATTTATGACCATAGGATCAGCATCAGTCTGTTAGAAGAAAAAATGATTCAAAAGAGAAAGCAGTATGCTTCCTGGTACAAAAAAGTGCAATTAGATAGCACACGAAGTTTGGGGATGGCTGCTGTCTCTTTGTATATGGTTTTTCCAAAGGGTTTTTACCTGCATGAGTGTTGGAACACGAATGAAGAGTGGCAGCATATAATGCATGGGGATTTGTTACCTGCATGTTTTAGTATTTTGTTTATTTTAACTTTTGTTAATATAAAATTATTAGGATAATTATAACTATGATGATAATAATAATGACTACAATGAAGATGATGTTTGAATATTGCTAGAGGGTAGCATGGTGGTGTTTTTTTTTTTTTTTTTTTTTTTTGTAGGAAATGGGGGTTTGCTCTGCCTGAAAGTATAATGATATTAATTGGCTGAGGAAATAAAATTTGCTCTTTTTGTTGTTGAACATTGAAGGAATGTTAAAAAGCTGCATCTTCTTCTTCATGCAACTTTCACGAAAGTTGAAGGTTGCATGAAAAGAGGAATGAAGAGGACAAAAATACTGTGATATTGTTTTGTAATATCAAGAAATAAAAATGCATGTGAAATGAAAACGCCAGATTATACAGCTTTTAGCAGCTTTATTTGTAGCCAAATGTTTGTTTGTTAAAAAAGTATTTACTGTAATAATCTTGCACTTGCACTAATTGAGATTCTTTTTCTAGCAAGTGATAAAATTAAGTGCATGAACTACAATTTCTGGCACATTAAGTATGAATACAACAGTATACATAGATTAAAAACAACTTCTGTACTACAAATGACCAGCATACAGTATAAATGCAAAGTAAAGGCGGTATTCAGCGGGTTCTACATGTTGAATAAAATACACTTATTTTCTGGTTGAGACTTACCAGTACCATTTTCTTTTAAGATGAAGTCTTCTTTGGTTTGCGGTTAAGTTAATTTTCTGTACTGTTTTACAAGGTTCTGCAATATCAGAAGATGAGCTCCAGCAGGCAGAGGAGAAGTTTGAGGAGTCCAAGCAGCTGGCAGAGACTGCCATGCACAATTTACTGGAGAATGATGTAAGAGTGTGTGCTTAGTTGTGTTAGGTGTGATCATTGTTGTGATCATGATTGTGTTGCTGTTGGCAAGTACAGCAACAGGGGTGGGTAGCCAAACAGAATTACAAAAGTGAAAAAAATGTCTCTTACTAGAAAATGGCTTAATTTATAATAAAGTTAGTCCATATGTCACTTTCATATTTTATTTATTTATATATTTTTTTTTTTTTTTGTGATAGTTGTATCATTTGTAGATGTTTGAAATTAAATGGAGATGCAGATACTCTGATGTTTTGTTGAACACATATACTACATCACATCTAAATTTGTTGACATGATAAATTTTAAGCTGATGATTTCATCATATTTGATTTGACCAAGGACAAGGTGATGTTTCAGCTAGGTGGAAATTTAAAAGCAAAGATTTTGTGTGCAATTGTTCAACTGTAAAGGCCTAACTCTTTCCATCAGGTTGAGCAAATAGCACAGCTGTGTAATTTTACTGAGGCCCTGGTAGATTACCACCGCCGGGCAGGAGACGTGCTACAGGGTCTCCTCAGTAGCCTGGAGGAGCTGTAAGTCCCCCACAAAGTCTGGGCATTTTAACACACTTGAAATATCCAGCATGAGCAGACTGCATCGTATAACAACTCTCAGTGATATGTAGTCTGTGAATGGGATGGTGTGGTCAAAAGGTTGTGATGTTTTTGTTTGTATGCGTGCATTATTTATTTATTAAATTATTATTAATGTGAAAAGATATTTGTATTTTAACATGGGCATATTGGTCCTGTAGCAACAGTAGACTGATATATTATAAAATGCATTTCTGGTGCACGCATAAGATGGAAGCCCCAAGCATGGGTGATATCAGTGTAGAGTATTTATGGATGCAGTCTGTTGTTGTCCTTGTCCTACCACAGTAGTGCATGGTCTGCTTGGTTATGGCATTATTAACCACTGTTCTGTCTGGCCAGGTTGAACAAATCTCCCAGTTGGCTTCCTTTATTGAGGCCCAAGAAGATTATCACCGTAGGGCGGCAGATATTCTGCAACAATTACATGATACACTGCAGTCCAAGTAAGTCATCTGCTAGTGTGTGCTTTGACATATGTAGATTGAGCCACACTTCAGGAGAAGGCTTTTTTCCTTTTTGTGTGCTTTACACGTAGATGTAGTCCCATCTCCAGCTGACTTGTTGCTTCTTGGTGTGTTTTCCCATACTGCGTGTTTCTTGTTGATTGCTTGACAGGATTTCATTATTGCTTCAAAATGTGAATTTTTTTTTTAACGTTTTAATTTTTGACTTACTAAGATTGATTTGAATAATTCTTGTGACACTTGCACCAGATGGACCTTTTTTATCTGCAATCATCTTTCCAAGAAAATTTGCTACAAACCTGACTAGCATTCTTTAGACTTAAGATTTATTATTAGCCCTGAAAAACTAACATCCTTTTCAGTTTTATTCTGCATAACTAACTGTGCAAAGACTCCAGTAAAGCTATTCTTAGTTAACTGTCAGACCATTCTGTGTTTGGATCCAATTGTATGCCTAATATATAGGTATGAAATGACTAACAAATTGCTTACTCCTTATCAGTGTTATCAGCATGACCTAGGGTCATTCAGGTTTTTTAATCATGTGAAAGGTTGTTAATGCTGTAAGACATGTCTAGATGTTAGTTTGCTGTATTTGTGTGCTATATTAGCTTTGCTAATTTTTTAAATTTAAAACGATACTAAGTAAATCCTAAAGGATATTGTTACCCTTCGCCCAAAACTCCTAATTTACTGCCTTCTTTTGGGTAGTAAATAAATCTTCAGTGATCAGTGATGTCGTAATTGCGATTTTGGGGTAAAAACTGAAAAATCAGTCAAATTTCTCTTTTACCTGAGTACCCACGATCACTCTTTCAAAGCTGATTTAATGATACCATTTACCACTCAGAAACCCTGCCAGCGTTTAATGTCTAGCCCAGCATTTGCAACAAAGGAAGTGGTGAATCTTGAGTACATTGTACTTACACACTTCTTGTTAAAAATGAAAAAAAATAATAGTAATCTCGACCTGTCACAATCCTAACTTTTAAGTCCATGTGTTTAAATCTTATTGTCACCTCTCCTTCAACTTTGAATTACCTGATGAAAAATGAAATTGAGATGAATTGCACGTATTTGATGTTCATATCACTCACACTTGTACATCAGACAGTTTTTTTTTATTAAAAGGTCCCAAATTTATTTCAAATGTTAATTTCTAATCAACTGCCAAATATAATCTGATGAATATTTTTGTAACTACTGCTATCTCAAAGTAATATTTCTATCCTACATATATATTTGTCATGGCACTAGCANGTTCACCACAACTCTAAATGTGGCAACAACAAATGGGTGCCCGATTCTCTAAATATTATAATATTACAACTACTAAAACTTTGCATTGCTAAGTGTTTTGCTGGGAATTTTTTGGAAGCATCATTTTGACATTGATGTAACCATACCCATGTACATTGTACTACATGTAGTACCCAGTACTAGTCCTGTATGTATACATACTAGTAGGTACACATCCTGGTAATGAACATCAGTTATCTTGTGAACTGGCACAAACCCAATGTACTGACTCATTAATGGTCTTGATGTTTTAACTATGAGGTAGTAGCAGTTCCAGTGGAAAACCATTCTAAAAAAAAAAAAAAAAAAAAAAAACAGGGCCAGAATTAGACAGTATAATGTTTAACCTATAAGTTCTGAGAAAAGGGATTGGTTAATTTCTAACCTAGATGTACTCCTTTCATCTCCTCCATGGTAATGCATGTTTTGTCTTTTTGTGGAATGATCCTTTCCAATATTTTAAATGTTTCTAATTGATTTGAGACATTATCGTGTATGTATGTTCTCAGATATAAGGTTCTGTAGAGTAGAAACTGGCACTCTTTTGTTTTGAAAGGTCTTTTTAATGAGCTTTGCTACCTAGTTTGCTGTATTTGTGTGCTATATTAGCTTTGCTAATTTTTTAAATTTAAAACGATACTAAGTAAATCCTAAAGGATATTGTTACCCTTCGCCCAAAACTCCTAATTTACTGCCTTCTTTTGGGTAGTAAATAAATCTTCAGTGATCAGTGATGTCGTAATTGCGATTTTGGGGTAAAAACTGAAAAATCAGTCAAATTTCTCTTTTACCTGAGTACCCACGATCACTCTTTCAAAGCTGATTTAATGATACCATTTACCACTCAGAAACCCTGCCAGCAGTTTTTCTTAAAAGTCTTAGTTTAGATTTTCTCGTTGATAAAGCAAAATAATGCCTTTGTTGAATGAAAATCTGTAATTACGGGCGCATAACCCCATAACAAAAGCATTTAAACCAAAACACTGGCACGGGATTATAGCTTATACACTTGTGGTCCACTATGCCAATTTTCCTGATAAAATCTTGTTCAGAGATGATACCGATTACTATCTCACCTCAAAATAGAAAGGTGTTAAATCGACAATTAAAGCCTTGAGTTGCTCATGCTTGTACATTACAACGAAAAAATATTTTTGATATTTTGTATTTTCAAGAGTTTCTTCATTGTTTTAAATCATCACAATGATAGATGCATTATTGAATAATTAGATGCAGGAAATTTTCAGTATCTGAATAATAAAGGGTAACAATATCCTTAATAAGTGCCTGATTCATTTGTGTCTTTGTTAGGTGCACAGAATTTGCTTATTTTTATGCAGGTACTTGCAAAGATTATTTATCTAAGCATTTTTGAAATTAAATCTTTTAAATTAGGGAAAATTGTGAATTTTGTGGATACTGTATTTTTAACCCATAATGTCCTAAAATTAGAAAATTCCTATTGAGAGGCAGCAACAAAATTTTCTAACAGGCTGCCCTATAGTTCTATTATACATACAGTAAAAAGCACCACAAATGCTATATAGAAGTATAATTTTTGTGATTATAAAATTATGTATTTAAAAGTTTGTTCATTTTTGCCTATTGAAAAAATCAGAAAACGTCATTACTGTAGGCATGGATCTTCATATGTGCATTTGTATTGTAGACTGTTTTCTTTCTACCTGTATATCTGTACAATTACATTTTTTGTGTGTGGTTATTTATGATTACTTGGTGTATTCGGTTTAACTTAAAGGGATAATAATTCTTCGTATGAGATCTATATTTCACAATAAAAACATTGTGAATAACTCATAGAAATAATATATTCCGTTTTACCACAAAAACGGCAGTAATAGCTATTTTTTCTGATATCTGAACTTGTCTGCAGACCACGTGACCTCCATTGATGGCTATACTCTGTTAAAATCTCTTAAGAGATTTTAACCAAAAAACAAACTTTTTAGAAAAAAACCAGGGACTAACTTTGAATGTAAAAATGGATTCATTAACCATTGGTTAGTATGGGAAAATTGTTGTTTACTCCAGGAAAATTCATTTTTTGGCCAAAACGAAGAGTTATTATCACTTTAAGCCTTGCATTTTGCCTCATGGTTGATGGATTGCTGCTAATATTCTTACCAATACTGTGTGGTGCATGGGTGTTTTCATGGGTGTTATCTGTAAGAATAAAACAGTAGAGTTGTTGTTTATTGGCAAATCTTAAAAATGGAACTGAAATAATTGTTATTAAGCAGAATTGGTGAAATTGTGATGCTAGTTGTAATTTTATTTTGTTCTAGGCGCAATGAGGCTGCAAGCCGGCCTCGCTCTGAATTTGTGTCCAAGAAAGTGACTTCTTCCTTCAGAAACTCTTCCCCAGCATTTGACAACAACTTGGACTCTCTGGATACCACTGGATACAGTTTATCCCCTGCCCAGCAAAGCTCCGGTAAAATAACAATCATTTTTGAAATTGTGAAATAGAAAAGTATTGTACAGTTGTATAACCATTCAGTGTAGTGTTTTTTCCTGCATAGTGGTGTCCAGCCAGTGCCAAGATTTGGCTGTGACACAGTGAATGTAGATTCTGGCTAAAGTAAAAAGGGCATTGAATTAGAAAATAGCACTTGCCTTCATTTGTGGACATTTAAAGGTCCATGTTTTGAAGATTTGTACGTGAATGACGTGAGATTGCATAAGTACTTGTTCTTCGTTATTGTTTGCTGAGGCAGATGAACAACTCTGATTACAACTCTGCTGTCAGTGTTTCTAAATGGACTGTCTTTTCTAGAACCCCAACAAGCTTGCTGTACAGCATTGTACGACTTTGATCCTGAGAACCCTGGAGAGTTGGGCTTCCGTGAAGGGGATATGATCACCCTCATCAGTCAGATTGATGAAAACTGGTACGAAGGTTCCATACATGGCCAGACTGGCTTCTTCCCTGTCAATTATGTGGAGGTTAAAGTACCTCTGTAGAGTCCAGAAAAGGAATTTGAAAAAAAAAGCACACTGGGTAGTTTGTAGTTAAAATGATATCAGTTAAAGAAACTTGCACAGGGGTGATTTAACATGAAATATGCTCATCTAGTTGAAAACCAAAGCATGTGAAGACATCACCACACAGTCTGCTGTTAAACCTGGTATTTGAGCTTTGAATTGTTATAGCCATTAATGTAACCTATGCCAAAAGTCTTAGTATGTAGGATGTCTTTATGGGTTGTATTTCTCCATCAGTGGACAAAGATGTTGGAGATAATTTTACACCAGTAAATTCATTTTATTATAGGGCTCCACTAGAGTTCTTGGAGTCTCTGTGATTCTCTGCTGTTATAAGGTTCTCACTTGTTGCAATTGCTTGCATAATGTATTTAATTTACAAAACCTGATTTGCTTGTTATATCTGCTCTTTGTAAACTTGTTATTTGAAGTAAGATGCATGGATACAAGGCATAGGGAACGTTGGTTTCTTGTAACCATGGTTTTAGGCTGTCTCTATGAGGGAGCAGATTCATTCCATATTGTAACATATCTGTTCTGTATTGCAGATTTAAGTATAATGCACTACAGTAGTCAACATAAAGAGTTTAAGAATTGTAAATTGTCTGGTGTATTTCATAATATTTGTTTTCATTTAAAAGTACAGTGATATTGGTTGACCTTTCGAAATAATATTGCAATTAAATGCAAACATCCATATTGTATTGATAGTGATATTTGCAGTATTTAAGTTTTTTTATCTAAATTTCAATGTACCTAGACTGATGTGGGCCTGTTGGGAGTTGCTGATTTGATGATTAACCAGTAATGTGGGGTTGGCATTCAGATGCACCTTTTAGCAAGCAAACTTATAGTCCCAACTTTATTTCTCAAATATTCATAAGTCATGTCTTATTTGTGAATGAGGCAATGTAGGGTTCTTTGGAAGTTATGAATGTTAGTATGCTTTGAGGTATCATTTATAAGTTGTTTAATTTCACCTTAATATACAAAACACTGCAACTGATTGAGAAAGAGAGTTCTATTAAGTAAAGTTTAGCCCAATTTATTCTAATGAAGAAGAAATAAAAGTAAATTTAGAGTGAAAAAGTTAATGACATCCGTTTTCTTATGATTTGGCCTTCAAAAATACGCTAGTGATTTACCTTATAAGTATAGATGCACCATTTTGTATAGTGATTTTGTATAATTATAGACTTAAGCCAAGGTCTATATGTTGTTTTGCAGACATCAGAAAAGTGACATTGGCCAAGGCATATATAAGCTCACAATCATTGCTAATTATGTAATAATGTGTTATTATTAAGATAAATGGAAGACTGGATATAAAGAATCTTATTATTTTGGAATTTGTTGTAAGTATGGCTGAATATAGTGTACAGATTGTTGAACTTGATTCATTTCTGGTTTATTGTGTTTCTTTCACTATGTGCTGGTCACATAATTGGATCAATACTATCCACCCATCCTACCCATTTCTACAAAAAAAGGATGGGACAATATTCAAAAAGAAAAAAAGTATTGTCCAATATTAATCTTAAGAGATTTATTTTGACTGAATAGAATTGGTAACATAGATATCAGTATGACATATATTGTGTATTAAAGGTATTATTACAATAATTGGAGAATATTTGTGGTGATTGCCTCTGTATTTGTGTACATGACATGGAGACTCGGAGCATAAGGGCTATAACTGGTTTGTAAAATGCCATTAGTTTGAATCTTACACCTCTACTGAATCTTGCATAGTCTATACAGAACTGGTAATAAAGTATTTGTATTTTGATTTTTTGGTTCTTTTTATCACTGTCCAAGGAGGAAGAGTTTTCAGAGAAAAAAAGCACTTAACTGTTGATTCTACATACAGATGTATCTCCACAGTAAGCTGGGGCAGATCTATCGTTGATCCTTACCTTAGAATATTATAGCTACTCAAATCTTTGCTACGTATTCTTCATATCACAAGACGCGTCTAACTTATTACTGAGACAGTTTTTTACACACATTTTTAAATGTGTTAAAACCATTGGAAAATGAAAGTGGCACGTGTAGAACCTGAAATTCTGAGTAAATTCGCTACCGTTAAAAAACGGGTTCCAACCCTACCTTGTGAGCAACAATTTTGGAGAATTGTGAATACCGTAATACTTAGGTTGTGTTTTGAGAGTTTAGAAACCTCTACGTTACAAAAAAAGCCTGCTTTCAGCTATTTCATATTGTGTTGGTAACTAAAAACTGGACCATTTTAAGCCCGAAATTGAATTTACGGCTTTGCCATGAGCACGTTTTATATCGCTCCGACTGTAGTCTAGCTCTATTCCTCAAACTTCTGTCAAGCATAACGACACACAAAAATTAATTTTATAAGTATTAGGGGTAAAAAGGATTTCCCAGTGTTAACTGTAAACTTGATCATTTTTTTATATACGGTGATTTTCAAGTTACAGCTTTATTAAAGCACCTATACTGTGTGAGCGATTTTTCACACACAGCTACTTGTGACAGACCCACTTGAGGCGATTTGAAATAGATAAATGTTGGTAAAACATGACAATAAGGTGCACATAAACTGTCACACCCACAATGGACGTTCCTGGCGCAGACTTTCACAATATTATAGTAGACCGACATAACGCTTTTATACCTCAACTTTAGCATAAATATAATAATAACTTTAAAACTGAAAAGTTTATGCTCTCCTGACATCGAGGGCATGCTTATCTCTCCTTTGAAAAAAAAAAAAAAAAAAAAAAAAACGGTGACTGACTGACGCATATTACAAATCATTTCTGTTCTGATAATAATCTTAACGACGCATTCCTTTAGTACAGGTTGGCTTTATGCAATTTTTGCAAGTTGGTAGTTGCTATTATTACTGTATTATTGTATTATTAGGGGCAAGTATTAAAAAAGGCTCAATTTTACCCTTTGGTCAAAGATATTGCAATATATGTTAATGAGACAGACTTCTTACAGACATGTGTCTCTAAATTAATGCTTGTAAACATCAATGTATGTACTCAGATTTTTTTTTTTTTTGAATAAATAAATGGAATTATCACATATTTATACACTGCAAAAAAGGTGTTTTAAGGCAAATGTTTGACTCTTGAATAAATCAATACGGCAGAAAGGTCATTTTCACAATTAGGTCATAGACAACTGCGGGGACAGACTTCTTACAGACATTCTGTTAATTACTACTTGGAAAAATCCGTTTCAAACGCTTAGTATCTAGAAGGTTTTGTCTGCTATGATTCTTTTATCAAGTATCTTTTCTGCCAAATAGTGATGATATATGTTATTACACACAGTTTTGTAACAGGATAATATACATAGAATTTGAGCGGTACGTGACATAAACAATTAACAGGTCAAATTTTGTATGTACCCGTTCTACAGGCAAGCACAGCATACTCATCTCACATTGAAAAAAAGAGGACAGAAATTGACGTGGCTTTCAATTTTTATGTGTAGACCTACCTTATTTATGTTACATATTTATGATAAATTTTACCCAGCTACGGCATAAATATTGGCAATAGCCATAAAATAACGTTGCATCTAGTCTAACCATTTTTTTTTAAGAGAGGATACAATCATATTCATAGAGGGGCGTAGGAGATATGTCATTGTTAGTGCGGGTTAAAGGAAGGAGAGGCTGGATTATTTTCTCAAACTGTTTATTAATGGTTGTCAATTTAGGTCCACAACTTAGATAACCACGCATTGCATGTAGCGTCTCTTTAAATATGTTACCTTAAATGCGTCATAATATAACGTAAAATTATACTGACACTTACTTCCCGATGCATCGACCAACCAATCGCATTTTGCGTCTGATACTGACTCTTCCAGCCATTTTGCCATTGCACATCTTTTCCGAGTGTTGTCCTTGGGTGTGTCACTCATAAGCATGAATTACACGTGCAGAGCAAATCTCTTTAGTCATAACAATAAAAAATAATAATAGAAAGAGGATCAGTAATAGATAAGATATGGAAGGTCGATGTTAATGTACCCATACATTTTTCACCGTTTTATGACTTCATGATTGTTTTTAAATAGTCAAACAAAATGATACGCAAATTTTATATCTATCTATCTAAAACCAACGTTTTCAGTTAGGTGAATCAAGCATACAGTGGTAGCTAACTGTCTTTACAACTAATTCAATGTCTATAACATATAAGTCGAATTTAAGTTCACACGACAGCAGCTAAAACTGTTCCAGTACTTGACATAACTGATTAACTACAAATCACATCTTTGCTTATTTTATGCATCTGATATTTCATAATTATCAAAAACCTTGTTCAAATACAAGGGCATATTTACATGGATAAAACAGTGTCTTTCTCAAGTTATTGTTTCCATGCTGCTTACAATTTTTTAAAATTTCTTACCAAGCATCACCAGGCTATTAGTTTTTAAGGGTAGTAAACGTTTTTATGTAGATTTTATCTTCTAGCGTATTCTTTTTTAATACAAAGTCTTGCACCTGTTTATTTTTAATATAACAATACCTTTACAGAGTATTTTATTCCCGATGTTGTGTATTTAATATGTTTTATTGGCTAAATAAACTTTTACTTATCTTATCATGGGGGAGAAGTATTTATTATACAGTTATCAGTGACAGACAGCACACAGCACAAAAGTAACGGGAAGATAGTATCATTTGTTACAACGCGTGCTACGTTTGTAAGCAACAAAGTGGGCGTGGACAGCAAATAAGATTCTGTATGGTGACAGGCTATATAAACGACCGGGGATTTTTACATTTTCATTCTGGAGAGAGTCAGTAAGGTCTGCAACAGAACCACAGCTAAGGATGTGTTTGTCAGTGAAAGTGTTCGTGCATCTTCTCTTTACTTTGTACATTTCTGTAACGTTGGGTGAGTGCTTGGAATAGGCAGTAACAAATTGACGTTAGCTATGTTTAGTATTTTTTGTCGTTTTCTCTTAAGATGTGTTTGAAATATAATTTGTGTACTAAGTGTAAAAATGATGTGAGAGATTAGATATAATCAAACAAACAGTCGTTAATCTGTTCTTTTCCAACCTACATTTTTTTTTACTCAGTTCTGATCATGTAGGGTTTCCACTGATATATATGTTTTTGTTACCTTATTGTGAAACATCTAATGACCCAATTTGTAAATGAAAAAAAAAAAAAACAAACAAACAAACAAACATCCAAAGAATAACTATTTTAATCAAATGTAACAATAAGCACTTCTGTTCGAATAAATTTTATGGAAAGTGTATTCACTTTAAGTTTTCTTACCAAGCGCATGGAACACAATATGAGACATTTCTCAAGAAAAATGTATTTTGAGAAACATCGATTTATTATTCACCAAAATTGTAATAAGTAAATCGTTTCTTTCAAAATGTGTCTCTTTCGCTCGGATTTGTTTTCAATGGTGAGCATTTCAATATCTATTCGTTTGAATATCTAAACTATCAATACGAATATATAACAACCAATTTATAATATTAAGATGATATTTTCCCTTTAACTAAGTGCTATTAATATTATAGGTTCATACCAGGTTCGGGCCAAAATTCATAACTGGTATTCTTTGTTTACAGTATCTGCCACTACCGAATCAACAACCACCGATTCTACCACCACTGAGTCAACTACCACCGATTCTACGACCACTGAGTCAACAACCACTCAACCTACCATCACTGAGTCAACAACCACTCAACCTACCATCACTGAGTCAACTGCCACCGATTCGACCACCACCGAATCAACCACCACCGATACTACCACTGAGTCAACTGCCACAGATCCTACCACCACTGAATCAACTACCACCGATTCGACCACCACCGA